AAGCCAGCTGTAAGAGATTATCAGTGAATTCGGAGGCCACTCCTGGACAAGAACCACCAGGGAAAGGATGGAAGAACACACGCCAGGGCTGGCCTTTGTCCAGAAGTGGGAATGTACAGGCTGATAACAGAATTTTTGAAATCTAAATGGCAATTTTTATATAAAATCATTATTATCCGTAATTAAATATTGACTTAAAGCGTTCGTGACTGCAGCCATTCATATTCTTTGGGTCTTTCGGTAAAGTCACGTAGATAGGTTCAAAGAAAATAACAAAAAACTACGACGTTTCGATTGTAAAACAAATGGTCGTCATCAGGAAGAGTGGGTTAGCTTCTAAAGGCCAACTGTTTATAAAGGTTTGAAATGGGCGTAGCCCAAATGTCAGCAGCCAATGTTAATTAAGTGGTGGGCAGCAACCACGACGTTGGTTGGTTTTCCACCAAAGGGCTGCCAGGTGAAAATTAGCATGTTAATGTAAGATCGGTGAGCGGCCTCCATGGCACACGAGCAGAGGTGGCCATGTTAATGTGAGAGATTAGCATGTTAATGAAAGATCGTAGAGCAGCAACCTCTAGGTCAACGCGAAGTGGCTGTTAGTGCAAACCTGTTAATGAACAACTAACATCGGAAGGTAGTAGGATGTGAACATCACAACCAGTTATGACTTAAACTGGTTGATAACGTCCTTCCAATGATTGCTCAGTTTGTACCCATCTTCTTGGTTGAAATTGTGTCTGTATATACGAATGGCTTCATGAACGAATCTTTGTTGATAGCCAGTGGGTTTGCAAAGTACCTTTGTCTTAGAGAAATCAATTTCGTGTGAGCCCACCGCATTAATACAATGATCAGCCACGGCCGAGGTATTGGTCCTACCGTGTTTCAGATCTGACTTATGTTCACAAACACGGTCCGAGACATTAGCTACTAACATTTGGGCTACACCCATTTCATACCTTATAAGCAGTTTGCCTTTAGAAGCTAACCCCCTTTTCCTGGTGTTGCGATCGAAACGTCGTAGTTTTTTGTTATTTTCTTTGAACCCATCTATGTGACTTACCTAAAAGACCCAAATAATTATCTGTAATTAATGCATAATATTGAAAAAATTTATCGACTTTTTTTTTCATGGTAACTAAATAATCCCTTACTCCCTATTGCATTGCAACAACATTCGTGTTATTTTACTCGGCTTCATAAAACGCCATTCCGCATCTTGCATCCCAAAGTTTAATTATCCAGTCACAATAAAGATAAATTGGTTACAGATTACACCTGTAGTTAAATATTACATTTTGGCGGGATGGGAGGAAGGGGGGGGGGTGAAACTTTGCAGCTTTGCCCTCAACAACAAAATCGCCCACCCCTTGTTGTCAGAGCGAGCAAATAAACACCGTGGTTAAGACGCGGACGCTGCATTGACCAACTGAATTTGCATTGCGACTTCTACCAAGTCGTTAAAAGTTGCCGATGAAAGGGTCTGGCACGTACTGTGGACAAATATCACCATCAGCGATGCGGTCGGCCACAAATGTTAATAATAAAGCCTGCCACCTGTGCAGTCATTTGGGAATGACGGAGGATGTGTAACGAGTTCGAGTTTTAGCAGGATGTTGTGTGTGGCGATTCAGTAAACAAAGCCAATTAACAAAATGTGGAGAAGAGAGGAGAGACACGAGTTTGCCGACAAGACGGGTGGAATAAGATCACGTGAGAGACGAGAGCAGAGTGCTGACCATCGCAAGTCCACCATCTGACATCAACCTCGCGCCTACCACCAGCCTCGCCTACCAAAACCATAAAACGTCCTCTCTACACCCTGTGCAGGACTGTAAAACCACTCGATGCTCACCTCACCAATGTTTTTATGTTTGTGCAGTTCGTTTAATTTCTTGCGAAACGCGGTTATTTATACTCTATTTGTCCACAATTTATGGCTGTTGTATTAATTATTGCTCCCGATATCCGTTTGCTTCACTGCTGTACACACAGTACTTGAAGTTGTATTCCACTTGTCGTTTAGGTGACCCCCCCCCCCCACAAGCCACTCATGTAAATTAGACTGCGTCCCCCTGGTTTCGCGATTTCTTCATCTGGTTAAATATATTCAACTAGAAACTTGATAGGGGAGGCAGAGCCATGCCGAGCCAGGGGGGCATGAGAGGTGCACAAGCCACGACCAACAATGTTGCAACAAAATGGATCCCCACCTGAATACACCAGAGGGTTTTTACAGTATTGTAATGAAATACACTATTTCACACTAAATACATGGTGACCTGCTAAAACAACGCACGGAAATCACTGTTAACGCACACGTTCACGTCGCGCGTAGAAATACCTGGACACAGCTTCGCTCTACAATACACAGCACGAAATCGTACGTCGTTTCGGACGCGAGACTAATAAGCGTGGCGAAATATGATTTAACCTACCACCGCCCCCCGCCCCCCTATGACATCGACAGTGTAGAGGAGGGCTACATCTAGCAGTGGATTGACAAAAGGCTGTAAATAGATCGTATCATAAATGTTAGGAACTATCGCACGACACGTGACAGTGTTGTGTTCAAATGTGAGCTACAAACATTTAGAGCGCCACGCCCTGAGAGCCAACGTTTTGTGGAGGCAAGGGTTGATGGCTCACGCTAGCATATGTGGCCAAGAGGTGAGCACACGGAAAGTGTGTTCGGGAACCCATCTGTGCAGACCTCCGAGCGTTCTCCTCTCGCACGCCAGGGGTTTTCTCTGTGAAATGCCAGGTTCATCCCACGTGGATAAATTGTCCTTCAAAAGTAATTTGGTCAAAACCATCTCAACGTGGGATGATCCTGAAAAAAAAACCCAGTGGGAATTCCCCAGCCAGTTTAATTACATCGCCATCATATCCGTCCTATCAATTGCAGATGACTGAACCTATGACAGCATCACTTCTCGTTTTTCACTACGAGGGTTCGGGTCGTTCCTTCTAGACCTGCTGTTACACTATTGTTATTTTATCAGGTAAATGCCACGGACTTATATAGCTCTTTTTGATAAGCAACCTGGCCACAACAATCATGGCTCAACGAAGTGGCTGATCACGTACTGGACATCTGCGAAAAAGAGCATAATTAGCTCATCAGATTCTTCCAGTTTAAATATTATTTTTATTCTGTATAGCAGCCATATACTCCGAACGTATGTTGATTCTAAATGGAGGGAAACACTGAAGGTCATGGAGAAAAATCCACGCAACCACAGGGAGAACACGGAAATTCCAAAATTACAGTCGTCAGGGTCGGGATTGAACCCACGGCTTCCTGTATAACAGCCGAGGTAGTCAACATCTCAAAGTCTCGAAGTCTAGCAGTGGCTGGTGCCTGCTCTCACTACAGAAACGTGGAATTTCCTTCACTGGCTCTGGGGCTGCATTCATTACGGGCTCGCTATGATCTTAGAGCTCAGACTAAGCATGTGTTTTCTTCCTCGGCCGAGGTAACAATGAAACGCCACGTAACGGCAACTATTTGGAATTTGTTCTACAGGCTACAGAGTAACATAACCACCACGACGTGTATTTTACACGACGCCTTTACGGACACACGGCGGGATGATGGGGGGAGGGGTAATCCTGATAAGCTGGCCAATCTTCACCTAAAGCAATACGCACTGACCAGCGTGGTGAAGTATGATCAAACAACGGTATTGACTAGCACGGGCTTGCGGAGGCCATCATCCAGCATTGGATTGCAAAAAGAGGGCTGTGCATAGATAGAAACCCATCCGACGAGTACAATAGCGTGTAAGAATGCCACCATGCAAATTATAAACTCTGCGTGCCCGGCCACCGCCTGTTTTAGCCAAATTGTGATATCGGCGTTCCGTCGTGAGATGAAGAATCCATTCGCATCTCTCGCGGATACCACAGGACCACATCTGAGACCCCCTCCTTCAAGTGACATCTGGCTACACACAGTCAAGGGGCAGCATGTGCTCAATTTCGGAAAGCTGCAATTTAGCCAAATTAAGTGGAGAACCAAATGTATGGTGACGGGGTGTTTTTGTGTATGCAGTCAACGGTGACGTCGCCGGCATGACATCAGCTGGCTCCAATTGAGAAATCCGGTTTAAACCGTATAGGGGACTGCCTGGACTCGAACCCATGATCTCAGCGGGGACGGCCCAGCTCTTTGCCGACCCGACCACATGTAAACGCTGCTGGGCGAGGGCTTATTAGACCATACATCACACTGCGCTGGTCAGTGTGGGATGAAGGCCGGAAACAACAGACATGTGTGTAATGCTATATGGTTTACCCATCCACACAATGATATCCCGGCTGAAATGTTGTTTAGCTTCCCATTTATGATGAGATTGGCCGCATTGCGGATGTTCTTATCACAGGTCTCACTGGAGTTTACTACATACATCTTACGTACCCGTACATAACAGAAAACGCAAGAACGTAATGATGTAAATAGACAAATACCCAGATCGTGTTTACAGTCCTGAGCGCAGTGGGCGAGATAGAATTCCACATTCATCGCACCGAGTTGGCCCGAAAGACAACAGACCGCCGCTGTCTTGATTCCCACAAAGTGGAAATCACCCCGGGGTAGTCATTGCATCCATCCCGCCGGAAGGGTGCCGAGTCGAGGCCACCGTCCCCCAATTCCTCCTCCTCCTCCCGACTCGGGATCGACCATCGGCCCGGCGTGGCCCGGGCACAAACACTCGTGCTGGGACCATTGCAGAACAAGCGAAGACCTCTCCCCCCCCTCCACTCTCGGCCCGTGCGGTGTTCTAACATTCCTTCCCGACGTCTCGTTGAACTCGAGGAGCTCAACGGCGACGTCTCGAGCGAGAAGGCCAATCGGACCGAGCACACTCCATGTGCAACGTAGAAAGAAGGAGGAAGAAGACGAAAAAACCCAGCGCCGCCCCATTGTTCCCAGCAGCCACACGTTTTGCTAACTCCCTCCTTCCACCTCCTCCTGTTTACCCCCCCCCCCATACCTTTTCCGAAGGCATCGCCGCTGCGACGAGGTGTGTAAGAAGGAGGTTGTGGCGTCCGTGCGTTCGGCCGCAGTCGTGAAGAGACGGAGCAACTCGGCCGCCGCTTGCTGCCGAGTCAGAGTCCCGAGTGGCGAGCGGGTCTTGCCGTGCCGCGCAGGTGAGGACGACCTGCGTCTGCGTGACGTCACAGAGGGTGACGTCACCCAGGACGTCGAGGGTGGTGGGGGGGGGTTGCTGAATGTGAATAAAAAACAAACACGGGTCACGGAGCGTCACCCAGCCCCCCCACCACCACCACCACTCACCTACTACCTCCCCCACCCACCAACACACAACATGTTTATAGACGCCACCGTTGAGCCCAGGTGCTAGCGAGATGAGGTCATGCGCCATTCTCGCGACCGCGTGCGTCAGTTCAAGATGCGAGGTTCTTTTATGAAGTGCTTCAGACACAACATGTTTGACATGACAGTAATAGGTATTTGTTGTTATTTTCTTTGAACCTTTCCACGTGACTTTACCGAAAGACCCAAGAATATGACAGTAATAGTGTTTTTAATACTTAAAAACAACGAATAGTAACGAACATTTACTTTGTACGATTTTATACATTAAGTACAATTTCGTATTAATTGTGAAATAAGTATAGGCGTTACCCTTTCTGATAATAACACCGGTGTTATAAGATGTTCAAACAAGGCATCAAGTCTGCATTAACCACATGCTTTTGGCAATATATGCAAACAACGAATGCTTATTACTGTATTTGGTGTTTGAACATCTAAACACCTTCTGTGTTTATCACCAGAATGGGTAAAGCATCTTCTTCTTATTTCACCATTTTGATACTGGCGAAAGAATGGTCCCATAAAATACCGACTATCATCACCCAGGAATGTGTCCTTAACGCTCGTGACGTCATTCCACATCGACCAGCCTCCCTCATGAATAATCATGAGCAGGTGACGTCACTCCACATCGAACAGCTCCCCTCATTAATAATCATGAGCAGGTGACGTCCTCCAAATGGACACCCCCTCCATTCATAATAATTAGCGGGTGACGTCACTCCACATGGGGGAGGGGGGGGTCAGATATTTGTGATGATGTGTGACGAGGGGGGGGGGGTGAGAAATGTGACGTCACATCAAAATGTGCAACTTTAAATAAATATAGACAACACGTTCTACTTAATTAAATAGACTTTTTAATAAATGTTTTCTCCTACAACATCAGAGTGCAGCGCCACATTAAATACGCACTACAATGACAATAGTTTAAAGCGATTTGCAGCATGTTTTATTTTGGAGGGGGGGCAGAGCTTTGTGACGTCATATTTCGGGGGGGGGGGTCTGACTTTTTGTGACGCCGTGTGACGATGGGGGGGGGGGAGGTCAAAAATCGTCCAAAATAGTGTGACGTCATTTATGGACGGCCTCTAAATGAGATAAGTCTGTGTCACCGCGCCCTTACAAACTGCACACGAATGGATGCAATGAATATCACGTCGCGGTCTGATTTTCGCTTGCAAGTTTCAGATTTACTGCAATACACCCGTCCTTGGACGGGCAAAAGGCTAGTTAATGATATTTTACTCAAGTTTGTATCGTAGTTTGGCCAGGGCACAGCTAAGGGTTTATGGCCGATGCTCGTCAGGCTGGTGACGGAATGGCAGCCAAAGGTGTGAACACGAGATGAGAACAACCAACGTGGACACGGAGCGATTATGAATTCGTTCATGTGCGGGGATGGCACGGATTGTGGGCATCACAGGACTAACGATGCCCTTGCTGATGATATTTCATATCATGTTAATACATTCCGTGAATAATCGTAATCTTTGAATGGACACAACGTTGTGGAATCTCGGGCCCGGTACGTTGCTCAACAGGAAATGACGACCCCAACTAATTGTACATCCTAAGAAGGTCTTGTGGGCTAAACAACCCATTTTTATTGATGTAGTGCTTGTTTACCCAGAAAAGCCTCACATTGGTATGTCTCTGTAATAATCAAATTAGTCATTGCAGTCAGACGACGCAGTTACGTTATGCATCAAAGTTCAAGTCCTGACTAAGAATGGGGATTTTGTTTCCATAGCTAAGCTCTATGAAACATTCGACAATAAACTAAACGCACGATTTGCATGTAGCAGTGGTTTATGCAAACCAGTGGTACACATATAAACACGAACAGCAGTGGTCTACGCAAACATTACATGTCATGTACCCACTTACGAGCCTTGTCAACTGTCCATGTACCCCTACCAATATCAGCATCTTGTTATATTGTATTCATTACTTTACAATTACTGTACTATATTTTTGCATTATTTACATGCAGGTAATTAATACCTACTCATAATAAATCTAGTGAACATGTATTACCTTAATGTGGCTTCGTGGTAGAGCGAGTTCTAATCCGAGTTGGTTGTCGATTTAACCCGTCACCCCGCAGGGTCGATACCATGAGTGCCACTTTGTGGGGAAGTCAAGAGTGGTTGTCGTCTGGGTAGACTTTCTCTGGCCATAGGAATGTCGAATTTCCCCCCACTGGCTCAGGGATGTAATAAGTAGATAACCACCAACCCACACTGGCCAGTGTGAAGTATGGCCAAACATTCCCCGTGAGGGACATGACTCACATGGCAATGTGTTGCCAATTGGCTATAAAAACGCTCCGTTATTCATTACCAAAGTAATCTAATTGTTAACACCAACGCCTAGCATTGCCGCTGAAGAACTTTCGGGATAGCTTCGCTATTGTTATTTTTCCTTTAACAGCTATCGTTCCCTGGAGGCCATAATATGATATCATGGCATGCTCATGCTCTTATGAAGGCAAAACAATGTGTTGAACTAAATACAGGCAGTCCCCGATATACAAACGTCCGACTTACAAATATCCACTCTAATGACTGGAGTTTGCGTGTGGTTTATGCTCCTTGACACAATCAGCAAGGTGCTGTGATTCATTTGTTGCAAGCACTTTGTGTGTAATGAGTGCGATCTTATAATGGATTTGTTCGGCAACCGGAAGTCAATGCAGTGTCGACGAGCACTGAACGGACATGATCGGATCTTGAAACACTCGTCCCGACACGTGTCAGATAATTTTGTACACGCTGCAGCTTGGTAATGTTTTCCCCAGACGTCCCGTAGAGTAGTGAGTTGCAATCATCGACCCTTGTCGATACTGTGCTACATGCCACCGTATTGGCTGTGTCACGACTCAATAGTCGTCGACATTCTGAACAATATGCATGACAAATATCACTCCCTCTCGTGCATTCCTTGTTCAAGAAACACCATTATACAAGTGGAAGGTTCTCTTTTTACAAAATCGTTCAAAAGGAAAATAAATGGTTTACAGATGAATTATTTTTTAAAATGACACCGTATATCAGAACCCAAAAAATCTATCTGACATTCCTTGTTGTTTACCAGTGATTTGTTTCTGTTAATCTATGTATTCTGCACAATCGTTATGATCTAGGTTATGAGTTGCACAATTATAAATGTACTTACTCTTTGGTTCCTTCGGTAAAGTCACCTATGTATTAAATAAAATAAATCACGACTTACTGTGAGGATTTGTATTTCGTTGGTTACAGCGATGATAAAGTTCGTGCACTTCACAAATCCCCTTGCTTCGCAGAAAGATTCAAATGACATCACACCACGGGTGGGACTCTTTCCACTTACCCGGGGCCAAACAGTGCCGGATTATCCTCGTAGCAAAAGTAGCTACATATGTAGTAGCTACGGGCCCAGCACTTTCAAGGGCCCCGCGCCAAATGCTTTCAAGCTATCAATTCCGGTTCAGTTATTCTGCACTTGCTCTAATAGGTACTGGAAAAGGAGGTTCCCACTTGCTCTATTACTATAGGAATATACTGCCTTCAACTTTTGTGAACGACTGTGTGTTTAAGGTTAGAGATTTGTCATATTATCTGGCTGTATAGCAAATGAAAAAAGATAATTACTTTACTTTGCAATTTAAAAATTAGTGTTTTAATATTGATGTTTTTTTTTTTATTTAGGGCCCCTTTATATCACAAGCTACAGACAGACCCCGCACTCTGACATAATCACACCACCGCAAGTCACTGCTTGCCACTGCAAGAGGCCCTCGCAGTGACAGAGTGCCCTACAATGGTTCATACGGTGCGGCCAGGTTTAACATATTGCCCTCTAGTATTATACTAATGTGGTTAAGACGCTTTAAATGACATATACGTCTAATTTCAATACGGTAGGCGTCACGTGTTCGCGGGCCGTATGAAAGGAAGTTGCGGGCGGTGCATGGCTTGCATTACACGCATGACGCAGTTCGGGAATTGCCATGCTGTGTTAAGTGCTTATGGCTCAACATCTGCTCAGCAAAAGTCTCAAGGAAATTGTAGATTGTTGTTCTTATGCTTGTCCATTCTTATGAGAGAAGGCAAGTGGCTAAACACGTCAGGGAATCACTTCGTCACATTATGGAGTAAACTTACCCTACAGAGATTGATGCAAGCTGTCAAACCGTGCATATGAAGATGGATGTCTGTGACACACAGAGCAAAGAAGCATTTTCTATGGGCAACATTGATCAAGATCGAAGCAGGTAAATTCACGCATGTCACGGATGCATGCAGTGCACGCGATTGTAGCCTGGCAGCAAGGGGATGTGAAAAACGTAAACTTCATCCGGTATGCCCTTATGGGGACACTTCTTTAAACCAAAGATGTACTCATTCAACGTCGCATTCCACCCATCTTTATACGGGTAGGTTCTTATATTGTTAACAAAGGTAAACAAAATCGAAAAACACATGGCAAACATCACGTGGATGATCAGCATCTTTGCCATTGCCTTATGAGAGGCCACTCTTTATTTTCTTGATACAATGCAATGCACGGCAGCCTGAAATGCCGGTGCTATTTCATCTACTATGCACTTGACGAGTTGAAATAACACGTGATATTTTGCGATGTTTCTACGTACAATCCTGTACGTCCACACGCGCGCCAGACCTGTGCGTGTGTATGACCAATGGAAAATGCTACTCTTACGTCACCTCAGTGAATATATCTCGGGGTGGTTTTTTTTTACTGTGATACTCCTTTAGCAGCGGTACAAAAGCTCAACACATTTGTCAATAACACTGCCCAAAAATGAATGAAATGTTCTTATCATGTTGCAGTTATCTTCTTGGTTTTTTCGGTAAAGTCACGTAGAAGGGAAGTAATAAAATAATAAAAAATAAAACATAATTAAATATTTATTTTTATTATTTTATTACTTCCCTTCTACGTGACTTTACCGAAAAAAACCAAGAAGATGAATCCCTGCAGTCACGAAAGCTTTAAATCGAAAAAAAATGTTGCAGTTACTTCATTGTTGAGTTGTTTTTATTGCTGGGCAGTTCACGCCAGACTTGACAACCCACCCGCTTTTATTGAAAGACCAAAATCAACAAAAACAAACTGTGGCAAGGCTGCCTTCCAATTAAACATTGAACATTGGGCCACGTGATTGAAACTATTGGATCAACGTTGGCCGAACGTACCACACGTTTACTGGGCCACTCTTGAGTAACATGCCAGCAATGTCTTCGCTGTCGGGGGAAGATGAGATATGGAGCAGATAGGTTATGAGGCATATCATGCTGCTGCTGTTTCGTGACAGTATCTGGTAAGCTCATGCCTCGCCGAGGCAGTAATCAAATGGCGTGGGACATTAACGAATGGTGTCCAAAAAGCCAAGTGATAATTTACATTTCTGATCAAATGTAAGGATACGCTTGTCAGTACGTTATCTTGAGATAAGTAAAACAATCATTCTTCTCAATACACGACGTATGCCACTGGTGAACGGAGGGCTTAAGGGATTAGCCTCATCTAGAATGTGGCCTGATGGAGGGAGGCGGACCTTGTAACGAGTTTGTTTAAGCGCGGGTCCCAACCCTCTCTGCAAGGGGCGCCATCAATGTTTTACGTTTTTTTGTTTATTTTAACACAATCGGCCCGCAATTCCTTTTTAGTACCATTCAGTCTATTAAACTCGGTGCACACAAAGAGACGGGTTACTTAATGTGAATGTAAAGTCACTTGGAACATTGGGCAGGTGTAAATGAGCTGCTGTCTACGGACTTGTTTTTGCTTCAGTTAAAAATAACTTGAGGACAAAGGAGGCTCACATTGGCAATCTTGACATCAAGCACAAGCAGCAACCAACCCCTCCCCTCTCAAACCCCTCCTCTCCTTCAATCACTCCCCCAGCTCCCAATCACCCCCCTGTCAACCCCCTCCCCTCTCCTTCAACAACCGCCATTCGCCACTAAGTGGCGGTGACGTCACCACGGCACTTGTGCCAGGCTATGTGCACGTTGAGGCCACGTGAAGTGTCGAGCGCCCGCTGGCAGGTCAGGGGGCAGACCCAGGTGCCACGGGTCGACTGACTGAGATGACTGGCTGATGCACCACCTGTGCTCCCTACTGTGCCAACTGGCTGTTCTTTAGCCACCCGGCGCTCCGCTCGTTGTTGTGAGCGTCGCTCCTCTGTTGCTGGAGGGCGACTGCCTCCAACTGCCCAGTAACGTCATTCACGAGCCTCCTCCACAGAGGCCGATCTTGACACCGCTGGTACCAGTCATCGGCAATTCCCCTCAGCTCCGGGTCCTCGTGTACCACATCACTCCATCTCTTTTCTAACCTGTGCCGCGCCCGTTTAGCCCCCTCTATCCGGCCGAACAAAAGCTGTTTAAGCATGTGGTGGCTGGGCATGCGGGCTACATGGCCCAGCAAACGCAGCCTTGCCTGCCGGAGCTCACCAATGGGACTTTGTCCAGATCTTTCAAGGATTTGTGAGCTCACACAATCCAGCCTGGTTAAACCCAGGATGGATCGTAGGCAGGCCAGCCTAAATGTTTCTAACCGGTGAAGATGTTCCATTATCTTTTGTCCACTCCCCTCTCAAACACCTCCCCCTCCCTCCTTCAATGACTCCACCCTCAAACTCCTCGCACATCTCCTTCAATCACTCCCCTCTCAAACCCCTCCTCCCCAATTCGAATCCAGACGAGGCCGCCCCTTCGCAAAAGGCCACAAATTCCATCCACTCTGGCCCTCACCCTCCCACCACTTCCCTCCACCCTTTGGACACCCCCCCCCCCCCTACGAAAGAACGAAAACAAAAACACCCCTATAGGTGCCATACGTCTGGGCCTGTTTATATATATATATATTTTTAAATAGGCTTAAAAAAAGCCTTTTAATTAAAACGTCAAGAAGGAGCAGGCACAATTAAGACTACACAGACGCTTTTGAATCAAAACAAGGATGAGACTGGGACGAGAATATTTATGCACATTTTGAAGCGGTTCTTGGTATGTAATTAGGGTGGCTTCGCGTAAAATATGGTAAAATATCTAGTGCCATTTTTGACATCTTTTTAATTTATATATTGCGAAATCTAGCAACGTCGAGGCTCCTTTGGCCATTTTCAGCTTCAAATCATTGGGAACAATGTGCTGGTGGATATCTAACATTTGAAAGAAATGTAATTAAATGTATCTTCTTTCGGTAAAGTCACGTAGAAGGAAAGTAATAAAATAATAAAAATAAAACAAAATAAAATAATTCTCACGACGTTTCGGCCACAACGCAAGCAGCCGTCCTCAGGTGAAGACCAGGTCTGTCGGGGAGACAGCATTGTGGCCGAAACATCGTGAGAATTATATTATTATGTTTTATTTTTATTATTTTATTACTTTCCTTCTACGTGACTTTACCGAAAGAACCAAGAAGATGAATCCCTGCAGTCACGAAAACTTTAAATCGAAATTTAATTAAATGTAGTGACATAAATCTGGACTTAAAGCTTTCGTGACTGCAGGAATTCATATTCTTTGGGTCTTTCGGTAAAGTCACGTAGATAGGTTCAAAGAAAATAACAAAAAATAACAAAGAACTACGACGTTTCAATCACAACACAAGCGATCGTCATTAGGACGCTTGTGTTGTGATTGAAACGTAGTTTTATTTTTTATTTTCTTTGAACCTATCTACGTGACTTTACCGAAAGACCCAAATAATATGTAGTGACATTTATAGCGTTATAAAGTGTTCACAAAAATACATTATAAAAAATAAAATAATGAACCTCTCCTTGAATTTCGTAAATAGTGAGCTTCCAGTATCCTATTTGCACCCTTTTATTCCATTCTGCAGTAAACGACTGTTTGTGATCCACTATTTCAACATATTCCATTCCCTCTGACAACCTACCACTCACACTGTGATGCACATGCGACATTCCAATGGGCTGCTATTGTGCTATGATACATTTATTTAGACGATGCTCTATGTGCTATTATGCCACAATTATAATCAATACTTCAGCAAATATGAAGACAGCTGCCATGCCCAGAGACACTTCAATAAAGTGACATGCAGCAGCTAAAATGTCACAGGCACATTACAAAGGTACATATTACGACCTAAAACCTCAAATCCTAATACAATATAATTTGAAGCTGCTCAAAAATACACAGAATTTTGGCTATACAAACGACTTTTTATTTAAATGATTTACGAACTTCATACAGACCACATGTTTCATAAGAACCACGGGCCAGATTCAGGACACAGTTCTGCAAAAAACCTCACTTTTAAATTAACGTAATTTTATCTGATACAAAATCCCTTAACATGATCAAATACTCTCCAGCTTAGGTATATTTTTTATGGATATGATAAGAGGGTAGCTGGCATTAAGGCCCAAGGCATACTATATCCACATACAGGTCGAGATCTTCCCCTGGCTACGTACGGTGCGAAATAAGTTCAACATACATACAACCTCTCTACAACAGCCGACATTTGCAGCCAGGTAACGTCACCACTGCACTAGTGCAAGCTTAGATGCACTTTGAGGCTGGCAGATCATCGGTGAGACCCAAGTGTTATGGGTTGAGTTAGACTGACAGATGCACCACACCACCCATATTACACTAAATGTGATTCCAAAGAACACAGGATGAGATGTTACTATCCTTTGTGCAAGCACTTCCAAGAGTTCATGAACAGTGAGCCTGGTGAAATTTGGGGAGCGCATCGTCAGTAGTGAACCTTTGGTTCCTCGGGTGTTTCGGCCTTTCATACTATACACCCTCCCCAAAGGCGGCCAGCGACAGGGTGATCAATCCTACGCTTGCCTCCCATTCCCAATTAGTCATAGGAGTTGCCTTGTTGTTGATAGCCAACATCCCATGGGACTATGCATGGCAGGGGCGTCCTCCTCTCTGAGTCAAGCAATGTTGACTGCATACCTCCTGGCCCTCTCATTTTGGGGCCCAGCTGGGGTCTTTCCTCTTCGTCCAGAGCCACTGACTGCTGCCTTCTGCCGCCTCCGATACAGCTCTGATTGCCGAACGCTGGCTCTGGCCCTTAATTCCCAGGTCTCTAAGCAGTCTGGTTGTAGATGTTGCCACAAAACCTCTGCAGCCCACCTCCACTGGTCGGACTTATGTGTTCCAGCCATGATGCCGTGCTTCGGCAGCTAGATCGGCATAGCGCAGATGTTTTCGCTCATAAGCCTCATCTACTGAGTCCTCCCAGGGTACTGTGAGCTCAATGATGAAGACCTTCTTGAGCGAACGGGACCAGAGCACCATGTCAGGTCTTAGGGTGGTGGTTGCGATCTCCGGAGGAAACACAAGTTGCCGGCCAATGTCAGCTCGCGGGCCAAGCGCAGCTGGTCTCGCTCTATTGGTGTAGAGCCGCTCTTCGGTGGTTTAGCCCCTTCGCGGACAAAGGTCGTCCGTAAGGGGTGTGATGCTGCTGGGGGTGGTACGGAGTTGGTGGCAGCTCGCTTGTCCTCCAGGGCGGACGCAAGGTTTTTAAGGACTTGGTTGTGACGCCAAGTGTAGCGTCCTTGGGTGAGGCTTGCTTTACACCCTGTGAGAATGTGCCTGAGGTTGGCTGGCATGGAACAGAGGGCACAGTCCGGAGCTTCACCATACCATTGTTGAAGATTAACTGGTGTTGGAAGGACGTCATATGTTGCTCTGATGGAAAAGCTCAACCGCCTCGCTTCCAAGGCCCACAGATCCTTCCAGCTCACACACAAAATACACCACCTCACCATCACTCACTCAGCAATAATCACAACAGAAACACACACATCACACATAACACATCCTACTCCATATGTTCATGTTGACCATGCTGATCAACATCATCAATATCTTCAACAACATCATCGTCATCATCTTCCCCACCATGCGTTACCCATGGCGTGCTGGCAAGCTCCTGCGGGTCCTCGTGCCCGTGCGAAAGCGAGCGCGTATCAGCGCTGCCATGCGCGTGCACGTGCACATCTGCACCCGCTTGTCCGAGCACATGCACGTCCGTGTCCCTGTGCACGAGCACAACCTTGGTCCGGTTGTGCGAGAGCACGCCGGCGCCGCCGTGTTTTAGTACGAGCACGTCGGCGTCGTGGCGAGCGCAGGCAAGCACACTCGCGTCCTCGTCATCCATGTCCGTGCCGGAGTTCCCCTGCGAGCGTATTTTCTCGCAATGCCCCCCCCCGCACGACAGCGTCGGCGACGGCGCCAGCACGGTCGAATGGCCCGGAGACGGTAGCTCGCCGGCCGCGCTCGTGAAGGTTACAGCCCCAGACGACGGGCTAATAGTGTAGGTGACATGCTGCCCCGGTAACGACACGATGCCCGACGAGCTCGTGTAGGTGACGGGCTGCTCCAGCGATGCCATGGTCTGCCCCAGCGAGCTTGTGATGCTGTGTGCGGGGGTGATGTGAATGGAGCCGCCCGCACGCTGCACCATGTCCAGCGTGGCCAGGATGGCGCTCTCCAGTGACACCCCTACCATAGTGGAAGCCACGCCAGCCTCTCCGCACGCCACACCCACTTCCCTGCAAGCCACATCCCCCTCGTCAGCGCCCACACCCCCGTTGTCACAGGTCATGCTTCCATCTTCGCAGGTCACGCTCCCTTCCGGGATGGATTCGGTCACTGTAACCACCACCTAAAAGAGGGAAAACAATGGTAAAAATGCATCGAACCATCTGGAACACCACCCAGAGCACAGCTTACCATCACAAATCTAAACAAGCGATTTCTCCCCGGAAAGCTGGAATCTCTACCAGGTGTTCGAGATGATGAGGAGCATGACAAAGTCTGCTGCTGAAAAGCCACAAAATAATCTAATCCTGTTGTATCTATCCCTCCCAATATAAAAAACCTCCAGAGGAGCATATTGTTATGAAGGTTTGTACACAATGAACAGTGACTAGATTTGGAATTTTGAAAATTCATGTACATCAATAATCTTTAATGAGAGGATTCATCTCCGAACAAAACTCTTCTTCGACCAATATTATCCGTGGTTGGGCATCGAACCCGGGTGACCAGGTTCATATCACAGTGCACGACTCCCCGAAAGACAAACCCACACACACGTACACACGTACACACATACACACACTCTTGCATGCGGTGATGCCCTGACCTGGTGAGTGGTTTCAGTGGTGTGCATCTCAAGCTTGGTGCCAGGGGACGAGGCTGCTGGGTCATCTTCCTCTTGTAGTGTAGTCAGCTGTGTCTGGAACAAACACAAAGATCACCTGTATAACCTTAACAGACTGTAGGAGTAAGTGCTGTTAGCGAGCAACCTATGAAGGCCGACAAGACACACAAGGGAGTAGAAGGCGAGCACCACACCTGGCACCCTTTGTCTCCCCAGTGACAATGTTTACACACCGCACCAGGTACTCATTTGAGGCTGAGTCGACCTACGGGAGGCCCTGGACCAGTTCAGATAATCGTCACTAGTGTTGGCCATGAGCGGAAATCGAACTGTGGTCGCCAGGTTCGTAGCACCACGCACTAACCACTACACTATCGCAATCTGGTACACAAGTGTGGACACACGGCACAAAGACATTCTTTACACTTTCCAACTAAGGTTGAAAGCATGAATGCATTGGCCCTGTTCGTCTGTCACAATAATTATCCTGAAGATGATATATTAGTGGAAATGTTTCATATAAAAATGTTGTTGCTCTTTGGGAAAGAATTCACCCCATTAGAAAACCAGCAAAATTAATTAATTGTCTTGAGCAACATTACAGAACTCTGAAATATATTGTAAAAGTTGTGAATGGTAGTTGTATTGTCACTGAAATGGATGTTCAGACCAACAAGCTATCCCATCAAGTAATATTTGCATAAATTTGAGGCTTTGTGAAGTTAATCTCGCAGGCTTTTTTATTTATTAACTTCGGGATAGTGGAATTCATAACTTCCAAATGTTACGTTACATATAACTCTCATATACAGAGCATGTAAACACACTACCCATTAAAAATTTACTATATTAAGAGCCACTTTTACCTTACAGTAAGTGCTCGTAAAAATGCATTCCTCAACAGTGCCGCATTAAGCGAAAACTATTTCCCCATAAATAATGTAATGATAAAGTTTGGCGAGATAAAATATAAACGCACACACAGTAAGATGTTGGGACAAATAACATAGGATATGGCACCGCGCTACAGTTTCATTCCGCGTACTATATCATACCGCTCAGCAGCGCAACTCAAGAAAGTAGTTCGTCATCGACTGCTCAGAAACCATGTGATAACAGACACGTTCTGTGTTAAAACAGACGCGTTCCGCTGCATAATGAGCGCTTTCCACGTTGTGCGAAAAGTGTTGCTTCATGGAAGAAGCGCATTTTAACGAAAACGTGTTGTGTGAACACGCGTTCAAGCGAGGACTTACCGTATTTCAAATCCATTGTGAAATATAACAACCGTATCATATCCACCCAACTTCTTGAAATAAATCCGTACTGTGGCAATGTAAAAACCAGGTTGGATTTATTTTTTCATGCACTCTATTATTTCCTGTAGGGAGGTTGGACTGGCGCAGATCCTGTTACAATGTGGCAGGTGTAATGCTGCTAAGAGTGGTGTGGCTGGAGTGGTGGGTGTTCAAGGTGACGTGTTGTGGTAGAATCAGTGTTGCTGGTGTGGTTACCGGCACGATGGTGATGGTGGGTGTGTTCTCCAGGTCCTGGCCCTGAGCGAAGTGAATGTGCACCAACTACAAACCACCACGACATACAAGAACAAAGACAGACGCACACACCGCAATTACACATCATACACAACACACCAATCAAGACTATCCCGTTTACGGTGGTAAATGATAAAGCAGCATTAAACAGCCATGACAAAAATTGTTCTCGCGCCCGTATTTTGCAGGTTTAACCGGTGTGAATTGTCAGAGTGAATTGTGCCTCGAGATAGAAGAAAGATGCACCATATTAACATAAATACAATGAGAATTACAGGCAATGCCAAAATAAGTTGTAATTTTTTTAATTTTTTATTTACTTACACTGTCTTAAAAGGAAATACATATTTAATCGGTGAAGTTTCGGGCAATCGCCCTTCTTTATATAGCCAGAGATGCCAAATGTTCATAGCCAAAATAGTCATTGCACAATGCTTGCAAAGGAGTTTGTCGTGGGAGTGGTGGGTATAATGCTGTGCGCAGGCTATAAGTGGTGAAGCTCTGAAGCTTAGCTGTACACACAATGACTATGGCGCTTGTACGTGGATTGCACGTGGAGATGTAAAATAGAATGTGTGCGCACGGTGTCACGCTGCCCAAACAAGTGTGGGGTGGTGCTGCTTATGTTGGGTGGCGATCTTAAAACAGGCGTGGGAATCCCACAAGCGCTAGGGCAAGAGGTCGTCATATTATTGTTATTATGCTTGCTTACCGAGGAAAAGCCTCACCGAGTTCCAAGACTCTTCTTCAGAAGGGTCCTGTCAAGTTTTCGCAGTAGGGGGGGCAATGTTCATATTTGTAATCCCAATTCAGAAATTTGCAGGCCATTTTTCAGCATTAGGACATTTGGCCAATACCAAATACATTGTATATATTTTTTTGCTATGGGAGAAAACTAGAGAACGCAAAGGAAACCTATGTAGAACAGGGGGAGAACATACAAAAACCATAGAGAAGCGCGCCCGAGTCAGGAATCAAACCCAGGTGCTTCTTACCTGTGGGGCGCAAGCATTGTGTTGAAAGTGTGCATGGCAGACGGGGTGTGCTTGCCTGTGCCTGGTTTGTGCGAGCGTGTGCGTGAGTGCGTGAGTGAATGAGTGTGTGCATGAGCGCATGTGACTGTGTGTGTGTCATCTCAGTCAGTCGACCCGTGGCACCTGGATCTGCCCCGTGACCTCCTGCCAGCGGGCGTTCGACACTTCACGTGGCCTCAAGGTGCACATGGCCTGGCACAAGCGTCGTGGTGACGTCACCGCCACTTAGTGGCGAATGGCGGTTGTTGTTGTGTGCGTGTGGGTGTGTGCGTGTGTGGGCGTTGTGCGTGTGTGGGCGTGTGCGTGTGTGGGCGTGTGTGGACGTGTGTGGGCATATGCATGCGCGCGTGCGTGTGTGGACGTGTGTGGGCATATGCATGCGCGCGTGCGTGGGTGTGTGCGGGTGTGTGCGCGTGTAGATGTGTGCATGCAGGGCAAGCCACACCTCAGGGTGCTTGCGCTTGAGGTGGCGCGTGAGGGAGGCGCGCGTGGACACCTTTGCCCCACAGGCGTCGCAAGCGCGTGCCTCCACGCGCTGGTGGGTGAGCTGCTCATGCTTGTGCAGCATGTACTCCGTGACAAACTTTCGCTGACACAACGTGCACTCAAACTGCTTCCCAACTGGTGCACACGGGGAAAAACACGAGGACACAAATCAGCCGCACATTTCTTTGGAACTCTGTGAGAGCCCCCTAGAGAAAATACGTCCACTTCAGATGCATACCTGGAGCGATTGCTCTGGATGCACAAGGTGAGTTGACATGTCTGTGATTCATAATTCAAGTCAGAGCGCAACTGACACAAATAATGAATTAATGTGGAGCAGGTGAGTCCATTCATTTGCAAGGTGAACTGATATTTTTTTATATTCTTAGGTTTTTTCGGTCAAGTCACGTAGGTAAAAAATAAAAATTAATAAAAGTAAAATAAAATAAAAAAACACGACGTTTCGGAGGCAACACAAGCTTCCGTCTTCAGGTGGAACCGTCACAGCCACGACAGCTGTATCAAGTAAATGAGAGATTACAAGAGCTACCACTCCGTATATATAATGGTTGAAGAGGGGAAGGGCCAAGTACGGCACACTTTTTTTTATTAATATGGTAAGGTGAGGCTTAAGACTAAGAATAGACTGCTTATCAAAAGACTGAGCCTTTGTTATGGAGAGGTACGGTTTGTGACTACGCCTAGCCTACATAAAAATGTGAAAAAAGAAAAAACTAAACCTGGTAAAACAAGACTGGCTGTCTATCAATAACCTGTAATAGTTGTCTGTCAAATAAGATGGTCCAAATAAGTGTAGTTAAATCTTTTTGCATGGTTAATCACATCTTTCCAATGATTACTCAGTTTGTAACCATCATCACGGTTGAAATTATGTCTGTGTTTGTATATTTGTATGGCTTCGTGTACAAACCTTTGATGGTAGCCAGGAGGTTTGCAGAGCACCTTGGTCTCGGAAAAGACAATTTCATGTGAGCCCACAGAGTTGTAACAATGATCGGCAACGGCCGAAGAATCAGTTCTGCCGTGTTTCAGATCTGACTTGTGCTCGCGGACACAATCAGAAATATGACGTTTCGTTTCTCCAATGTGGCAATCACCACAACTGCAACTCAATTTGTAGACTCCAGGATATTGTAAGTCAGGAACGACATCCTTCACAGACTAAACAAGTGGGCATAGCCATGCCAGGGCAGCCCCTGGGTTAGACACGAGGCAATATTCCCCCTACAATCCAGAATGGGTGTTTTTACTTCTCGATGTTTGAAGTGCGCATCACGCAGGGGTGGCATGTGTCTTACCCGTGTGTACCAACTTGTGCACCTCCAGGCTGTTCCTCTCACAGAAGGTTTTCCCACACAGCTCGCACATGTAGTCCTTGGTACCTGCACCTCACACACGGTACGGAGCAATTCCACCGCACCGGGGTGCACACGACGTAGCACGCCACCCGCAACAATTGAACAAATTATGTGGTGATGCTGCTGCTGCATTGGCCGTGGTGCAAACGCAATGAGGAAAAAACACAACACGCTCGTCAATAAAACTGTCTTCAAATACAAAGATACAATCGGTGACGTTTCGGACAATGGGCCATGTTCATAGCACATTAATGTCGCCGATTATAGATTTATTTTTCAAGGCAGTGTTGTCGATGAGTGTGTTGAGTTTTTGTTAATAATTGCAGTGTAGTCCGGTAAAATAAAACCCGCAAAGCACTGATGAGGGATTGAGCGTGGTGTTCTAGCATGGAGCTTGCGTGTGGATTGTATAAAGCGGTGTGTTGCAGTTGAGCGAAAGTGGTGTTGTGTGTAGGCCTGTGTTCCAGAGTGGTGGTTGGTTTTAAGATATCGTGTTGTGGAGTGGGTGTGTGCTTTGGTGTATTGCGGCATAATGTGGCATGGTTGAAATGGACAGATGCAATGTGGGGTGATGCAGTGTGGTGTGCAATATATGTGCGATGTATAAAGCACGACCCTTTGTCCATCCACTGCTCGCTTAAGGTCTCCCCACACCATATTGGTTATAGAGACTGTTTGACCATACATCACCACACTGGTCAGGACCGGTTGTTGAAGGGGGGACTAATTTTTTTATTACTTGCCACTGGAAATGGAACTTTGGTTGCCAGATTTATAGTGCAATTTGCTAATTATTGCACGACCACTAGACCATAATTGTGATGTGTTGAGTTAAACAAGTGTTAGGTGGTGTGTGGAATGCCGTGGCGAGATGTGGTGTGATATGGAGTGCTATTATTGTGGGAGCGGTGATGCAGTGGTTTGCGTATTGTGTCGTGTTGAAAGAGTGCACTATGAACCTGATGAACCGAGGTCAAAACCCAGCCACGACCGATATCAGTGACGAGCCAGATCTCAACTGCTCCTTACACCTTCCCAACTTCACCATACTGCACCCACCAGTGTGGCGAGCTCTGGCTAAGTAACTCATAACATGCCGTTGGTCGGCCTTCATCCACCAGCAGTGGATTAACAAAAGGGTAGCATATTACTGTTGTTATAACGTGGGACGGGGTGGACTGCGTATGGTGCTGTGATTGAAGGAATTCGTACCGGAGTGGCGTCGCATATGCTTGAGCATGTTGACCTTTTGACTGAAGGCCCGGCCACAGATTTCGCAGGCAAACTCACGGATCCCCTTATGCAGCTTCATGTGGTGGCGCAGAGCGTGTTTTGTCTTCATGCCTGAAAATAACATACACACCATGTACACAAAGTGACAGAACAAAGATCCCCTATATAGCCAATTTAGAATGTCGGGGGAGCATCTGTTAGTGAGCACCTATGAAGGCTTGCACAATGCACGAGGGGATGGTGCGGCTAACCCACGCCCGGTTACTTTTGTCACCGAAGTTCTCACGTTAACGCTCCGCATCAGGTACTCATTTTAGTAGACCCGTGGATGATGATAGGAACTGCGACGTCTGTTCCCCACATCACTGTGGGTTAGAGTTCTCCTGTGTGGTGCGAGTGCTTTGTGCGTGCTCTAGGTGCTCTCGTGAGTACCCTTTCCGCATTCTGCACAGAGGTACTCCCGGATGTTGTCGTGCACACGCATGTGCTCCTTCAGCATGTCCTTTCTTGCGAAGCACTTCCCGCACACATCGCATCCGTGTGTCTTTTCTCCTGCAGACAAACAGATCCCCCCTATAGCCACAACAGACTTTTTGAGCAGATGCTAATCGCGGGCACCTTATGAAGGTCAACACGGCAAACGAGGGAGTGGGTGGCCAACACCACGCCCGACCACCCTTGTCACCTTGGTGCTCATGTTTACACACCACGCCAGGTACTTATTTAAGTATGAGTCGATCGAGGGTAACACACACACCCACCATGCCAACCGACATTGTACATTAGTAGGTAATGCATGGATAATTGTGTATTTTAGCCACCCCCATGTCAATTCCAATGTGAATGCCACTTTGTGCACCCATGTACAGTACCTGTGTGTATGACACGATGTCGTTCCAGGTTCCCGGAGCTGTTAAAGATCCTTCCACACAATTCACATGGGTGTATGTATCTGGAACCACAAAGAAGACAACAATAACCATAAAACAATAAACTTTCGTCTCTCTCTTTTAAAACAAATACAAGAACAACAACCGCCATTCGCCACGAAGTGTCAGTAACGTCACCACGACGCTTGTGCCAGGCTATGTGCACGTTGAGGCCACGTGAAGTGTCGAACGCCTGCTGGCAGGAGGTCACGGGGCAGACCCAGATGCCATACTACGACTGACCGAGACGATTGGCTGATGCACCACCTGTGCCCCCTACTGTGCCAACTTGCTGTGCTTTAGTCACCCGGCGCTCCGCTCGTTGTTGTGAGCGTCGCTCCTCCCCCCTCTGTTGTTGTTGGAGGGCGACTGCATCCAACTGCTCAGTAGTGTCCTTCACGAGCCTCCTCCACAGAGGACGATCTTGACACCGCTGGTACCAGTCATCGGCAATTCCACTCAGCTCCACATCCTCCTTACCACATCACTCCATCGTTTCTATAGCCCATGCCGCGCCCATTTAGCCTCCTCGATCCGGCCGAACAAAAGCTGTTTAGGCATGCGGTGGCTGGGCATGCGGGCTACATGACCCAGCCAACGCAGCCTTGCCTGCCGAAGGAGCTCACCGATGGTTAAACCCAGGATAGATTCTAGGTAGCCCAGCCTAAATGTTTCTAACCAGCGAAGATGTTCCATTTCGGGAGGTCCACGTTTCGCAAGCATAGAGAAGGGAGGGAATGACTGTGGCTGAGAAGACTTGAAGCTTCATGTGGAGCGCAAGACCAGGTAGCTTCCATACAGCATTACGCAACCAATGTAAAGATAATGCCGCTTGACTGATTCGGAGTGAGACCTCTACTGTTAAACCAGAGCCGATCATGAGCACACTGCCCAGGTATGGGAAACTCTCCACTCTCTCCACAACTGCCCTATAACCAATTGGGAGTTGTGGGGGCAGAGTGTCCGATGGTACAGAATACCCAGGCAGGTGCTTAGTTTTGGTGGGGCTGATGGTAAGGCCCCACCTATTAGTGGCAAGCTCCAGGTTCAGCAGCAGCGCCTCCAACTCCTCCTCTGAGTGAGCAGCAATTACGAGATCATCGGCATACATAACATGGTTGAGCAATAGGGAGCTAAATTGTACTAAATTGTACTAATAAAACAAATACGACACCCACTATGGAGGTAGGCCCGCTCATTGGTCAAGCATGAGGCCATAAAATCTTAAATTGGGAACAAAATTCTGAGGTTTCATAAATTCTTTGGGAGACCAGAACAGCATTTTCAAGACCAAGACTGTCTCGGCCACACCAGGATGTGAGGTAGCTCTAAGTGGTGTAAATTCCACATTTCTATGGCAGGCGTCCATCTATTCACATGACGCATTTACGGTGCGTGGTGCCACGCTGGGTGTGCATGAAAAATTGTGATGGTGCATGGTGTGGTGTTTGGTAAATTTTGACACGGAGTGGTGTGATGCAGCATCATGCCGGTCGTGGTGTTTGGTAAATGGCGACACAGCGTGGCGCGGTACAGTGCCGGTGGCAGTGTTTGGTACAACAGCGGTGCGACGTGGTGCGACAGTGTGCCGTACTTGTGCACAGTGGGGTCGGACTCGGGCAGTCGGTCGCGATGGATCACCATGTGGGCGTGGTACGTGGCTTTGAGCGCAAAACGGCGGCCGCAGATGTCACAGCAGAAGCCACGCTCTTTGTGGATCTCCATGATGTGGCTCAGGTACTCCCCGCCACGTGCAAACGTCAGCTGTGTGTGCACGCAAAACAAACGCAAAGTTCTCCCTCGTATCGCCTCTACCAGACTGCGGGGACAAAGTGCTGTTAGCAAGCATTCATTAAGGCCAGCGGAGGACACGAGGGAGTAGTGTGGCCAGCACCACACCAAGTTACCTATTTCTCCAAGACAGAATAGTGCTTGCATTCTGGAAGCCAAAAACCGTAATACATACAAAAGCAGATTTGTAAATGTATGTATGATGGTGAACTTTTTTCACAGCATACGTAGACAAATGTGCTAATCGGAGGTCTGGGGAAAGGCCAACAAATTAAACACAAAAAGCAGTTCAAAAGAAATGAGTTCCAAATCTAGATGATTTCAAAGTGCACAGCTCTAGTGGCTAATATCGGAAAAGCGTTCCAGATGGCCGCAGAAGTGCATATGAAAGCGTGCGATGCAGTGACCATCTTTGTTAGATGGCTAGCCAAAAACCGCAGCGAAGATGACTGGAGTTTGCGTGATGGTGTATAATAATAGGCACAATTTCTACCATCGGATCAGTCCTCCCATTATATCTTGCATTGTCAAATGACATCACCTTGCTGCCTGTATAATTGCACACTGCCTTGTTTTAGACCAATGATTTAGACAGCAACAGCAGGACGATAAGATAACTGTACACCTGCTTAATCCTTGATAGGAATCACCTGTATAGTATAACAAGCACTCGGCCTGTGATTATTAACTGATTCATAAGCTCATGATACAAGCGTTGAATTTAAAGTTCAGGATTTATGCTGATTATATGCAAATGGGGCTTTAGGTTAACGGAAATAAACCAGACCAAACAAAAGAGAACAAGACACGAAACAAAATAACAGGACAAACAAGACATGCATCAATTAATTCCTACAACTGTGACCCTGAATTGTAACAATTCATCAAATCATATGGAGGGGTGGCACTGGGTGAATGATTACGTGTCTATCATAGACCCTTTGCATTCCATCTCCCCACCCGCCTGCCAGCACCTGACAGCGCTTGCAGTTGTATTTGTGGGGTGCGTCTTCATGGGAATCTCCGGGTGGTCCGTCCTCGTCAGCTTGGATGCCCAGCTGACTAATGAAGGTGTCACGTTCCCCGTCGGCCATCAGAGCAATGTCCTGCAGCCGCATGCATGCATACCCACTCGCACACAGCTTACACAAAACAACCCTTCTCTCCTCCCACCAAGCACATAGAGTTTAGCCATACAGACTGTTGGGGCCAGTGCTGTTAGTGAACACTTGCTGAACTTTACATACTGCACTTAACCTCGTGGAAGCCTAGGACCAGTTCAGATATTCACCACTGATATTGGTCGTGAGCAGGAATCTTGCCCCCCTTCACTAGAACAAACTTCCCCTCCACATTAAGCAGTCATTCTCGCTTACTAGTTTCCACTCTTCCCCCAAAACTCGTTGTTTTCCGTTAACTCAACCCACGACCCCAAACTCCCGCTTCTAACCACCACTACCGTTCCTGCTCCCTCTTCAAAATCTCATTACATGGCTACCACTCATTTCCCATCCATCCAATTTATTCATCATAATTTAGTTTAATCAATTTAGTTTTTACCTAATTCACACATCAGAGATTCATCCATTACTTCTTCTCATCTATTTTATTCTCATCTCCACCATTACATTCATATGTACCATTTTTACTTCTCTAGAAAGCGCTTTCATCAAGGCGCTATATAAATTACGTGAAGATAAGATATTAGTTGTGAGCGGGAATCGAACTCCGGTCGCCGGGTTCGTAGCGTTGCATGCTAACCACTGCACCACCGCTCCCAACTCTCCTCCCCCACACGCACCTAACCACACAATTAATTGCACATAGACATGGACACAATATAGCTAGGTTGTTAATGCAAATACTATTAACACTTCTATACAATGTAAGTGGGCGACCTAGCCAGGTGGCACGGTGTTATGAGTGTGGGAAAGATTCAAATTTTTCTGCGGTCGACATAATGAGCACTACTTGGTCGTATGTATGTACAGTATGTTGAACTTCTTTCGCACCGTACGTAGCCAACCGTGCTAATCGGAGGTGCGGGGGAAGGACAACAACCGGCAGTGGTTATTGTGTGAATAAGTTCGCCCATGTCACAGAAGCGTAATTTGGCTCAGGAATGAAAACAGGAGATGATCAACGCCCCCACGCTTTTTCGAGTAGGCACTTGATTCGTCGTGCCGTGTTACGGTGACTGTGCGGTATGCAGGAAATGGTGGGTAGCGTGGATTATTGTTCAGCGCATAGTTGCGTGAAACAAAGGATGCCCGTGTGGTGTGGTATGCATGGTGGTGGTGTGTTGCGATGCGTACTGCACTTGGTGTAGTGTATGTTAATGATATGTTCAACGAGAACTATGACCAAATCACCCAGGATGCACCTGACAGCATCATATCTCGAAAGCCAAGCTGCATTAAGATTGGATAGTGCTTGGATGGGCGACTGGCAGGCATGCATTATATTACATAACACAATTTTTGTTCCTGGGTGGCAAGTGTTATTTTTTAACTGCTTATGCCTAAAAAGTATAGAAAATTACTATTATTCCACACAAACTTTGCTTTTGTGACCAGGACTTTATGCGAATGAAAGACACAAATGCACACGTTTCCTGATGGAAAATAGGTAAATTTCTAAATATCACAAAAGCAAAGTTTGTGGAGAATAATAGCCATTTTCTGTAGTTTTGATGCATAAGCAATAGGAAATAACACTTACTACCCAGGAACAAAAAGTAAATAAATTTGTTACACAGCGTTATTAATGGAGTGGACTATTAACTTTGCTTTTGTGTCCTGGTCACAAAAGCGAAGTTTGTGGGGAATAATAGCGACTTTCTGTACTTCTGAGGCATAAGCAATTAGGAAATAACACTTACTACCCAGGAACAAAAAGAGTTTTTTGTTACACAGGGAAATAATTAATTAATTGCCTGCAGAGGTAAATGAAGCAACACCCATCGTTGCACTGTACTATGCGACATTATTTCTGCTCCCAGACCAGCGTGGCGACATACGGTCAAAAAACCACAGAACCTGCACGTTGTGTGGGGAGTCTTCATCAAGCTGTGGATATACTTAAAGGGCTGCACGTGTATATAGTTATTATTATTATTTCCCGCACCTCCGATTAGCACGGCTGGCTACGTACGGTGCAAATGAAGTTCAACATACATACGTAGTTGCACAAAACTGGGCGAAAACCCTGGGGCCGGCCCAGGACACGCTGGCAGGACTATGTCGCTCGGCTGGCCTGAGAACGCCTGGGAATTCCCGAGAAAGAGCTAGTATCCGTCGCCAGGGAAAGGGAGGTCTCGATCGCCCTACTCAACATGCTGTCGCCGCGACCCTCACCAAGACAAGTGGATTGAGAAACGAACGAACGATACCAAGGGTACAGCACGCGTTGTACAGTGTAATAGCGTGTGCTGTAATGTGCAGTGTGCTTGGTATAAGAATAGAGAGTGCGATACGTTCACTGCACGTGGGGCGGTGTGCTTGCCTTGAAGTGCACGTGGATGTGGTCTCGAAGGACGTCCACGCGGTAGAACCTGCGGCCACAGATCTCGCACGCGTACTTCTTGTCTCCGTGAGTCAGCAGGTGTTTGTTCATGTTACTGCGACAGGAGAACACCTGTACGATGGACACCATCAATTCAATCTCTCGGTTATCTACAGCATAGCATTGAGACAACAGACCGAACAAATTAACGGGTGGAGATTGGCGGATGACAACCAAACTCTCGCAGTTTTCTGTTGGCTGGAGTTGGGTTTTTTCGCAGATCAATGTTAACGATTGTTCAACGTGCATACATATATTTTTTACACGGTAATAAATCAAGAGGTATTGATTTTTTTCAATACCTACAGATTCATTCTGACCTTAATGAAGCTGCAATAATGACTTTGCACTCAGCTATGAAATAAAGAAAATAGGACTATCCCCTAGTTTCAAATTGTGTTCATTTACTTCAAGAGAAGTATGGGCTTTCAATGCATGATGTCGCCCAGCATGAAAATATAAAATTGTGGTTTTGAATAAGAAATATGTTACAATAATATTCACAAAAACTAGTTTTTTTTTCATTTGACAAAATTATTTAACCGCATATTCACTGTTTTTGGGCCTACGCCTCATCATGAAACCACTAAATGATTTGAACAGTGGTTTGGATGACCTTGCCCACGTTCATAATGTCACCTTATTGCACACAGGACAGGGCGAGGGCTCCTTGCGATACTTGTTTCGCCCCTCTGTCTCCGCATCTCCATCCTCCTTGCTCCAGCGCTTAGCACCTACACCAAAACAAACACCAGAATTTACACAAGATACACGCATGGGCTTAATTTAAGCCGGGTATGTCAGTGACCTGGAAGAAAAAACCACATCCAGTATACCTCTTGCAATGGGTGTGGCTACTACAGCAAAGTGCACAAAAAATGGAGTGTCTAGTTCGTTGAGATGAGACTGGGACCTGTGATTATATAATGTGCATAATGCCCTTTGCAAGCTGTGACTAAAACATGACACAGGGTACACACGACCCGGGTGCCAGCACAGATGCTCATGCTTAACGCTGTGTACGCGTGATGTGCCGAGGTGAAGCGTGTGCCGTGCCGCGAGGTGTGGTGTGGAACGCACGTTCCAAATGCCGGCGCAAATGCTCCAACATGACGTCGCGTCTGTAGAAGCCCTTGTGGCAGACCTCACACGCAAAGCGTCGCTCCCCGTGCTTCTTGCGGTGCTTGGAGAGATTGGATCCGGTGGAGAAGAACTTCATGCACACCCCGCACTGGAAGGTGCGCTCATCTGTAGCACACAGCAACAGCACGTGCGCACACCACGGTGTCAACTGGGGACCTTGGACCATGTTTTTTTCCGGCAGTCCACATAATGACATCATACATCATGTGTTGTATGTATGTTGAACTTCTTTTGCGCCGTACGTAGCCAACTGTGCTAATTGAGGGTGTAATTTCACACGGTGTCATGACATCACAATGTCCGTACATGCAATAATCTATGCCTCTCGTCTCCATTCTCTCATATCTTTCTTGTTTATCTCACACTCTTACCAGTAATCTTTAACTGTTGTCTATAGCACTCTCGCATCTATATTTTGATGATCTCGTCCCAGTAATCTGCATCTCTTCATGTCTCGGTAAGCTACATCTCTTGGTGAGCCACTCCAAGAGTCACAGGCCACAAGTTGAAGAACTCTGGTGGATGTAATGTCATCACCCAGGGTTGTGATGTGGTGTTTCAAAGTGCGGTGTGTGGTAAGTGAATGTGGGTGGATGGATGCACAGATGTGTACATTAGTGTGTCTTGCTGCATGGTTTTCCGGTGTGCCATGATGGGAGTACCCACCAGTTTGACAATTGTGAAATTGCAATGCCCCCTCGGTCTTGAAGGCCTTGTGGCAACCGATGCACTGATGTGGGAATTCAATGTCCACCTGCTCGACACGCACACATGGAATTATTAGTCAATGCACCATTAAAACTGTTTCACAGAGGTACTATTGATCATCCTGAAAAGTTCTGCGAAGCGAAAACTACGGCTTTGTGAATGCTTTACATGCATCTGGACAGAAGGAAGTTAGGCGTTTAGCCACACAAGGGAAGTGTGTGGTACGTGAAGGATTTTGTTACCCGAAGATGAAGGAATTTAGATGAGACAATGTTTAGTCATGGAAAGTTTAGAGCTACAACACAGACAATGTCAACACTGCAGGAAACTGGAAGGTATGAGTCGCTGAACATGCAGAAGTGGTGACGCAGCATTACACAGCAGAACATGCAGCCGCTACTCGTTAATGATAGAACACACTACCTGGATAAACATTCAATATTCCTCGTTCAAAAACCAGGTGAGAACCTGTGAGAAGGGATGTCTCTCCTACAAGTAAAAACCAGATAGCACTGCTGTATGCACACTGTGTGCATGAACAAACTGCCTGGATACAGACGCTCCTCCACATTAGCAACAACCTTCCCACTTATGAAGAAAACAAAGAAAATGCACAAAAGCTTTCCTACCAATAAAGAAAACAAAGAATACACGCACACACGCACACATGCACACACGCACACACATGCACCCATACCGTGGGGCGGCTGTGTTTGTAGGACACATGCTGTTTGAGGCTCTCCTTCCGAGTGAAGTCCTTTCCGCACTCCTCACAGCGAAACATCTTATCCCCTGGCCAATGAGAACAATATTATAACAACCACTCCCATAGTAACGCAGTGATGACTCTTAAGAACAAAGCACAACAATCAGTCGGTGTACATCTATCTCAATCGAGAATCATCACAAGTAAACACCTGATACCATTTGCGTATGTATGTAGAACTTCTTTTGCACCGCACATAGCCAACCGTGCTAATTGGAGGTGCGAAATTTTAACAAAATGCTATGAGCGTATCCTCATATTAGGTGCATTGCCATTATGCCCGTGTTCATGTGTTTGTTGTGTCCATGCGGTTGCACGCACGTTTGTTGAATTTTATGTACACGTGACCCTACACGTGCATCCCAGTTGGTACCCGTCTGTAGATTTGTGTCTGTGGCAATGCATACCATGTGAGCGCACATGTCGGTTGAAGTTGCTGCAGTTGCTGAAGGTTTTTTGACAGAACTCGCACTGCAGGACCCTTTGAGGTCGATACCCCTTCCTGCTGAATCTGCGCCTGTGTATACAAACAATGGACACCGTTTATAATTAAGTGCAGGACTCCTGGCCACAGCGTAATACTTAGAAGTGAGTGACATCTGAACCAGTCCTGGGTTACTGCTTTACCAAACACGAACTGACCAGCATGGTCAAGTACGGTCAAATAACCCCCATGATCGACACAACATTGGGCTTCATCCAGCAGTGGATTGACAAAGGCTGCAAATTAGGATGATTTTTGACTCACAAGCTTAAGGCTGCGAGTTCAAATCCTGGTCTGGGATCAATAAAGTCCATCATCCCTCTGCTGTCGATGAAATAGGTAAAATTGAGTGGGAAGTCAACGGCGGAGAAGTGGACATCACTCGGCATGCCTTTTAGCTTCTGCATAACGCGAAAAAAGGTTACTGCATTTAAACTGGACCCAAAGAGTAACCAACGTAGAAGAAAAAGGTTGCATATAGAAAACGTGGTGCAGGCAGTGATGAAAATGAAACTGGCACTATTTTGATAAATATCTCGGGTGGACAACAACAGGAGAACTTAAAGTGTGTTGTTTGGAAAGATGGGAGGAAACGGAGAGAGAGGAAGAGCTAACAGAGAATGGCTTGAAGACATCAGAGATTGATTGGTGCCAGAGAGATGCGCACTACTTGAGCAATTTGGCACGAGCCAGAGTAAAGTGTAAACAAATGACGAAATGTGCAGTGGCCACCTACGAGCTATCTGCCCATGGATTGTGATAACAATGCTAAAAAAGACGAAGCTGAGCAAGTCCCTATGCACGGGGTAAGGAATACCAAGCAATGTTTCCGCATATGAATATTTACGACTGTAAATTATGGGAATCCTTTAGCTTGTGTCTTACAGGCGAGGCATGTGCCAGAGTGTGGAAATCACAAGAAAGCATAAAGGAGCATAAGGACACCACGAACCAGTGTAGAAATGTTTCCACAGCTTCTAGAATGTGGTTTCAATATGAAGTGTTCACCTTTATCATCAGTGAATAAATCACCAATCAAGGAACTCGAGTGACCGTTTAGGTTTACATATGAAAGAATGACAAAGGCCCGAATGAGGGAGAGGGCCGGGAGACTTGATTAGGATAACTTGGAGAAACATAAAGGATGTGAGCATTCGTCTTAAAAATTTCTCTGCTGACGGAGTACCGTGTCTGGAGAAAATCTGCCTTCACTGAGAATTAAAAGACATGGGCGTAGATGGTGACAAAGAAAAAAAATGGGGAATATGTAGTGGTGGAGGAACACGGAAGAGTTGGACCTGTGCAGCTGGGTTCCCGTGTGCCATTCAGCGTCGGGGGCCATGTTGTGATTGCTGTATTCCACTCGTGTTTCACCCTACCAGTCATCTCTTGGTAGAATAACTCCCACCAGCCGTCCATATGTGGCACCTCAAAGTTTATAGGGTACGTCTACACGGACAGCCCTTTCGTTAACATGCTGCTGAATGAGGGCTTTCCCAGATCACGCCTGCGAATGACCATATGTCTACACACCAATAAGTGCGAGTTAGTCAAGGGCAGGGAAACAAATGTGACAGCAGGGTTATTGTACAACTGCTTTTGCTGCACTGCCCTCTGCTGACAACACCTAATTAGTTTAAGGTGGTTTCCCATCCAAGCACTATCCAGTTCTTGCTCAACCCTACTTAGAGATTTGATAAGAGCTGGCATATGCCAGGTCAGTTAGTATCCTGTCAACAAGCAGGAGATGGCATAAATCCATTGAGACACGTGAAACAGCATTGCCTCTTTTGCAAGAGCAACCTGGATCAAAGTACGGTGGAAGATGGTCGTAGCCTGGCATGTAGGGCAGGGCTGTGCAATTGCAGTGCATACGTACCGAAGAGTGGTGTGTGTTGCTCCCTCTCCATCTGCCTTTTCCGACGCTGACAATTCGCCATAACCTGAAACACATATCGGTGACATCGCACATGTACATGACACTAACACAATAGGTGACATCACACGACGCAGATGGTGCATGCGAGCGAGCGAGCGAGTGTAGCCTTGACAGACTGTTGGGGAAAGGGCTGTTAGAGAGGCCGGCACGAGACACGAGGGGGTGGGTGGCCACCACCACGCCTGGTCGCCGTTGCTTCCCAAGTGGCTATATTTACACACCGCACCAGGTACCCATTTGAGGCTTAGTCGACTTAGGGGAGGCCCAGGACTGGTTAAAATAATTGTCACTGGTATTGGTCGTGAGCGGGAACCGAACTCGGGTTGCAGGATTCGTAGCGCAGCATGCTAACCACTACACTTCCACACCCCACACACCAGCACGCACACGTGTTTCATGCGTGATTTGATCATAAGCACGGCACGAGTATGCATGGTTGTAAATACAAACATGTGGTCATGACGCATGTCGACGGCGTTTGGCGGAGGTAGTGCATGCTGGCGACATGTGCTGTGGCGTGTGTCCGTGGTGACGAGAGTGTCGCTGATGCTCACCCCTCAGCCCCATATAAGCTTCCTCCCCGTAAGGCCTGGCCGCCTTCCTATGTCGCGAAACACGCGTCGTCGTCCCAGAAGCCGAACTGGAACCCGACCCAGGACCGGTGGCACCGCTGAAGGCGGTGCTGGCGATGGAATCGAGCTCGGACGTGGCACTGGCGCTGGCGGCAGCAGCAGCGGCGGAAGTGGATTCGGCACCAAACCCGGCAGGGCCAGCGACCGCAGGCGGCACGTACGACAGCATTTGCGGCATAATCGGCGACAGGACGTGGGACGGAGGTTGGTGGGTGGTGTGCGTTGTAGTTTGCGGTAGAGGTTGTGATTCGGGGAGCGGTGTGGTGTGATGTGCTGGGTGCGGTGCGCTGTGTGGTACTGGGTGTGGTGTTGATGTTGTAAGCGGTGCCATGTGCGGTGTAGGGTCTGGGGTCTGTAAATGAGGGTGCGACGATGACCCTGCATTTGCTGGGGCAGGGGCTTCGTTCAGATGAACCACCAGGTGATCTGTAAATGTGTGTGTGTAAGCACAGGTACACGTATATTTACAAACATACACCAGCATAAGCAAGCATGAAATTATGTAAATAATCTAAGAAACGTCAGCTTTCCAGCTTACAAATAACATTTTATGGCCTTTCGAAACGATTTGCTTAATGCGTCTGCAGGCTGTACGACATTAAGTTGTGGGGCCATATAATGTGTAGTTATGGGCTGTATGAAATTAAGTTGTGGGCCTCACCCAGGCCGTGGGGCGCAGGTTTTGCAACAGCGGGCGCCAGTGGCGAGATGTTAACTCCTTCGCCCGGTATACAGGTCGTTGGGTTCGATCCCGACCCTGATGCCTGTAGTATATTTTGACTTTGTTCTCCCTGTGGTCGCGTACATTTTTCTCCAGGTCCTTCGGTGTTTCCCTCCACATTTCGAATCATGTGTGTTTAGAGTATTTGGCTATTATATATTTCCACGTGATAAGCCACTTCCGTTCAACTATCATTTGTGGCCAGGTCGCTTCTGAAAAAGAGCTATATAGCTCAGTGGTCTTTACCTGGTAAAATACAAATAGTAATAGTTTACAAGGTGTGCCCCAGTGTGCATGGGTACCTGTTAGTTGCTGCGCGTGCTCAAAAAGTGCTGGGCACACCTGGCACCTCCACACCTTCTTGTCCTCTCCCTCCTCTACACCTGTGGTTGACACAGTACAGACGAGACATACCACTCAACACATCAAACAAAGCACAGCACTGAAAAGTAGCCCTTGCCAGTGAGAATGTAGGAGTTGAGTGATGAAGTTAGCTGGTGGAGAGTTAGTCTTCGAGTAGAAAAAAGGACAATCTAATATTGGTCCAGTGTATAGTACTGTACCTTATTAGATATAATACTACATTATACAGGTGTACTGTATGGTATTCAGTCTTATAGTCAACCTCGTTCCATTCAAATTCATGTATTTGTATTTCTAAGTGGATACAAAATGCGTGTCTATTTACGAATACACATTTCCGACTCGCACCCACCAACACTATCACCACAATCAATCAACATCACCACCATCACCACGACACGCACAGCATCTACAGTTAGCATGCAGACCCACATACACAGCAAGCAAAACCCACATGACTACACAACACAGACACTTGTGCAGGTATATAGTGCAAATATATTAACTTCGTGCAATGCATTGTGGTTGAATCGACCACATTTCATTACTGCAAAGCCATATTAGTTGGATCATAAAACTACACAAGGGTTGCCGTTTCTGCAAAGAAAATGAAAGCCTACAAATGTCAAAATGATCAATTGTTTGTTAAACTCAACCAATAAAATGCCTTCAACTCACACTGACCAAAATGGTGATGTATGCTTGTAAAACCTCCAAGATCCCCATGGCGTGGCAGAACCCTCATCCAGCAGTGGACTAAGAAGAGGCCTGTGCATTGACTCCGTTGTCACGGCAGTCTCTGCATGCGTGCGTGCGTGCGTGAGTGATTTACTCGTTTGAGTGAAGACTTCACTGGGACCTCCGGGAGGAGCCTCTGCAGACAGGACACAGAGCTGCCCTGTGGGGCGGGTGGGAGAGAGGCAGGCGATGCATCCTTAAGGGGTGTCTTGGAAAATATATAACCCATGATAGCTCCCTTGGAACCCTACAAAGCATGTTTGCTAGTTAAAATAGCATCTCCCCACGGATGGCTACAGAATGAATTTAACCATGTACTTTGTTCATCCACTTAATCTGCCTACTCTTAACAAAGGCCTTCCATCCAGGACAATTAAACGGTGGAGGATATCAGGTTTTTTTCCCCTCCAAGTCATCTCTCAATTATAAAGCAGGGTCATTGTTGTTAATGACTCCCTCATTTGGTCACCGAGTTGTTTTGGTGTAATTTAATTGTAATAAACAAGCATATTGAAATGGCAGTATGACTCAAAAGTAACAATCGGCTAAGCAAGCATGAGACTCGAATACAGCCGAGTCTATTCCACAGTGGATACACAAACAGCCCACTCTTATGCTCAAAAGTAGGGTGCCACAGCCAATTCAACGATCCATATTTGTTTTCGGGTTAGGCCACATATTAGCCTATGCTTATTTAGCAAAAAAACCGTCAATACACAACGTTCATAGCCACTGCATTCAGATGTAAGATAATATTGCTCTTAGACTTGTCTATTGTTAAAAATCCCAGACAACAATAACCTAAAAGTGAGATGGGGAAAAATGTATAACTTTTTTCCTTCCCAAAGAAATGCACATGTGCTTATGCAATTATTCATCAATGATTACACTAATTAAATCTTAAGACTATTGGATATGAAACAAAACAAATTTTTTCACGTAAAAAAAATAAAGTACTTTATACACAACCCACCAGCAGCTTTCTGGGAATGTAACTTATCAACAGCATTGGTTTGATACGAACTATTGACTGGTTTCAACATTCAAAATCTTGCAAGGAGTCAGATTTACTTGAAATGCCATATATTTATGGTCGCCTGCATTGTACATAAAATTATCCACATTGACGCTTAATGATGATTACTTTGTGTTATGTTTAATATAGTTTTGCGTCGAACTAGGACCCATGGGCCTTGCTTGTACTCAGAGCTAAAGTATACCAAATTGAAGAAACAAATAAATGTAGTGCACTTATTGTGCAGCCATTGCTGACACGTTCAGCAGAAGACAGCGCAGCAAAATACAATGATGTACTGTCCAGTACTTCAACATTTGCGCTGCCCGCCTTCACCAACGCGCACTGACCAGCGTAGAGGACAGTCAAACAAACAGCCCCTGCGACCCGCACAGCTTGGGGTGGGGCCCCCATCTGACAGCGGATTGACAAAAGGGTTGTGCACGTACACGCGCGACAAGCCTGAGACCGTCAAAACTGACGCAATTATAACCTCATTCTCAGATGGCCGGATCCCGGATTGGAACCCAGGATTGCCGAAGTGTTGGCTGAGGTGTTCTGACATAGATGCCAGGGGCTCTGAGCCACTCGGCCACCTGCTGGAAATGCAGTCCCAGGGTGCGTTGGTGTCACACGTGTGTGTAGGTGTCACGCGTGTGTGTGGGTTGTGCGCACCGCGGGGACGAAGGGTGTGCATGCTCATCTTCTTGGCATAGAATGCGGCGTACCACACCCTCAACTCCGTGCCAGCCGGGATGTCCTGGCACATCACATCAGCCAGAGCCAAAAATATTAAATATGCTTACAAGTGACAATAACCACAAAAACACAAGTGCCACTGGTGTCAGCCAAAGCCAACAAGATTAGAAATTTTTACAAATTGCAATAACCACAAAAACACACGAGTGTCATTCTCTGCCCATGCTGGTAATGCTACCAAGGCACCTGTGCCAGGTGTGTTGCCCTCTAAAACATAAAAAGAATGTTTACGATTTTGTAGAGGTCGCAAACAGGTTATATAAAGCGTCACAAATATAATTCCATAAATTACGCATGCAAGAAAGCATAATAATACATATGTCAGACGTGCACACGCCACAAATAGTGAACCGCAGAGACAAACTGAACAAACACAGGAGCAAAGGCAACCTATTTTCGTTTCTCAATTGGACAATAACATAATTATGGTCATTATTTATTTTTCACAGCTCAGGCATTTCCGTGACAGCAGTAACATCTGCATAAAATGTAACTGTTTTCTCCATATTATAAGATTCCCTTTTTCCCCTTGTATTTTAAAGCAACTGTTTTACGGTGTGGTAGTTGTGTGGGTGTGTGTGTGACCAGATTTGTATAACTCTATAGACGCCAGGCACACGTTTGGGGTGCGTCTTATTTTCCAGATCGTCTTATAATCCAAAGAATACAGTATAACACAATCGGCCACCTTATGATGGGTTGACAGACTTAACATGTTATACATTACGTGAACTTACACATGCATATTTCCAACGTACAACGATATAAATCAATACATATACACACGGAAGCTCTATGTAAATATGTCCTACATGTTATACTGAAGGCGACCGACATCGTACCTGTGACGTGGTGAAGTAAATGTCGTGGTTGTACTGGTAGGCGGTGAGGTTCTGATGGTGGTGCTGGGTCGCCGGCCTCACCAGGATCATCCAGTTACACAGCAACTCATCCTGCATGTCCAGGTTCACCACTCCTTCCTTGGAGAACACCTGCACACAACAAGCGTGACAGAGACGCTTAGACGTGCTCACCTTCCATCAGCTGGCCGGGTGGGTCAAGGAGTCAGAACGCTCGCTGAGCTGGCTCCACCGAGATCCTTGGTTCAAATTCAGGAAGCCGCCACCTGTGGTAAAACCGGGTTCTCAAGCAGAGTGAGTTGATGATGGCCTCAACTCGGCCATGAATGACTGCACACAATGCCTTCTACAATAAATTTGATTCTGCACTTAATTTGGCAAAATTCCAGTTGTAAGAATTTAAATTTTTAAGTTTGTCATCTGATGAAAATTACTCTCAGCGGTGGAGTGAGTGTATCGATAGTTCAATGTTAATGTTCCACTTTATTGAGGGATTGTATGTTATATTGGTGTGGTCTGTGACTGTTTGGTTGTTGTTTTTGCTGTCTTGCCCAAGCTTGATAAACCAGATTTATATAATTAATTGGTTATTTCGTGATTTGTTTACCTTTTTCAAAATTTTGCACTCCTATCGTGTTTTGTATTGTTTGCTGTTGTAACTTGCTACCCCGCCCATACTAGACATGTGTGAAAAAGAGCATCATAGCTCATCAGATTCCTCCGGTCTAAATAAAGATTCTGATTCTGAGTGGGAATGTGTTGCGTGCATGTACAACAAGCCCCGTTTGTCCACCCACTGCCGGATGAGGGCATCCCCATGCCATGTCGGTCACAGGGGTTATGTTACCAGACTTCACAAAACTGGCCAATGTCGGTTGGGGAAGGTGGGGAGCATAGATATCGGAGTGGAGTACAGTACAACAATACATTTTTCTGTACTGCCCTCTGCTCACAACCATTGCCCTGCAGCAGCCTGCAACACCTATTTCATGCATGGTGGGTGCCCAAATAAGCATGATTGTAAATTGCACTCTCAGAAGGCCATATTACAAATATTTTTTTTTATAAAATATAGTTTTTTTATGCCAAGAGGTAAATTATGGTAAGGAAGTGCATTGTCTGCTTATTTTTATTTATTGTTGCAAGCACGGTTGTCGCCACTTCCAAGCACTATCCTTACTCAATCTTGCGAAGCTTCCAAATTCCATTGCGATGTATATGGATGAAACATACAGCAACAGATTCTCACGCAAACTATATGACGTATGAATTGTGAGTGCAAGAACATTTTTATCAATAATTATTTGCATTCCTTGTGCAATGCATTTTCTGGATCGCGCGTGTTGCATGGTGTGCCAAACGAGGTGTGCTTACCTTGAGTGGCATGGTATGCACCCCATCAGCACGGGGCGGAGGTGTGTGGGGTGTGCGTGGCGCCTCCAGGGGTCCAAACTGCGTGCGCTTGAGCAGCGCAATGCGACAGAACACGCCCTCGCCGCCACGCGTGCACCCACGCATCTCCAGGGACGGTGGCAGGGTCGCACTGCACACCGCACAAAATACACCGCGTCACATGAACTCACATGATGGCTGGTAACTTGGCCCAGCCATAGCGCATTCGCGACTTGTTGCAGAGGTTCACGGTTTCAACGCAGTGCACGTCATGACTTATGCCAGTGAGTGTAGTAGCCAGAATAATACTACGCACCGTCTGGCTTCACAGTGGACGTAAAACGATTCCCCGACGTCATTGTCAAGAGTAGGCAATTGGGTGCCGGCATCAGGGTCCAAATTTGGCAAGTTCAAAAAGTATCCACAAATTACTAAATTGGGATTATGCATAGCAATCATTGCCCCCTACTTGCAGACTAATGCCTCAGGTCGCTCTTGTAAATGAGGTTATGCTGGTCTCTTGAGTTTTCACATGGTTAAATGAAATACACTTGAAACGTGCTACACATATAATCACTCTATGCACTCCCATAGGATATTGCTCTGTACGCAGCACGTTGCATTAAATACCAAACCTCATTCGTGTAAATGTCCACTTAAATGAGACTTGGGCAATGCTCGGCTCTAAGCCAGTGCTGGAAATGTCATGTTCCTACAATGGGCGTGAGTTTATCTACGAGAAAATCACCAATTCTTTGGTATGGCATTTGAAAAGCAAAACATTTTTTTCACGAGCCACGAGATCTGGGAAAGTTGGACCACGACACTCAACTGCCATGATGGCTACAATAACGGCTACAATAACAGCCATCGCATTGCACAGTGTTCCTTTATGTAATTGAGACAACAGCTGTTGGTAGCCTCTGTTGTTTTACTTCGAACGTTACAAAATACGCAAGTGTCTTCTTGAATAGGGTCTTGTATAAGTTCACTCAGAGTACAGGAAGCAGATCTTGAAGACCAGCCAATACAAGACAATGCAGATCCCTATAATGCATTATGTAGAACATGGGCTCACATCCATTATTAATGCACTATGGAATACAAACACTCTTGTCTATGGGCTAGCATGCTCTGGTCAGACACTTAAGGGGGTAGCACTGAGCATAAGTTAAAGGTTGTCCAGGATGACACGTGAAATGTTGTGATGATTGCACACATGAACGTGTTGACGCAAGACGTTTAAGAGATATCTGGTGATGTTATGGTAATGTGAATCTGTAGATGGCGATTAGAGAGAAATTGTCCACAGGGTTAGTAAAATAAATATAATTTTCAGGCTTTTGTTAATCTGCTGTTTAACGAAGGTGTCCCCACATTACATTCTTCTTGGAGATCGTTCGATTATTGCCTCACCACACTGGTCGGTGAGGGTTGGTGCAGGACGAGTTGAGAAGATATCAATCTTTATCTTTTTTTATCTTGATCAAAGATCATTCATATTCGTGTAAAAATCAATCTCACGAGTCCGTGGATTCTACTCAAGTCAAGCTGACAGAAAGAATCAACGTTGCTTAAACGAGGGTGGTTCGAATCTTTCCTGGACTTTGCACACAGAAAAGAGATAATTCCAGGATCGTGGCAACTTATCTACATCTCAACATAGTTTCCATCCACAGCACTTTGTCACCGGAATGTGTGCGCCATAATTCATTACCAGGACAGAGATGCTTACCATTGTTTGGGTAACCTTTTGATCAATCTGTCAGATTTTTCTCTTCAGTAAGTCATTAATTATAACGCAACTTTATCCTAAAACGTAATTTTTATTGGAGAACTGTGACCCCATGTCACAAAGCTAGACAGACGGACAGAGCTCATGCACGAGAACACTTTTCCATCCTAGCCTACTCCATACCCCCAAAACGCGCACACAATAATCATTCTATCACCACACGTCACTGCTGGCCGCCACTTTTGCCACCCACCATCCTCCTCCTATCCCTGTCACATCTTTCACGACCATACCAAGAAAATAACGCACACAACATATGTAAAAGAGACGTCGACCTATATATTTGTTTAAGAATGAAATTGTTTAATAAAAACCTGCGGGACATGTGCGTACCGTGCGCGCGTGGTGGCTGTGGTGATGACCTGCAGCGGCCCCCTCTCAGGACACTCTGTGTCATGATATTCACCGCACTCATCACACCCTGCAGGCAGGTAAACACAAAGACATATTCCAGTATACCCTTAAGCGACTTTTGGTACAAGTCCAGTGAATTAACGGGTTATTTTTATGTGAAGTGTGTGAACGTAGTTTTTGACTCTGCTTGTAGCCAGAGACTTTAGTGATGGCAGTGTTGAAGAAGTTGTCATCACGTACATATGAGCTCCAAATCCTCAGGACCAGGCTCGGCCATGATGCCTGGCTGCCTGAGGGCACAAACACATCAAACGGATAAATTATGGTATGTTTTTTGCAAGGTCGGTGTGGTTGTCGTAATCAAAAATGCAATTTTACCATTATATAATTTTTTTAAAGTCAACATATTTATCAATAACACAGCCTTAAAGTAAAAAAATATATAATAGGTGTTATTTGTAGAACATAGATGGAAGGGTCATTGCCTGAAACATCGCCCCTCACGAAATATTTTTTTTGGAGTACCATTATAGCATAGTTGTGAAGATGTGACACTTCATAACGACTGTGGAAATTTTGTAAATATGATTATAATGTAATAAACCAGTGTCTGTGGCTGTGATTGACTTGGTGTGGCCATGGTTTGGGTAGCAACAAATTAAAAAGCATTACATAGTCCTTTATTGTACACAAAATATTCAAATGGTCGATGAATTCAAGATCAAGCTCAATTAACTTGGGAGTTCAAACCCCAACCCATGACATCGATCATACCCATACGCCTACAAAGGCATTGGCTCAGGAACCTCAGACTTTTCATGACACAATAAACAATATTAACAAAGCAAAGAGCCTAAGTAAACCTGCTATACTGTACTATTATAAGCTCATTAAACAAGGGAATGACAATTGATGGCATAACTGCGCACCACCATTTACGATAATATGCAAGCTTCAGAATTGTGTCATTGAGACTTGTTACTTGATGGTCAAAAACATAGGAAGCAGAATGCTGGCTGGACCTGTCACATTTTCAAAATTTTGAAAGTATAAATCAGTCTTTATTATTATAGAGAAGAGGCGAAAACAATAGCAGCATGTCACTGCTTCTCTCGTGTGGTATTTATTCTGACTCAAGTTTGTTGACCCCCTGTGATCGTGACCCCGTGAATACAAATGCATCCGTGCAAATATAAGGTGAATGCATTCATTCAAATCAACAGTTTTCGTGGATTTTAAAATTCGTGCGTGCGACTGAAAACTCCCCAAAATTTTAGCAAATTTCTGCAAATTATTTAACGAAACTTACGCATTATTTAGCAGTCCCATATTGGGGGCTTCACTGCATTTACGAATATCTCAAAAAGCAACGAATTCCAGTGCCCACATTGTCACTTAAACGAGGCTCCACAACTCACTGCGCGCTTAACCGGAGCTCACAGCCATCACATATATGCACTAATGCGGAGCCCCGATCCAGGTACGTGCTTTACCGATGCTCGAACACACACACACACGTGTGTGCGTAACATGAGGATTGCATATATATGCACTTAAGCGGAGTTCGGCATGCACAACGCGCGCTTAAGCGGAGATCGCATGCTCTTGGGATGCACGTACGCCGAGTTCGGCATGCACTACGCGTGAAGATCAATGCACGAGCTTATGCACGGCACTTCACTGATGCTTGGCGGCGCGTACTCAATGCGCTAACATCTGGAGCCGGTGAGTCCGCCTACAAAGCACTACCCCCCACCCCACGCGCCCCGGGCCGGGCCAAGCGATGGCGGGCGGACCCCACCCGCGCCGCACGGGAGCGGCCTCGTCCGGGCTCCCCGCGGCCCCGCGACCCGCCCGGCCCCCTCCGCCCCGTTCCCGCGGACCCCGCGGGCCCCGCGAGCCGGGTCGCCCCGGGGTCTCGGCCCCGGCGCCGCGAGCACCTCAAGAGCCGCGATCCGCACTCGGATCCCGCCCGGATTTCGCCTCCTCCTGCGGGTCGCCTGCGCCGCGGAGACGCCGCCTCCGATTGGCCGCGCGACGCGCCACGTGACGCGCGCGCCGGGCGCCCGCGCTCGCGGGCCAGAGCAAGGCGCGGTCCTATTGGTGGAGACGGTGGCGAGGGGAGGGGTTGAAGGGGGAGGGGAGGGGTTAATGGGGGAGGGGAGGGGTTGAAGGGGGAGGGGAGGGGTTGGAGGAGGAGGGGAGGGGTTAATGGGGAGGGGCGGGGTTGAAGGCGAGGGGAGGGTTGAAGGGGGAGGGGAGGGGTTGAAGGGGGAGGGGGGGGTTGAAGGGGGAGGGGAGGGGTTGGAGGAGGAGGGGAGGGGTTAATGGGGGAGGGGCGGGGTTGAAGGGCGAGGGGAGGGGTTGAAGGGGGAGGGGAGGGGTTGAAGGGGGAGGGGAGGGGTTGGAGGAGGAGGGGAGTGGTTGAAGGGGGAGGGGAGGGGTGAAGGGGGAGGGGAGGGGGTGGAGGAGGAGGGGAGGGGTTTGAAGGGGGAGGGGAGGGGTTGAAGGGGGAGGGGAGGGGGGGGGAGGAGGGGAGGGGTTAATGGGGGAGGGGCGGGGTTGAAGGGGGAGGGGAGGGGTTGGAGGAGGAGGGGAGGGGTTAATGGGGGAGGGGCGGGGTTGAAGGGCGAGGGGAGGGGTTGAAGGGGGAGGGGTTGAAGGGGGAGGGGAGGGGTTGGAGGAGGAGGGGAGTGGTTGAAGGGCGAGGGGAGGGGTTGAAGGGGGAGGGGAGGGGTTGAAGGGGGAGGGGAGGGGTTGAAGGGCGAGGGGAGGGGTGAAGGGGGAGGGGAGGGGTTGAAGGGGGAGGGGAGGGTTGGAGGAGGAGGGGAGGGGTTGGAGGGGGAGGGGAGGGGTTGGAGGAGGAGGGGGGGGTTGAAGGGGGAGGGGAGGGGTTGGAGGAGGAGGGGAGGGGTTAATGGGGGAGGGGAGGGGTTAATGGGGAGGGGAGGGGTTGAAGGGGGAGGGGAGGGGTTGGAGGGGGAGGGGAGGGTGAAGGGGGAGGGGAGGGGTTGAAGGGCGAGGGGAGGGATTGGAGGGGGAGGGGAGGGGTTGGAGGAGGAGGGAGGGGTGAAGGGGGAGGGGAGGGGTTAATGGGGGAGGGGAGGGGTTAATGGGGGAGGGGAGGGGTTGAAGGGGGAGGGGAGGGGTTGAAGGAGAAGGGGAGGGGTTAATGGGGGAGGGGGGGAGGGGAGGGGTTAAAAAGAAAGGGAAAGGGGAGGGGTTAAAGTGGGAGGGGTTAATGGGGGAGGGGTTAAAGGGGGAGGAGAGGGGTAAATGGGGGAGGGGTTAAAGTGGGGGGGGGGGGTAAAGGGGGAGGGGAGCGGTGACGTCACCGCTGGGCGTGGCTGCACAGTCAGCAACCACGAGCCGTGGTCTATCCACTGCTGGTTTGGTCAAACAGGCTACCACCACTCCGTATATATAATGGTTGAAACCATTATATATACGGAGTGGTAGCTCTTGTAATCTCTCATTTACTTGATACAGCTGTCGTGGCTGTGACGATTCCACCTGAAGACGGAAGCTTGTGTTGCCTCCGAAACGTCGTGATTTTTATTTTATTTTACTTTTATTAATTTTAATTTTTTTACCTACGTGACTTTACCGAAAAAAACCTAAGAATATGAATCCTTGCAGTCATGAAAGCTTCAAATCTAGGCTTATGGTGATTGGTTGAAAGAACAAAACTATAATATAATGTAGGTAACTAAACATAAGCACGGTTTGGCTACGTACGGTGCGAAAGAAGTTCGACATAATTGATGACAAATAAGAATAGGTTTTATCTACATCATGGGACCTCCTTTGCCAGTACTAAAATATGATAATAGGTTTTTCCCCCTTTTATCTGGCAACAAAACAGGTGTTAAGATGTTATAACACCAAACTGAAACCTTTTACAAGGAATCATGTCTGCATTAACCACAATACTTGTGGTCAAAATGCAAACAAAAAGCACTGATAATATATGCATTGTCTTTGAAACTGATTGGTCCACACCAGAGTAAGCTTTAGACCAGAGGACGCCAAAAGGCGTTCAGCACAAAGACTGCACTATCAGAGTAATGAGAGCTCGAGGTGAGCATCTACATCATGGGATCTACTTTGCCAGTACCAAAATGATAGTGCATTGTCTTTGGGATGTACGCCTTTTGGCATCCTCTGGTATAACACCGTTAAAGACGAGGCTCAAAAGAACGCTGTCTCTGGTGTGGACCAATCAGTTTCAAAGACAATGCATACATTATCAGAGTGTTGTTTGCATTCTGACCACAAGTATTGTGATTAATGCAGACATGATTCCTTGTAAAAAAAAGGTTTCAGTTTTGTTGCCAGAAAAAAGGGGAAAAACCTAATCTTATATTTTGCTACTGGCAAAGGAGGTCCCATGATGCAGTTATGTGTTTTTAAAAATAAAAATAAATCAACACATTCGTCAATAACAACGTGGCCTTAAAATGAAAACAATATTTGAACGTACACCGGTGCGCTGTATAAAAAAGGCACATTTTTCGCAATCATTATTTATTTTCCAGCGATTCGCAAACCCGGTCAAAAATATTGCGGGTTGCGACAAAAACAGTTCGTCATGCCGAGGCACTAGGAAGAGGAACGTTTATGAGCTGTTGAACACAAAGCTTCAAAGTCGTTTTCCGTATAGCACCTAGGCTGATGACGATTGACTCCGTGTTCCAAAGACAGATTTAACTCGGGCAATAGAATTGGTCGAACGGTTCCTCGATGCATTTCCGAAATCATTTCTTGGCGGACGGTGGCATCAAAAGATTAAGTGGTGTCACACGTTCGAAAGGGAAAGCAGCTGCTGAATCGAAGGCAACTTTTCTGATGGAGAGTCTCTGCTGCTGCTCACTCAAGGGCAACAGTGACATTGTCAGACTTTTTTTATGAGGACTGCTGTTTTATGCTGCACAGTGTCCCGCCGATATGTCCATATAGTAGGTGACGTTTTGGGCTATTGCCTTTCCTAGCACATACAAGAAGGGGCACTGCTTGAAACGTCACCTATTTATATTTTCCATTGTAAAGCTTTATAGACGAATATGTTGAGTTTTTTCTTAATTATGCTTGTGCACCACTGCCAACGCAGGAGCAATGCAAAATCATCCTTTTTTTAATAGCATCCTAATTGCACCGATATTCAGTGCTTAATTGAATCGTAATTGATTCCAGCTGTCCGGGGCTGAGTTACAGAAAATGTGTCTCGGTGAGGGTGGGGTCCGAGGAGGTTGGGAGTTGGGGGGCGCCCGCGAAATATTCCATGAGAAATTACACTCTGCCTGTAATTTCACAAATTGGTAATATATAAATCTTGACTTAAAGCTCTCGTGACTGCAGGAATTAATACTATTTGGATCTTTCGGTAAAGTCACGTAGATATACAAATTGTAAAATATTAATAAAAATCACGACGTTTCAGGGGTCACCAAAAAGATTCCCAAAGTCATGAGCAAACACAAGATCCAGGTCCGATTCAACACAGTACATAAAATTTGTGATCTGATCCCATCTGTGAAGGATGTGATCCCTGACATGCAATACCCCGATGTCTACAAACTTTGCTGTACCTGCGGCAGTAGTTACATTGGGGAAACTAAGCGACATGTCTCGGACCGTGTTCGCGAACACAAGGCGGATCTGAAACACGGTAGGACCAACATCACTGCCGTGGCTGATCATTGTTTTAACGCTGTGAGCACACATGAAATGTATTTCTCCAAGACGAAGGTACTCTGCAAACCCACTGGCTATCAATCATCGGAAGGACGTTATTAACCAGGTAAAGGCTTCCATTTTATCTGCCTATGTTAGCAGTTATTTCCGACTCTCTGAGTTACATTACCTTGTTAAATGTCTTTACATTAACAGGCTAAATGTCTCACTAACATAGCTGCTGCTCCCTTTTCCTCGACACGCTGGTGTGCGCTCGTTGTTTAATAGGCTGAATGTCTCATTAACACAGCCGCTGCTGCGGGAGCCGTCTCACGTTGACATGCTAATCTCTAATCTTGAGACATACAATGGCTTCTTAAGCACAGTAACCGTGGGGTTAAATTAACAGATTGACATGATAATCTCTAGCAACACAATAGCCGAGATATACCTAGCTTCGCGATATTACGTTTACTTGCAAATTCCATCTCGAGTCCCGTCCACTTACCCTTGGGTTGTACCCATCTCAAACCTATAAAACCTCTGGCTGCAGCAGCAGCTCTCTCGCTTTCGTTTCTTCCTGCCTCAGCAGTCCGCCTGCTGTTTTTTCACCTGAAGACGACTGCTTGTGTTGCGATCGAAACGTCGTGATTTTTTATTATTATTTTTCTATCTATACGTGACTTTACCGAAAGACCCAAAGTGTATGCTCATATATAGCTTATTCTGAATTTTAAAAAGCATAAGACTGCGTCGGAAATGCATAAGTGGTCAAAACGATTTATTGAATGACTGAAACGTGTTGATCATGTGCACGAGCAGGACACGTTCGTTACAAAGGGTGTACAGAGCAGAGCGCATTTTCATCTGAGCTGATTTTCTACGTCGCTTTTATTCGAATAAACGGCAAATTGATTTGAATAACATAGTTAATGGAAAACCTGACATCACAGAATTATTGATGTACTGTGACTATACACCGTGCTCAGTGCTTTTGTGCTTCTCAGATTGCTCTGTGACATCACAAAACGTTATATGCACCGTGATATCGTCAGCTTGCAATCTGCTCTGTGACACCACATTATGATCTGTCCTCTGTGGCATCACAGGATGTTGTCTGTAACATCACAGCATGAGTTGTCTGTTACATCGCAGAGTGCGTCACGCTGAGACATCACATCGTCCTTTGTGCTTTATGACATCGCAGCATGCTCTGTGCTCTATGACAGCACAGCTTGTGACATCACAGCCAGCAATGTGCTAAGATGCGGTGTGACATCAAAGCGTACCCTGTTAACACAAAGACACGTTACATATGAATGAAATGTAAGTGTTCCGAAAATCTGGAAAAAATATATCCTAAATCGTCCTTAATAATTCCAGAAATTCCAGAAATTTTAAATCCACAACTCATCGCTATAGTTGAAGCAGTGTGCATCATATAGAAAACTCATGACTAGTGGAAAACAGCGGTGAAATTACGATAGCACTGTACGCACAGTAAACTTGAAAAGGTGATATAAAAAATATAAATGCAAATTCACACTCTAAAAAATACCATTCGCTATGTGAAAGTAATGTCTGCCAGCACATCAGCAATCAAACCAGTTACATCTGATTAAAAAACAAACCTCAGCAATAATATTTCACTACTTTTTGACACAATGCTCCTCTCAAATTAAGGCAGATATGAGATTGTAGTTCAGACAACCGATACCAGTGTGTGTTAGTGACATCAACACGTTAACCAAAGCGCTTACAAATATAGCCCTTATCAAAGTGGACAGCATACGATGAAATGCATTTATGCCCATGTTTCGTATTATCTCAATAGAATCGTCAACAACGCTGTGGTCTTAAATATATATAATCGGCGACGTTTCGGGCAATAGCCCGTCTTCACAGCACGTAAAAATGAAGCAGCCCCTGTGTTGGCCCCAGAAATGGGATTTAATGCTTTGTCCACTCTTGCATTGTGTTGAAAAAATCCGACTACTATACAGTAATTTTATTTTTGTATCTATGTATTTATATTCAATGACTTGCTTACCTTTTTTAATCCATTATATTAAGTTCGCTTGCTTGCTTAGGACCGTGCAAATCTTTCGGTCGTGTTTTAACCCACTTCCCGTGATCCAATCGAGCTGACATTTTGCACACAGACTCGTTGTGCGTGACAATGCATTTTCCTGAAAATTCCTACATTTTACACTGTTTAGGGAAAACTAAATTAATATTTAATTACCTATTTTTAATGCTGCCAGACAATCATCTGACCCATAGGTGGCAGCCATCTCAAGCCAGAGGACGAGAGGACTCTAGCCGCCCCGATGCCACGCATATAAAGGATTTATAGTGAAAAATTTTGTTTTTACGGGTTTACTTGTTTTGTATTGTGCACTGCTATCATTTTTGTATTGTTTGTTTGTTGTAACTTTCTGACTCGCCCCTACTGGACATTTGTGAAAAAGAGCTTCATAGCTCGTCAGATTCCTCCTCCAGTCTAAATATTATGATTCTGCTTCTGCTTGCCAGAAGGGCCATTGCCCAAAACGTCACCTCTTTTATATATTTTTTTTATTTTAAGGTCACGGTGTTTATGACGAATGTGTGGAGTTTTGTTCTTCATTGTGCTGGTCCACCACTGCCAACGCAGCAGCATTGCCAAATAATTGGTTTTATTATTAACTGTGCACTAATTGCTTTGATAAAAACAAAAATAAACACCAGCCCCACGGTACTATTCTGAAAAGAGCGTGGAAAATATGATGTTCTGAAAGATTTTATCAAAACATTGCTAACCTGCAATGAATTATCTTACCTATATTTTTCACATATTTGGCACAGATCTGATTACAACTGGGTTGGTTCTGAGAACACGAATGCTCTGCAGCATCACTTACAACACAAAGACAGCATGGATCAACCCTCATGACACAAGTCCGCAGTCGAGTGCAAGCTAGCTTCACTATTATTATTATTATTTTAAAACACCACCAAAAATGAATAATATTCAATAGTTTCCCCATTGCTGGTGATAAAGACGTCGACACATTTCAGCCAAAATTCTGACAAAGCTATCAAATGTCCTGTTCAGTCCCAGTGTTCAGGATGGCTGTCCCAGTGTTCTGAAAATGTTGTGAAGATCAGCATTTTTATCCCACTTACAATGTCTTTCATGCATTCGTGTTCGACTCCTTGTGCGGGCACAGGGTGGGTGAGGCCAATTGGCAGTGGGCGGGGCCAATATCAGGAGCAAGAAGCCACTCACTGCTCTGTGAATGGGGTTTAGGGGTTGAGTGTGCAATCGTGGGCAGGGTTGACACGAGTGATGGCCAACTCACCATGTGTTCCGGTTGACCCTCCCAGAAATTCGATAGCTTTAAAAAAAAAAGCACATTCTTGGCAACATACATATCGAGCCCTTCGTAATTTGCGCTTGGGGACATGGATTCAGATTACTCTAGGCATGGTTGTATATTGGTCGTGTGCTCCTCTGGAATCTGAGTTAGGTTCACCATCGTATTTCTCGAGTTCTGGTTGAGAGGTCGCGCGGTCAAATGTCAGGGCAGGGTGCAGCCACCCTGGGCGGCCTCGGGATAGAGCTCGCAACTGATTGGCCAGGGTAAGCTGAGAGTTCGCATCGCATCGGCACAGGCGTCTAACGCCTCGGCGCACACCTCGCGGCACGGGGGCCGCACGCCCTCTCCCGGAACGCAGCCCGGCACCAGCACGGCGCACACCAAGAAGCGCAGGTGAGGGTAACACGCCAGCTCCGTCAGCACCTGCAGCCGGCACGCAACGCAAGGAGACTCCACGTCGTGCACGATGCAGTCACATAGTCACTTTAAGATGTTCATGTTTTTGTGTTTTTGTTTGTTGCGGTTGCACCCGATTCAAGAGCCGAATGGCTCACAGGGCTATACCAAATAAATGAAACTGAAAACGCACAGCCCTGATTGCCTGTCCCGGATATGGATCTCCCCACACTGTGCGAGTCGTGGGGGGGCTATGTGAACATACTTCACCATGCTGGTCAGTGCGGGTTGGTGAAGGTAGGGAACATAGATGTGGGGGCATAGTACAGTACAACGATGGATCTTGATGCACTCCCCTCTGCTGCTCACAGCGATGCCCTGTAGCAGCCATCAACAACCTGTGCTATGGATGGTTGTTGCCAAGCCAGGCACTATCCAAGGTCAACTCTCCCGAAGGTGATTTGGTCATCGGCCCAATTGAAGTCAAGGTCACACAACGCACACGCGAGGTGTTTGGCTTGGGAGTGGTGCGTTATGACTTTGTGAGAAATGTGCTGCCCGTGTTTTGGAGACGCATTATTGGCAACAGAAGATCACTGAGCCTGAGGCAACACACACCCTCGGACTGAACTACCAGACAACCGGGCATTGTAAACTGGTCTTGGAGATAAGCCACCACACTTGAACTAACTTGAATCTCAACTTTAATAAGCCAATTATTTAACATGGCTCAGATGTGTGGTAGCCCAGTCGCAGCCCCAGTTTAAGGGACATAGCTGGGTTTCCCAGTGCCATTCATCATCATTCATCAGCAGCAGCAGCCATGATCATGAAATAGCACAACTATTACATTAATTCTGTGACACTTTTCTCGAATTTATTTTTGCTATGAATATTTTACAAGTACGGTAATTTAACTGAGCCAACAGACGTTACAGCAAATGTAACTCAATTTAATATTGACGTGTGTTTGTGCAGTAATTGATTTCTCATGTCATTTTTATTTTGCAGCTGTCTGGAATGCTCTTCCTTCCGATATTAGGAAGCCACTGGAGCTATGCACTTTTAAATCATGTAGATTAAACATTCATTTCTTTAGAACTGCTTTTTGTGTTTAGTTGTTCTTCCCCCGCACCGCTGGTTAGCACGGTCGGCTACGTACGGTGAGAAAAAAGTTCTACATGCATACATACATTTCGGTTACCCCAGGTCACTCGTGCAAAATGAGACGTATCCTTGTCTCTTGAGTTCTCACTTGGTTAAACAAAACAAACACAACTGAACGCAGTGCTTGTTGTGGCATTCAGCACAGCGCACCTTGTAATGCTGCAGCAGAGCATCCGCTGTGTCTTGGTCGGGCAGCGAGAGCAGGACGTTGGGAAACGACGTGAGGTTGTAGCTGAGTCCGCTACACATCTCCACTCGCACACCTTCACACTCCACATCTGTGGCCACCACAGCAAAGCACGCCGTTACAGCCTGCACGCCACCCCACCCAGTGGCTCAGCATGCACACTCACTGCGTTGCACGGTGCACACCACCATACACTCCGCAATGCCAAATGGAACACTACCACCGCCATCACCACCGTCATTAGCCGCAATCGGTCCACTGCTGAATGAAAGCCTCCCCAAGTCACCTGGGTTATTTGACCATACTTCACCACGCTGGTCAGTGTGGATTGGCGAAGGCATGGAGCAGAGACGTGGCAGAGAGCACTCCTCTTTGCTTCCTACAACATAGCCCCACAGCAGCCTACAACACTTGCTTCATGCATGGTGGTCGCCCATCAGAATCAGAATCTTTATTCAGACTGGAGGAATCCGATGACCAATGAATCTCGTTTTCACAGATGTCCAGTGATATGTCAACAGATGTCCATCCAATCACTACCCAGGCTCAATGCTGCTTCGCTGCCGAGATTGGGTGTATTCTGTGTGATTCGGTGATGAAATTACGGTTACGTGCTGTCCATGGTATTGTGCTGGTGCTGTCCATCCATGGTAGTGTGTGACGGTATTGTCAATGTTAGCGTGTGCTGGTGCTCACCATGCTAGTGTGTCTGTGCTGGTGGCGAGTCTTACCACTGTTGTTGGTTTGTGTGATGTCCAATCCAGTGCAGTTTCTCTCATCACTTCCGTCCACGCAGTCAAACCAACCGTCGCACACCCACTCCATGGGAATGCATGCCACTGGGGCAAAGCACTTGAATTCACCCTCCGCACACCCACCTGCACACACACACACAAAGACAAACACAGAGATCCCCTGTGTGCTGATGTTTGCATACCAAACCAGGTTCTCATATAAGGCTGGATTAAACTAGGAGTGGCACGTAACCAGTTCAGATATCACCACTGGTGTTAGCTGTGGTCAGGAATTGAACAGTGTGCAAACTGCTGCGCGACTGCACCACCGCATGAACCCCGCTGTGTAAGCGTGCTTGCATTCGTGCGCTTGCATTCGTGCGCTTGCATTCGTGCGCTTGCATTCGTGCGCTTCGTGCGCTTGCATTCGTGTGCTTGCATTCGTGCGCTTGCATTCGTGCGCTTGCATTCGCGCGCTTGCATTCGCGCGCTTGCATTCGCGCGCTTGCATTCGCGCGCTTGCATTCGCGCGCTTGCATTCGCGCGCTTGCATTCGCGCGCTTGCATTCGTGCGCTTGCATTCGTGCGCTTGCATTCGTGCGCTTGCATTCGTGCGCTTGCATTCGTGCGCTTGCATTCGTGCGCTTGCATTCGCGCGCTTGCATTCGCGCGCTTGCATTCGCGCGCTTGCATTCGCGCGCTTGCATTCGCGCGCTTGCATTCGCTGCGCTTGCATTCGTGCGCTTGCATTCGTGCGCTTGCATTCGTGCGCTTGCATTCGTGCGCTTGCATTCGTGCGCTTGCATTCGCGCGCTTGCATTCGCGCGCTTGCATTCGCGCGCTTGCATTCGCGCGCTTGCATTCGCGCGCTTGCATTCGCGCGCTTGCATTCGTGCGCTTGCATTCGTGCGCTTGCATTCGTGTGCTTGCATTCGTGTGCTTGAATTCGTGCGCTTGCATTCGTGCGCTTGCATTCGTGTGAGTGTCGCACGCTCTGATTGGTTGACGGCGATGTAGGTTGCCCTGAATCCAGGTGCCGTCGTCTCTTCATCGGACACGAAACTGACCAGCAGCTCGTTACCAGAGGAGATCAGAGGAGGTGGGACATGGGACCCACAAAACCTGCATGCACATTCGCACAAACACGTGGACAGACGCGCACACAGACAAACTCACGAATACAGTGGTATGTACAAAAAATGACCTATTACCACATCACCCAGAATTCTCCAGATCTCATCAGATTTTGGACACTAAGCAGGATTGAGTTTGGATAGTGGTTGACTAGGTCATCACCACGCCCCACAGGTGTTATGGTGGATATCAGGGGGCAATACACGGTTAAAAGTTTGAAAGGTCAACGTGTACCCATGCTCAATCGTTATTGTAAATATCAATATGGGTATTTCTGTGATGTCCTGATAACAGTGAATTATGTGATAGTCACTTGAAATGAGTGAGTTATTAAATAATTCACTCTTATAAACCAAATAAATGGGTACTTGATAAAGTTGTGCCACCTTTGGTGATACCGATTTCTGCTCTGGCCCATGAACAATTTTTCTCGTCCTCTTCTATTCTCTTTAATTTAACAACTGCCACATTTACTCCACATTTATCTCTCTCTTCTGGTGGTATCGTTCATCTCTGTTTCGGCTTCCCCCCTGCTCTTCCACCAGCAACTTCAGTTCTCTGCCCGTTCTTCACAGGGTACTCCTCGCTCATCCGTTACACTTGACCAACTTCGAACAAATTATTTTTGTGAGTGTCGGCAGTTGTGCACAATTATAAACAACAACTCAACACATTCGTCAATAACAATGTGGCCTTACAAGGAAATATATAAAAACATAAAAAAAACAAATAGCCTGTTTCCTCTAATCCATTACGCTATCGACGCCACCTTCTCCTCTGACAACTTCGCTTCGAATGTGTCCCATGATCATGTGCCCCATGATCATGTGCATGCACACACACACGCACACCTACCGGCCAATGAGCGTGCGTGCCGGTGGTGAGTCGAGCACGTCGAGGTGATCGTACAGGCACAGGGGGTGGGGCTCCAGGTGGAACTCCTCCACGTGCAGCTCCACCACCAGCCCCTCGGGCACCACGACACGCCACACGCACACCTGCGCCACGTGCCCCGCGGGCGTGGCCATCCATCGATTAACAATTATAATCATCACGATCGTGATGTGTGTTTAACATGGCGCCCTCTGACACGGCTTCTCGTAGTGCTCTACATAATCACGTTTGAAAGGGCATCCCCTAATCCTAGTGGCAGTTCTCCCGGTGGGCACATGGTGGCAAGACATTTAAAGACAAGCCACAGTAGTGCGACTGTGGCCATGCCACCCAAACTATGGACCATATATTAAACCTCTGTAGTATGCGCTCTTTCAATGGAGGAATAGCAAAACTACACAAACTCTTTCATGAAGCCCTCTCGTGACTGGCAGACCCCGACATTGTCATTGAGCTCCTGAACATATTGCCACCATACGCAAGAATAGAACCTGGCCTGCAAATCGGCATTGGTCTGCCGGTAGGCGCCGATGTTTGCTCTGTATAATTCCAATTGAGTAATACGCAGGCATTTTTTCAGCATTTGGATGTTTGGCCAATACGAGTTACATTGTACGTTTTTTCATGGCTATTGTGGGAGGGAACTGGAGAACCCAGAGGATAACCACGCAGAACAGGCAGGGGACATACAAACACCACACAGGAAGGAGCACCGAGTTGGAAATCGAACCCAGGTGATTATTGCCGTGAGGCACGTACGTTACCACTGCGCCACCCTGCCGCCCACCGTAATGAAATGAAAGAGACTGGACAACCAACACAAATGAGACAGAGTGCGGAATTCCAGAGAGAGCTCCCCCTCTCTTCCCACCTCGCACACCGTACCCCGTGCGCACGCCACTCACACCCGGCACCTGTAACGGGGGGTATGGTTCTGGGTAGAGAGGCGACGTGATGGTGCCTTCAGAGTCTGTGAGCACCCCTCCACAACCTGCACACACGGTACGCACCACACACACCGCGTGCACGATACACAAACCGCACGCCAATACCACATTAGAACATCTGCGGTTGCCGTGGTTGATGTGGATTGTTGTGGTTGCTACAGATCGTTGTGTTCGCCGTGGATCGTTGTGGTTGTTGTGGCTGCCGTCACCGAGCTGGAAGGTGCCGTTGCAGCTCTCCTCGTCGCTCCTGTCCACGCAGTCTGTGACGCCGTCGCACACGAACTGCGGCAGGAGACAACGTCCCACGTCGCACGCCCATTCATCCTGCGCGCACTCCACTAGCAGCAGCACAAATACAAAGAACCCCCGTATAGCCTTTAACAAACTGTTGGTGCAAGTGCTATAAGCGAACACCTACCCAGTAAACATGCAACAACTGCCCCAGCGTTGCCATGTGGATTGAACCGTGGGACCAATGTTGTGCCAATGTTGGCCCAACGTTCCGAGTTCATGGGGTTCCTGTCATTCTCGGATCCCTGATGATGCTGGAAATATTTATATGACAGAATAAAACAAAGGGCAATCGTCGGTGTTTATGAAAACAAAAAGCACAGAAATATATTTTAAATATACCAGTATATTTCAGAAGATGTCCACCAAAGAGATAGAACGATGACATCAGCTCGTGTACAGCTGCTAGGTGGATTGTTATGGTGGCAGTTTGGGGAGAACTTCATCCAGCAGTGAACTAATCAATCATTTTTGAAGACATCATCCAAGTCAAAATGTCTTCCTACATTTATGACGGTGCTCATATCTGTTGTGAGCCCTGGGCCAGTGGGGGAAATTTCCCATTCTTATAGTGGGTGCCACTTTATTTATATGACAACCACTGCTGACTTTCTCCGGTGGGATGGCACACCGAAAGACGGCTTGCACCGATAAAAAAAAAATCTGCGGGTCCAACAGACTTTTGTTCATGACAGTTCCCTAATCTTCCCGTACTTTGCACACCTTGAAACAGTGCCTTGGAAGCACACAATCGGAGCACGCCTTGGCCTCAAGTTAATGATATCTACCAGGCTGTCTCAACGCCAGTCCCTGTGACACCCCGGCCGGCTGTCTTTCGTAAACAACCATCTTTTATTGTTTATGCAAATGAAAATCGCTGAGTACACTGCATGCACCTGCTGGTTGGTAATCAGGCAAAGCTGTACTGTGGCGGGGTGAGATGGGGGTCACGAGAGGTGGAGTTGAGAAACACTCAGAGAGACTGCGCGGTCCAATCAAGGCAACACTGTGCATTATAAAACAAAAGTATAAAATAAGATGTCCAAGTAGAACCCAATCGTGTTCTGGGTATGAGTGTGATGGTGGTGCATGGGACGTACGCGTGTCCGGGTGGTGTGCGTGGTACGTCACGTTGAACCCTGCCTCCTCCACACTGGAGTCGGAGGTGAACACTGCGAGGAGCGAGTGCGTGTGCGTGTGCAGCGTTGGGGGGGCCCGCCCCCCACACAGCCTGCACGCGCGGCGCACATGGACAAACGACGCGTCAGACGCCGTGCGCGACTCGACGAGCCTATGGCGCACGAAACCACACGCTGCACCAAGGCCGTGGCCATGGAGTCAACATTGGGGGGGACCAAATCTTCCAGAGGGTTTGGGGGTCCCCCCCCCCCCCAGAAAAAAATGTTAATTTGAAAACAAGTTTCCTGCCTAAAATATAAAAAAAAAATGCATTAACACATAGGATGGATTTTGTTTTTTTTTACAATAATGTCTAATAGTGTATTGTATTACATTGCCCTGTTTTTTTCTTTTTAACATTGTCTTGTTTCATTGTATGTAATGGCAGAGATTGGGGATTAATAAAGTACAACCATAACCACAATAATATAAACAGAAATCTATTTCATAGCGATATATTGGGAGGGACATTTTCAGCATATTATAATATTGGGGGGGGGGGGGGGGGTGAGGGGAAGAGACCCAGGGGGTCACGATCTCACGCCGTCTTGCGACGAAGAAATCAGCACCCAACACACGAGCACACGAGCTGACTCCACGACGCGCTGCACTTGAGTTGGCACGACGGCTCAACGACAAAGTTAAAAGGCTCAGCCAAGGCCCTGCCACTGTCACGTTAAACTGCACCTGTGGAAGAACTCCGCAGCAGCCAAACCACGGCTGGAGGGAAAGGTGGCACAGCGGCTGGTACTGCACCACACTTCCCAGTTAGACGACCCGAGTGTGATTCCTGGCCACAGCAAGCGCCAGGAGCGAGTGATTTATAAAACGGTCTTGGGTCCCTCACTTGAACATACCTGAAGCGTGGTAACACAACACCCCACCCTGGCGACTGACAAGGTATGTGGAGGCCTTCATCCAGCAATGGATACATAAAGTGCAAAATGTATCACGCGGTGTGTGCGTGAGTGCCATGCAATGGGTATCTGCAAGTACCACGTTATGGGTATGTGAGAGTATTACAGGTTTACCATGTTTAGTGGTTGTCTCCTTGTCACAGTTTGAGTCACAAACCGTACCTCTCCATAACAAAGGCTCACCCTCTTAAGCCTCACCTTACCATATTAATAAAAAGTGTGCTGCACTTGGCCCTTACCCCCCCCCCCCCTCTCCAACCATTATATAAACGGAGTGGTAGCTCCTGCAATCTCTCATTTACTTGATACAGCTGTCGTGGCTGTGACGGTTCCACCTGAAGACGGAAGCTTGTGTTGCCTCCGAAACGTCGTGATTTTTTTTATTTTTTTTATTTTACTTTTATTAATTTTAATGTTTTTACCTACGTGACTTTACCGAAAAACCTAACAATATGTGAGAGTACCTTGTGGCATGCGTGGGCATTGCGTGGGCACCGTGCGTTGTGAGTGGCGTGCGCGGGCACCGTGTGATGGGCGTCTGTGTGGCGGCGTCGGTGAGCGTGAGCGCGTCGTGTAGACACGGCGGGGCCCCCTCCACGGCAAAGCGTCCCCAGAAGCGCAGCGCCACGTGCAGGTGTGCCGGCACCTGCACGCGCCACTCGCAGCGCACCGCGCGCGGGTAGCGCGCCCCCTCCGCGTAGCCCGGGGTGTGGAACGATCCGAACAGGCCCCGCAGCTCGCCTCCGCAAAGCGCTGTGCGCACACCGCACCGTAGCAACGCGACGCACCGCACCACGCAAGCAGCACACCGCACGGCAGCGTGCCATGCACGGCTCGCCGCATGACGGCACACCGCACAGAACACAGCACAGCAGACATTTAACACGACCAATATGACCAATATCATCCATAATACGGTTTTTTTGGGGGGTTAGATCGCGTAAATATATAAATGTGTCGTTAAATCCACCACCACCTGACGCAGCCAATTAGTAAGTTTCGTCACGTAAACAGATGGCAATCCGTTACTAGTACAGCACACCGGTGTGTTGGAGAGCGTATCGCACGGCCCACATTCCCTCCGCACTCGACGACACTCGCGGCAATAATCGCACCCTCAACATCAACCCCAGCTCCCTCCTCACGCGCAGAGCACTCGGGCGGCGCACACTCGCGGTTACGCACGCAGCCGTCGCCGCCGCAACACGCCCCGCGCCTCCTATTTGAGCTCAGCTCTCAGGAATTTCTCGATGTTTAAATGCCACTCAAGTGTGCGCACTGCGAGGATAACCCATCTCGTCTGTAGTGGGCAGGGTTTGTAATAGTGGTTGGCATGGGCCCTGCCCAGTCAGCATGCCAACGTGGGGCCAACTGTTGGACCAACGTTGGCACATTTATGGGGAGCGGTAGCGCAGTGGTCCGCGCGCCGCGCTACGAACCTGGCGACCCGGGGTTCGATTCCCGCTCCTGGCCAACATCAGTGACGATTATCTGAACCGGTCATGGGCCCTCCCCTAGGTCGACTCAGCCTTAAATAAGTACCTGGTGCGGTGTGTAAAAACATCGCCACTGGGGAGACAAAGGCGGCCGGGCGTGGTACTGTCCACCCACCCTCTCGTGTGCCGTGCCGGCCTTCATAGGTGCTCGCTAACAGCACTTACCTCAACAGTCTGTTAAGGCTACACGGTGGATCTTTGTCAACATTCCCTCTCTCCATCACCTGGAGCTTAGGGCCACTCTGGCATCGTAGGCCCTGGTGCAGTCTCACTTCCTGCACACCAAACGACTACTCTGCTGGGGTATAGGTGATAGGTGCTTGGGCTCAGCACAAAAGCCTTACACCTTGCTTCAATAAAATCCTGCTGGGATAAAAGCCACGTATGAGTCACACGTGGCCCTAATGCTACATTTCCACGGCAAATTAAAAATCAGACCCGGGTCGTGCCGGGCCATTCAAATAATTATTTTGGGTGTAGGGCCTGGTTTTGGCCACCTATAAGCTTGCACTCAATATTTGTCTGCAGAGAGTATCTTACTCTTGCTGCCGAACAACTTGGCTTAGGGTGACCATGCTCTACACAGTCTGGTTCAGGTGTTGATATTAATACAGTAATTAAGAATGGATAGCTGTTTGTAAATCTACTGCTAGATAAAAACCTACATGTGCGTGCAGTGTCAGTCATGGAGATGGATCATACTTTATCACGCTTGGCATTGCAGGTTGGTGGAGAGGGGGAGGTGGCAGGACTGGTTCAGATATCGTTCATCACTGATGTTAGCCATAGCTCGGGTTGTAATCTTTAATTTAACAAAATATGGAGAAAGATTTTGCACGAATTGTTTTTCACTTCAAAGTCACATGTCCAACAACGGCCTCAAATCACACACGCTATTTAAAGAGTCAAACTACGAACCATTTTGCCTGTAAGATCAGCAGTTCACCGTTATTGATTCAAGCGTGTCTGACTGCTGATGAGACACGGTGTGTTGAAACGGGTTCAGTGTTGCTTGTCCTGCATCAATGACGCTGAAAGGCTGTGTGGCTGATGGGTTGTGGAATACTTTTATTTTATTTACGTGGAGAGACGGACATACTAAGGAGAAGTGTTGCCTGGTTATTTGATTAATATTCACCACAACGACGCTCAATGCTTATTTTGAGTTATTTAAAGAGTCAGGGTTGCAAGGTTCTTTGTTTAGTTTGCGAACCACCGCACCGCCACTCCATGGGTTCGCACACGAAGAGTCGAATTTAGATTTAAAGCTTTCGTGACTGCAGGGATTCATCTTCTTGGTTCTTTCGGTAAAGTCACGTAGAAGGGAAGTAATAAAATAATAAAACATAATAAAATACAATTCTCACGACGTTTCGGCCACAACGCAAGCAGCCGTCCTCAGGTGAAAAACATGTCTGTCGGAAAGACAGCGTCAACAAGACAACAGACGCTGTCTTTCCGGACAGACCTGTTCTTCACCCGAGGACGGCTGCTTGCGTTGTGAGAGTCGAATGTCAACCATTTAGCTCGGATAGACTGCTGGGGGGAGTGGAGTTACATTTTTAGCGAGCACCTTTGCACACACACACACGCACGTGAGTGCGCGCGCGTACACAGGGCCCACTGTTGAGGACTGTTTCCACGACACTCACGGCACTCCAGTGCGCACCGGGCCCTCAGCCTCGCGAGCCGGTCTCTTACGGCCGAGCGGGAAAGCAGAAAGAGCTCTCGATGTTGTCGGCGAGAACGGGGGGGGGGGAGGCTTTTGAAAATGCAGATGGTGGAAGCCACTTGTGCAGGCAAACCTCGGCACTTGCCGAGGGATTTACCAAATCTGTTTCACAGCTGGGCAAACTTCAGGCCTCACGGGTCCTTACCCCTGGACACAAAACTCTGTCGGACTAATCAAACGAGGGCGTTTCAAATTTAACCTGAATTATTAGTTTGAGAAAGTTTGACAGTAAAGAGGAGTGGACGAAAAGTACCCTATTTTTTTTTGGGTGAAACTTAATTATCTTGTGATGCTGCTGCTGCTGCTGCGATGTATGTACTCCCATTTAACGTTGTTTCGCAAATACGTCGTCACTTTATTAATACGCATCCTTATTTGTGTCGCCTCGACCCGCACTGACGTCGCTGATAGCATCCGTCCTTCCTCGAATCCGACGCCTCGCAGCCTTCGCCTCCACCCACGAGCCCCTAAATCGCTTTGATTCACGTCCTTGAAATATTTCGTCGCCGCACCTTTTAAGAACGCATCCCCCGACGTAACGCCGGGGTATCACTCTCCATATGTCCTACAGGTGAGAGCTCAGCGACGGCTGCATCGCCAAGAGTGGTGGCTCACACCGCCCGTTGTGTGGCCACAAACCACGGCTAACATCAGTGGCACGGACGCACCTGGATGGGGAGGGCCGAGCGTGAGGCCCGGGAGAGACGTTGACGCGGTGGTGGTGCCGCCTATCACCTGCGAGTCTGAGCACACGCACCACGCACGTCGCAGAAAGCGAGTGAGCACACGCCAAGGCCGTAATTATAATATATATTGGGGGGAGAGGGGACACATCCCCCCCGCCACACACCCCCCCCGCCACACATCCCCCCCCCCCCCCCCCAATATTCAAATATGCTCAAAATGTCCCCCCCTCAATATATTGCTATAAAATAGATTTCTGGTTATATGATTGTGTTTTTCGATTTAAAGCTTTCGTGACTGTAGGGATTCATCTTCTTGGTTCTTTCAGTAAAGTCACTTCCCTTCTACGTGACTTTACCGAAAGAACCAAGAAGATATATGATTGTGGTTACGGTTGTACTTTATGAATCCCTAATCTCTGCCATTACATACAATGACACAAGAAAAGGTAAAAAAAAGAAAAAGCAGAGCAATGGAATACAATACACTATTAGACATTATTGTAACAAAAATAATCAAAAGTCAATCCAATGTGTTAGTGATTTTTTAATAAATATTTTAGGCAGGAAATAGCAGAAATTCGTTTCCTAATTTATATTTTTTTCTGGGGGGGTTGGGAGGGGGGCTCCCAGACTCCCTGGAAGATTTGGTCCCCCCCAATGTTGACTCCATGGCTACAGCCTTGGCGCACGCACGCGTCGCTCGACTGCGTGCATCGCTTTGTGCTTCACTCAACGCACAAAGCACGTGTACAGAGAGCACTCGGCCTCTGCGCATTACAAAAAACACACATCAGCTGTTTCTGAAGAATGACATTGCGGCCCTCTTGTCTTCGGTCACCATGATGGGGTTTCTCGTCATTGACAAATATAATTCACGTGTTGCTGCGATCCAATTAAGGTCGGCAATAAACTCTTGAGGAGAGTTTTTTTTTTCTCTTGTTCGTCCATCAAAGTTGATGATGACCATGGCACGTTTGTCATTTTGTTGGGTTTTGATGATGGCTGAAGAGGCCAATCCGAGCCCGGAGTTCTCTGTGGCACACTGGACAGGTCAGGGAGGATGTAGAGCCCTGAGGTGCAGCCACATGTCTTTCCTTGGTAGATTTGCGCTGCTGCCTCTTCAAGATAGCACAGGAGCGTCTCCTGCTCTCACAGAGGACTGCACCGTCCTGTACTTTTCTTCTCCAGGCAGGTCGGTCCTGTGCTAGGAAAGGTGCAGCGATTCACGCACCACAATATGAACCCGACTCTCTGAGTTCAATTCCCAGCAAATGGCTGTTTTCTTATCCTGTATTTTTTTGTTGCATGGGCACAATTTAACGGTCCGGCTACGCGAGTGAGCAAAGTCTCCTCTGTCTTCACGCATTGCGGGAAAGTGAAGAGGTGCAGAAGTAGATGGTGGGAGATGAACGTACAGCGAGGAATCGGAGTGAGAAAGAGCAGGTGGAACAAGCATGAGAGACAGAGCAAGGTGGGGGGGGGGGCCATGAGTGGGAGCAGTGAAACCAGACGAGTAGAGACCAAGGAGAGGGAAGAGCAGGAGGAGGAGGAGAGAGAGAGAATCACACGGAGCAGGAGGAGTTTTTTTATACTCTTAGTTCTTTCGGTAAAGTCACGTAGGTAAAAAATAAAATAAAAATTAATAAAAATAAAACAATAAAAAACAAAAAAATCACGACGTTTCGGAGGCAACACAAGTCTCCGTCATCAGGTGGGACCGTCACAGCCAGATTTGCTGCATCAAGTAAGGCAAGGATTCAAGATGTAATCCCTTAAATGCGAGTTGAGGGGGGAGGGGGGGAGCTTATCAGAATGTGGTAGCCAATGAAGGAGGAGTTTGAGGCATGGGCACGATATTGTTGAGGTAGGAGGCAGCGCAAAGGAAGAGGAGGAGGTTTAAAGAGGAGACTACGAGTAGAGACTTACACAATGAGCAGAGACGAGTGACAGGTGGAAAGGGGAAGGATATGAAGGCATGGAGATCGGGGGGAGATCGGCTCACAAATGACAGTGGACACGCCGGGGGAAGAGGTGATCAATAAGTATTTGTGTGCTATAAAGATGGACCATTGCTCAAAACGTCATCTATCACATACTTTTCATTTTTAGGTCACAGTGTTATTGACGAATTTGTTGAGTCTTTTTTTGTTACGTTCCCTTGTGCACCACTGCTAACGTAGGAGCAAGTATATTCTCATCTTATATGAACGTCATTTATATAGCGCCTTAACCGAAGGCGCTTTACAGATGAATAAAAAACTGGTACATATGAATGTAAGGGTGGAGACGCGGTGGATAAAACAGATGAGAGGAAGCAACGGGCACATCTGTGATGCGTGAATTCGGTGAAAGCGAAATTGATGACAGTCGATGGTGACGAATGGATTGAATGAATGGGGAATGAAAATATGAAGAGGGAAAAGGAATGGTGGTAGTTATGAGGTGGGGGGGGGGGGTTAAAGGGGTCGTGGGGTGAGCTAGGGAAAATAAGTGAATTTTGAGTGAGGAGTGGAAACTAGTGAGCGAAGGTTCCTGTTCAATGTGACAGCATGAAGATGTAAGGTTGCCTGGCGGGGGGGGGGGGGGGGGTGAAGAGAGGTCCATAGAGGAGGTGGTGCGGCGTTGAGGAGCCAGGGGGAAGCAGCAGACACACAAAGCTACATCACATCATGGGACCTCCTTTGCCAGTACCAAAATATACTAATAGGGTTTTCCCCCTTTTTTTCTGGCAACAAAACTGACACCTTTTGCAAGGAATCATGCTTACAACAACCACAATACTTGCAGTCAAATGCAAACAAAAAACAATACTCTGATAATGTATGCATTGTCTTTGAAACTGATTGGTCCACACCAGAGACAGCCAAAATGCGTCATCTGGTCGAACACCATATGAGACTAGGCTCTAAAGAAAGCTGTCTCTGGTGTGGACCAATCAGTTTCAAAGACAATGCATAAATGATCAGAGTATAGTTTTTTGTTTGCATTTGGCTGTAAGTATTGTGGTTAATGTAAGCATGATTCCTTGCAAAAGGTGTCAGTTGTGTTGCCAGAAAAGAGGGGAAACCCCCTATTAGTACACACAAAGCTGTTGAGGGTTTTGTTGAAGCAGCGGAAAGAGATCGGCAGTACCTGGGCTTGGCGCATTCGTGGCGTTGTTCCACGGCCGAGACGACTGGGACACTGTGTTTCACGCCGCACACACATTCACACGTGAGCATTGGACACACATTCACTTATTCACGTTTTACTTCGTGACTTATTTGTCCAGGAAAGGCCACACTGAGTGGGAGGACTCCTTTTCAGGAGGGTCCAGCATTGGGTTTTGATTTTGTGATGTTTTCTGCCGAATAATGACGAGAGTAGAAACACGTGGGAGGAAACAACAGCGTCCAGAGAAAACACACGCGCGTGAGTAAGCAATACGCTATCCCCGCACGGATGGAAACAGATGGCTATTAGCCCACTTTCATTGCTGCCTTCTCTTGGCGAGCCAGAGTATGGCACATTGACGCCCACGGGAAGGGAGTTTTGCAAGATTTTGTGTGTTTCACCAACCCTAGTTACCTACACAGTGCTTGACGACAGGCAGCCAAGTGCATCACCAGCACCACACCCCCCCCCCCCCCCTAGCTGATGTCGATGCACTGGCTACCACTGCACATGCCATGCCGGTGCACGCACGTGCAGGTCCTTGCCAATGCACATTGTAGTCTCGCTTTTAAAATTTATTTTTTCTCCAAACTTGATTCCGATTTGGCTGTTGACGTCACGTCATGTGACGGAGAACCCGTTCGGGATGCTGGCAGAGTAGTGCCACCCCTCGTGTCAGAGAACGGTCCCCAGAAGCAGATATCAAAGAACTACTTCGGAAATCCATACAAGTGACCTCTGTTCCACACAATAGAGGGCCGCACTTTCCCACTCGGTCTGCTAACAATTAACGTTCGTCACATGATAGCCAAATTGATGTTTTGTTTAATTATCAGAGCTGGAATTTAGCCTGATTAGGTACAAAACCAAATGCAATATGACGGGTTTTTACGCAATCACTGGTAACCAGGTTGAGACCTCCAACTCACTAGAATTGAGAACACCACGCCCTCGTGCGCTGTGCCGACCTGAATATGTGCTCACCAAATGGCACTTTCCCCAACAGTCTGTGAAAGGCTACGCGGGGAGGGTTCTTTGTGATGGGAAATATTATGAAGGGGTTGACTCACGGTGGGTGTGGGTGGTGTTGTGGTGTGCTGTGAGTGGTGGCGTGGTTGTGTTGAGGATGCTATGGAGAGGTGGACTCACGGTGGGGGTGGGTGGTGTTGGTGTGTGCTGTGAGTGGTGGCGTGGTTGTGTTGAGGATGCTATGGAGAGGTGGACTCACGCAGGGTGTGGGTGGTGTTGGGGTGTGCTGTGAGTGGTGGCGTGGTTGTGTTGAGGATGCTATGGAGGAGGGGTGGACTCACGCAGGGTGTGGGTGGTGTTGGGGTGTGCTGTGAGTGGTGGCGTGGTTGTGTTGAGGATGCTATGGAGGAGGGGTGGACTCACGCAGGGTGTGGGTGGTGATCGCTGCTGCTGATGCAAGAGCAGCGGCTCCCAGCACAAACGCCACTCCCTGCAGCAGCCTGCGCACGCTGCACACGCCGCTCCATACACTCTGCCGCACGCCTGCACGCACGCACACACAGACAAAGATCCCCCGTATAGCCTTTAACAGTTTTGGCAAGTACTGGTCTTCACCTGAGGACGGCTGCTTGCGTTGTGGCCGAAACGTCGTGAGAATTATTTTATTATGTTTTATTTTTATTATTTTATTATTTCCCTTCAACGTTACTTTACCGAAATAACCAAGAAGATGAATCCCTGCAGTCACGAAAGCTTTAAATCGAAAAGTGATGTACTGTTAGCGAGCACCTATGGAGGGGGTGGGTGCCCTATACCACTCCCGGCCGCCTTTGTCTCACCAGTGCTGACATTTACACAGCGCAATAGGTACTGCACATATAGACTACATCCCACATACACCACCCTGTCCCGCACTTCAGCATTGCATTGATGCTTGAGTACAAACCGCACATTTGTGTTAGGTGTCATGTTCTTTGTTGGTTACATCCTACAATACCTGAGAGTCACGTCACAAAATCAGCACGCGCTCTATCTAAGCCTTTAACAACGTTCCTGTTCATTGTGTTCGCTATCAAAAATTGGCAAAGGATGTAAGATAAAGGAAAGAATCAGCACAGCAGAAGACACCTTAGTTTGAAACGATAATAAAAATGTAATGTTTCTTCCAAACAGTTCCGCATCACTGAGCGCTAATGAATATTTTCAGAGAATATTCACCAGAATTCGGATAGTCTCATGTGAACAGTTTAACGTGTTCAGCAATTCTATTACAGTACTTCGTGTTTCTGAGTCAATGCGCCTCACAGCTCTGCGGGCTCTCGATGCCTCTCGGAGTCGAGAGTGTGCAGGCCCGCGGTCGCGCCGCGAGGTCCTGCCACTTACAAATAGCCCACAAACCTTGTTTTAAATCCTTTATATTAAGTTCGCTTGCTTGCTTAGGATCGTGCAAATCTTTCGGTCGTTTTTTAACCCACTTCCCGTAATCCAATCGAGCTGACATTTTGCACACAGACTCGTTGTGCGTGACAATGCATTTTCGTGAAACATTTTTTCCAAAATTGTACACTGTTTAGGAAAAAATAAATACATATTTAATTACCAATTGTTTAATGCTGCCAGACAATCATCTGACCCATAGGTGGCAGCCATCTCAAGCCAGAGGACGAGAGGACTCTAGCCACCCCGATGCCACGCATATAAAGGATTTATAGTGAAAAACTTTGTTTTTACGGGTTAATTTATTTTAAATCCATCACTGCGAGCTTATTAGCCGCGCTGGATTGGGTTTTAGAGGGGCATGTGTTCAACTTGGCAACACTGCGTCTCTAAATTTCGTGCGCTCAGTTACTTTCTGCTACTGCAAGCAAAGGTCTTCTTGGGCCGCCGTGGTGGTGAGATGTTAACTCCCTCGCTTGTTATGGAGATCTTGGTTTCGATCCTGACTCTGACGCCTGTTGTATATGTACAGATTGCATGTTCTCCCCGTGGTCGCGTGGGTTTTCTCTGGGTCCTCCTGTTTCCCCCTCCACATTTAGAATCAACATTTGTTTAGGGTATTTGGCTGATATACATTTCTACACGTTAAGCCCAATTCGTTGAGCTATCAGTTGTCATGACCAGGTCGCTTCTGAAAAAAAGAGCAATATAGCTCTTGCAGATAAAGGAGCGAGTAAGCAACGGTTGTCATATTCAGTTAAATGTCCTATTTGGTCAAATGTCCCATTCAGCCAATCGTAACCCAGTGCAGGCACGGTATATATTGTTTGAGATGCAGAGTTGTGAAAAACACGATTGAATGCTTGGTATGTTAATAAAGGGATCGCTCTGTGTGATTGGTCCTCATCAGTGCTCGAGTGAGTTGTCTTACCTGGAGTGGCATCGGGTGTCTCGTTATCTCCCTCAGTCGGACTGGGTTCGAATGCAGGATTGCAGAAATCTGTCTTCTCGCCACACCACATGCACGCAGGATCACACCACGAATTACTGTGCTACCAAAGACAAAGGTCTCCCCGCGAAGCTTGTGACAGGCCACTGGGATAACTGCTGTTGGTGAGAATCTGTTAAGGCCGGCACCAGAGTATGAGGGGATGGTTAGGCCAGAACCAGGGCTTGCCGCCAGGGGTGGTTTCTTCATTAGGGCGATTGGGCGACGCACCACCAAAGTCATTCAACCACAGAGTCACGCTAGCCGTTACTATGCCTCTGGATATAGTCCAATCAGCGTCATGCTACGTTCTGTGGAGTACCGCCTCTTTTTGGGCGATTTCACTCTGGCTGAGAATCGCCCCGAGTGGCCCCATAGACTTACATTCAAAGATGTTTTTTTTCGAACGGCGGGCGCTGCAATGCATTCTCTATGGCTTCCGGGAGGGCTCGCATTAACGTGCTTACGTCATCATACGTAAGCACGTTTCATCCAACAATAAAATTTGTCGCCACCTAGTGGAATCTTTAATATAAGAAACTTGAGTGGATTGTATTAATAGTGAGTATAGAAACAAACAAGATGTATTGTAAGAGTCACTTTATTTTTCATTAATATTAAAGAAGTGAAGTTGCCTTTACATGCTTAAGATGTTAATTTATCCATTGCATGGATGGACCTTATCCTTATCAATCATCCAGACATTTGCCCCCCCTGAGAGATTTTGCAGGAGCCGCCACTGCTTGCCGCCCTCCTTTCTCTCCACAGTGCTGGCCTTAAAACGCCACAGTTGGTATGTATTCGTGGCTGAGTTGACTTAGGGGAGGTCCAGGGTAGGTTCAGGTATCACACCATCTCTATAGTATTAGTGGTGGTGGTCGTGGTAAGTATTTGTGGTGGTGGTATAAGTGGTGGTAAGCATATTAATCGTGGGGTTGGCGTTGATATTTGCGTTGGTACTGTATTTAAATCCACTGTCTACTTTGTCTTCCTGTCTTATTGCAGTTTCTGACTGGCTCCCAGCAAATTTTCTTGAACTAAATAACGCTTAAACTGAAATTCACTAAGTTGGGAAAATATATTACGTTACAACAATCTACTGTCTATCTGCTTGACTCTGATCTCTATATTCGTCAACAGACACGAAATCTGGGGTTTCATTCTTGACTCTAACCTCTCCTTTTCTTCTCACATTTCCTATACGTGCAAGACCGCTTACTTTCATGTTCGCAACATTTCTCGTATCCGCAACTTTCTCTCCGACATGGCTGCAGAAACAACAATACGTGCATTTGTCACTTCCAGACGAGACTGCTGCCATTCTCTGTTATTTGGCCTTCCTTTGTCTCTCTTCCAACGTGTGCAGTATGTTCTAAACACAGCTGTAAGAGTATTCATTCATCATACTCGTAAGCGTCAACATATTATACCCATGTTACGAACCCTCCAGTCCAGAATCACCTTCAAGATTGCAACATTCTTCACGTGCTGGCCCATGACTATCTTTCCCCTCCGATTTCAGTTTAATCCCCTCTCCAGGATCTCCGTTCATCTTCTCTCGCTAGGAATCCTCTCCACCACACAAATAAAACGTAAAACCATTGGTGGATGAGCTTTCTCATGCGCAACCCCTAAAGTCTGGGATACCCTCCCACTCCACATCTCACAAATCAACTTCATCATATTATTACAATCTGAACTAAAGACATGTTTATGCTGAAAACTAGGTGATCACATTTTGGACATTTGACCGATTGGTCTAAATTAATCAGAACTTTTTGGCACTCCACTACCCCTCCTGTGAAGGCCTCCTGGCTTGGTTGGGAAGTGGGGATTGTGGTCTGAGATGTGACCTCATGGACTCATTTATTTGTTGTGATACATTTTTGGTTGCTTTTGCTCTTTTTTTTGGTGCCATTTCTTTTTTTGTTTATTCATTTTTTATTTTGCTTGGTAGCAGGGCTTTCATTTGTTTGGCAGTGGCTGTATATGTGATTTGATCCTCATATATAATGAATGTACAGTTTTATGTGATGCTATTCGCATGAATGACCCGATATAAAACGACATTAGTATTATTTAATTTGCCATGTGTGCATTCTCATCATCTGCATCTGCTATGAAGCGTCTGTGAGTTCAATCAACGCAACTGTGAGCAGGCTCGTTCACTCGTAAATGCCCCTAACCCCGGAATGTTCTCCCACCGGTTCACCCAAGAATGTCTGCGTTTATCCCTGGTTTTAAAATCCAGAACTAAGACGAATTTAATAAGGCTTTCCGATGGGCCCTACTTATTTGTGATCATATGACTTGATGTTGATACTGTATTTCAGTCGGTTTCATATATAACAAGACTTCATCTCTATAACGGTTTATACGGTATATCAATAATTACTCAGGTGAACATGCTCTTGGTAGGGTGCAATTACCTCCAATTGTGATTTTTTTTTTTACACTCACGTAAAAGTAATTTGTTTTATGTTGTAAGCTTTTACGTGGATTACAAAGGTATGCATATAATTAAACCAGTAAAAGTGGCATAAAGACAAATTACAGAACCACATCATCTTTTTATTTATTTAAATCTTTCGTGACAGCAGGGATTAATATTCTTGGTTCTTTCGGTAAAGTCACGTAGAAGGGAAACAATATAATATTTTTTTTATTGTTTTATATTTTTATGGTCACTCCGACACTGATGTTTACCATTCCCTCGAATCGAACTGATGTGGCCATGTGCTATGAAGAAGGGCCATTTGCCCAAAACCTCGCTCTTTTCGTCTATATTTTTTCCGCTTCATAAAGCAGTGTTATTGACGAAAGTGTTGATTTTCATTGTGGCTGGATACACAGTGCAGTGCGTTAATACCTGAGCCACCACACTGGGGTGACGCGAGACGTGGCGGCGTGGGGTAGAGTGCGGTGAGCGATGCGTGACGTGCGGAACACGTAAGGTGTGTGTGTGGAGGTGCTCGCTAGCAACACTTTCCCCAACAGTCTATTAATCCAGCGACTCTAGTTCGATTCCCGCTCATGGCCAACACCAGCGACTATCTAAACTGGCCCTGCGCCTCCCCTAGGTCGACTCAGACTCAAATTAGTACGTGGTGCGGTGTGTAAACATCGACACTGGGGAAACAAAGGCGGCCGGGCGTGGTACTGGCCACCCATCCCGTCGTGTGCCGAACCGACCTTTATAGGAGCTCGCTAACAGCACTTTCCGCAACAGTCTGTAAAGGCTATACCTCCGATTAGCACGGTTGACTACGTACGGTGCGAAAAAAGTTCAACATTCATACGTGGGTTGTTTATCTTTGTTTTGTGCAGAGTGTGGGTCAGGATTTGGAGGTGTATGATGTGTGCTTTGAGGCTTTTTTATTTATAGTGAATCAATGCTGATAAAAGTATGTACGCCCAGGTCATAGGGCCGTTGGGTTGTGTAAGATTTACTTTTATGTGGAGAGACGGATTTCTCAAGGAGACATTGCTTGTGTGTTTTTTTAATTTATACATTTCCACAACGACGCTCATGATTACTTTGTGACTTTTTTTAACACAATAGCTGAGCACATGCTTAAAGGGCCCTAAAACGTTAAGCGTCCGGGACAAAAACAGCACGATCAAAGTTGTAATCTGCAAGAGTTATTAACGCTTTACCAAAATTGAACAACAGTTAAAAGGGCTACGGACCAAATAGTAAAACAGTGTCATCTACGCTCCTTCAACAGACGGGGGAACAGCAAAACTACACCAACCTTCTCCTGAAGCCTTGCAAACGTCGACTTTGGCATTTGTATCCTGAACATATTGCTGCCATCATACGCAATAATAGAATAAGATATTGGCAAAAGACACGTGTTGGTTAGTGTAGCTGTGCTGTCATCAGAGGCGTGCTGACCCTTGCTGATATCGTCAAGGAGCATAAACCATCATGCGAACTCCGGTCATCCTCGCAGCGGCTCCTGGCTAACCGTTGAACTAAGCCGGTCATCGCATCGCGCAATTTCAGATGCGCTTCTGCGGCCGTCTGGAACGCTCTTCCTTTCGATATTAGGGCGTCACTGGAGCTATGCACCTTTAAATCAAGATTCAAAGCTCGTTTCTTTAGAACTGCTTTTTGTGTTTAGTTTGTTGTCCTTCCCCCGCACCTCCGATTAGCGCGGTTGGCTACGTACGGTGCGAAATTAGTTCAACATACAGTGCGTGCAATGTGCGTGGTATTTGTTTGCAGTCTGCGATGTGAGATTTTAAACTCGGGTTGTCAATGGAAGACAAACAGCCTGTGAGCTCTGGCTCTGGAGAAGACCGTCACGTAGTATCCAGTGGACAGCGAAAAAACCCCACGAAAGTAACGGCACAATATTGGTGCCATTACGGCCACATCGTACACCGTAATACGAGAGATGGAAACGAGGTTGTGTTGGACACATATCTGGGAAGTCATGGGGAAACCCTGGAGAAACTGTCGATGTCTGGTATAAGTTGAAGGAAAAAAATTAACCCGTAAAAACAAAGTTTTTCACTATAAATCCTTTATATGCGTGGCATCGGGGCGGTTAGAGTCCTCTCGTCCTCTGGCTTGAGATGGCTGCCACCTATGGGTCAGATGATTGTCTGGCAGCATTAAACAATTGGTAATTACATTTTTTTTTTTTTTTAATCCCCAAACAGTGTAAAATTTTTGAAAAAATTTTTTTCACGAAAATGCATTGTCACGCACAACGAGTCTGTGTGCAAAATGTCAGCTCGATTGGATCACGGGAAGTGGGTTAAAAAACGACCGAAAATTTTGCACGGTCCTAAGCAAGCAAGCGAACTTAATATAAAGGATTTAAAAATGAACAGAGGTTCACGGAGACTCCGATGGACAAAAGTGTTGTAAATATCATCTGGAGGACAGGAAACCGAGGTGATGGCAAAGCCAAAACTCACAGAGAGCCCAGTCGCTTCATCACCGAGGTCATAGATCCACGCCGATGAGTAGATCGAGAGAAGTGCAGGTTCACGCGGGGAGTGATGTGTGTGGGGTGAGGGGTATGATGTGAGGCGTGCGACGTGATATTGTCCACCTCACCTTGTTGTTGTCATTCGTGTGCAGCTCCCGGACTTGCGGGAGAACCCAACTCTTGCCGCGCATCCCGGCGCGACGCGATGCGTGCACACAGCACGCACACAGCACTCCTCCTCACACAGCACTCCTCACACAGCAGTACTCACACCGCACTCACACAAGGTCCCCCGTGGAGCCCTAACAGACTTCTGGGCTAAGCGTCGTCCACGAGCACCTGTGACGGCCTGCACGGCACACGAGGGGGTGGGTGACCAGCACCACGCCCGGCCACTTTTTTGTCGACCCAGCGGCGACGTTTACATATCGCACCAGAATCGAACTCGGGGAGGTCCGGGACCGGTTCAGATAACCGACACTGCTGTTGACCGGGGTCGCAGCGCAGCGCTCACCGCTGCGGCCACCGCTACCTCGCGACCTCCTCACGCACTCCTCGCCATGCACTCGGCAAATCGCACCCCACTGGCACTGCCACTTAATGCCACTCACTGCCACTCACCGGCACTGCCACTCACTGCCACTGCCACTCACCGCCACTCACTTCCACTGCCACTCACTTCCACTGCCACTCACCGGCACTCACTGCCACTCACTGCCACTCACCGGCACTGCCACTCACCGCCACTCACTTCCACTGCCACTCACTGCCACTGTCACTCACCGCCACTCACCGGCACTACCACTCACCGACACTCACCGGCACTGCCACTCACTGCCACTCACTGGCACTGCCACTCACCGACACTCACCGGCACTGCCACGCACCCGACCCATCCATCACACGCGGCCCATCACCACCCCGACCGCTCAGCTGGCGCGTGTGTGGCGAGCGTGCTGCTCCGCGCCGAGTGAGCGCGCCGTGGTGGTGGGCACGGGTCTCAGTGCTCGCCGCCGGGTCAACTCAACGGTGACGGGACTCTCCCACCCCTCCTCACCCACCGTCCCCAATCAACGCTGACCGCGTGCGCGTGCGTGCGCGCAAGTAGGATGGCGTGAGATGGATTACGCGTCTTCGTGTGTGTGTTGTGAGAGAGTGTGTTAAGTGGGGGGCGGCGGTGGAGGGGGGGGGGGCGATAAGTGTGGACGTTTATGAAAGTGGAAGTGCGTGTAAGGGTGTGTTTGTGCTGAAGTGGGGGACCGAGGATAAGTAGGCAAGTGTGAAAAAGGGGGCATGAGCGTAAGTGGGTGTGTGCGTGTGCTTGAATTCGCTCGCGCGCGTGTGTGTGTGTGCATCTTCATGTGTGGGGAGTGATGCTGGTCATCCACGCCCTCGTGTGCCGTACCGTGCCTTCCTAGGTGCTCACTAACGACACTTGCCCCAACAGTCTCTTAAGTCTATACGGGGGGTCTTTGTATGTGTGGTGGAGAGCGGTGGTGTCGCGGTTAGCGCGCTGCGCTACGAACCCGGCAAGCCGGTCCTGGGTCTCCCCTAGGTTGACTCAGCCTTAAATTAGTACTTGGTGCGGCGTGTAAACATTGCCACTGGGGAAACAAAGGCGTTCGAGTGCTGTGCCCCCTTCTCGTGTGCCGCGCTGACAGCACTTGTCCCAAGAGCTGTTAAAGGATATACGGGATATATTTGTATGTGTTCGTATATGTAGGTATACATTGAAAACTAGGTTCACTCGTATATATGCATGTTTTATGACAAAACAGTGAATTTTAAGATTTTTTATATTTCAAATCGTGAAATTCAAATTTTTTTTTATACTTCGACCGTGAAAAATATGAAAATGGAGGATATGCCAAACATTAATGATTAAAGTTAATTTTAATAGATTGTATTATTATTTATAGACCAGGAGTTTCACTCTGCATGGTCTTGAGGACTACCGTGTGTGTTGGATTTTCGTTTCAACTGATCTCCTGATTACTTAATTGAACTAATTACCGTCTTATTTAGACTTTTACAGTTGCATTCAACTCCGAAACAGGTGGAGGCAGTTCAGCGAAGTGCTGAATAACGTTGCCTGCGACTAAACACCGGTGGCGCGTGCTACCAGGGTTGCCTGTAGCCTCCCCCACCCCCACAGTTAACACTGAAAACCAGAAGTTTAAAAAAAAAGTTTATTTTCATTTTGTTTCTCTACTGTTTAATACTTTTTTTTATAGTTTAAAATGTCCTTCTGTGTATTTGTGCAATGCACTTTTACAGTTCAGTGCTAATAAAACCAATGTATGATAATTTGCTAGTTTTGTATTTTTTATTGCAATTTGATCAAGTCAAATGTGTATTTTGACCATTTGGTAATTGACTGCCACCAAATGTATATTTTCCCAGAAATTATTAGAAGTATGTACTAAGTGATATAGTTGTTTTTATATGGTACCTTATTTACAACGCTGCCATTAATAATACTAAAGACACTTTCACATACGGTAATGTCATATACTGCAAATTAGTTTTGAAGGTAATTTGCAGAATTTTTTTTACTGTGTAATTGTTATCGTAAATATAAATTCGTATCGTAATATGAAGTACTGTGATACTGTTTATATTACTGGCAACCCAGCTGCCACACAAGTGATGTGGCTTGGTGTGACGAAAAAATATACGCGCCATAAAAAATAATACTCTAATGGGAATCATTTTTTAAAAATTCGTAATAACATTGCCTTAAAAGGAAAAAAAACTATAGAATGACATTTCGGGTAATGACCCTTCTTAACTGTAATGATCAATAACACAGACTTAAGCCAGGGCGGACGCTCGAGGGGTGTTGGGCTGGGCCGTGCAACATCAAACGTTCCTTTGGCCTAACCCAAGTTCACTCTGAACAAGTAAACCCGTAAAAACAAAGTTTTTCACTATAAATCCTCTATATGCGTGGTGGCTAAAGTCCTCTCGTCCTCTGGCTTGAGATGGCTGCCACCTATGGGTCCGATGATTGTCTGCCACCATTAAGCAATTGGTAATTAAATATTTAATTTGTTTTCCCTAAACAGTGTAAGATTTGGGATTTTTTTTTTCACGAAAATTAATTGTCACACACAACGAGTATGTGTGGAAAATGTCAGCTCGATTGGATCACGGGAAGTGGGTTAAAGAACGAGCGAAAGATTTGCACGGTCCTAAGCAAGCAAGCGAACTTAATATAAAGTATTTAAAAATATTTTCGCCTGTGGAGGACGCGGGGATCTATCCCGCGACCTTTGGCATGGGAAGCAAGGGCGCTACCAACTGCGCTACTCCGCCACGGCCTGTGGAGGGGTTACGCTCTGGGCTCTTACACTCTGACGTTCAGCCAAAGCCATGAATGCGTTCTATTTGAATATATGTAAAATAATTTTCTTTTGCCTAAAAAGTGTAAAATTTTGGGAATTTTTTTTCACGAACAATAATTGTCTGGCACAACGATTCTGTGTGGAAAATGTCAGCTCGATTGGATTACGGGAAGTGGGTTAAAAAACGACCGAAAGATTTGCACGGTCCTAAGCAAGCAAGCAAGCACGCAAGCACGCAAGCAAGCAAGCACGCAAGCAAGCAAGCAAGCACGCGAACTTAATATAAAGGATTTAAAAAATAAGAATACTTTTTACCATTTCTGTCAATAAAACATGTGTTAATATGTTGAAACAGCAAATAAAAACATTTATCAAGGAAGGTTTCTATCTTAACACTTGTGTATTGCTAGAAAGGGTAAAACCTATTCTTATGTTTTCATACTTTTTTGCTGGAAAAAAAGGTCCCATGTTCAAGTTCACTCTCCTTAGCAGTACATCACTGTGACGGAACTCCCCGTAAAACATCTTTACTGGGGCCCCCAACATCAAAGAGGAGCTCGAGCTTGGCTTGAAACACTTCCGGGAAGAAACCCATGTGCTGCAATGACTGAGTCACGAGTGATGAGATCAGCTCGTGCGAATGGGAAAGATGGGTTGTTTCGTTGCGAGACCATCATAGATGCAGCTGCTTGTCTCTCAATGGAGCCGTTTTTCTCGTGGAACTGATGTGACTTCACTCAAGGCATGAGCGTGAGCTCTTGTTTCTTTCTGCTGACTCTCATTGAGTGACACCGTGATCAGATGAAGGACCCATACTGCCAAGCTGAAGTCTGGGCAAAGTCTCAGCCAATAATATATCACGAGTCACCTGGTCTGGTATCGAACTCAGGTGTTCAGGGCCATACACCATGTACCGCTCTACCCATCACAGTGTATATGGGATTAATGGCACCTCCTCTATTCTTCGTGTGCATGTATGCATGCACTCAGTCACGTGTATTGCCACCAGAGGGACTAAGCCATCACATGACATGCAGAGTCACATTCCATTCACACACACATCTCAAGCAAACTCCGTGCAGCACCCATCTGTATGGCCATGAGTTATGGTGTTTGCTTCACTGGTACTCTTAGTGGCACAACTAACACCGTTGGTAGAGCAGGCAAGTTAGCACAACAGTTAAATGCAAATGGAAAATTGATTGAATGCTGTTATATAAGGCGTCTAAGGTCGGCAGTCAGCGCAGTGCACATCCAATTACAATGACGGCGATGTAGTGGTTTAGCGCACTGCGCCATGAACACGGCCAACCTAGAGTTCGATTCCTGACCACAGCTCACGTTAATAGTGCGTGACATCTGAACCATTCCTGGGCTCATCTTCTCCAAGCCTGCACGAGCCAGTGTGCCGAAGAACGGCCAAGCAGCCTCCCATGACTTCCATCCCGTGAGAAGGCCATCATCCAGCAGTGGCTTGACTAAGCACAGTAAGTAAATCATCATCATTATCACATTATTGTGCATGATGTGCTAGATAGCTGTGGTCAACATATAAGCAATGTGGCTTTTGTAGGATTAATATAAATATCAGGACTACCAGCATGAACATGAAGAATCACCATTCCCATGGGTTGTAATAACTAACACAGAGTATGTTCACTGTGGCAAAGGCATATGTCGCTTTATTTATTACAAAAGCACGTGACACAGAGTTGGCAGTGGTTCACAAGCACAAATAAAAGTCGTCAATAACACTGTGGCCCGAAGCGGAAATACTATATAGTATACAGTATAGAGAGAGGTGAGGTTTCAGGCAATTGGGCCTTCTTCATAGCAAAGATGAAGGGCAATTACTTGCTTATAAATTTTTCACATTTATGTTATACCCCTTACACATTTTCCCCTTTGTTTCCGTTAAGGACAGTTTTATGGAAGAATGTGTCTTGAGTTGTTTTGGTTGCTTGTATTTACAGTGCAGGGACTCCGCTACTTGCGAACATTCGACTGACGAACTTTCAGAGATACAAACAAACCTGTTCGTACGTCGAGTTGCCTGTTCGGATCGAGAGTCGTAAGTTTAACCGCCGCACAATAGACGGTGGCATTTACATTTGCAGAACATGAAGAACAAGTGGCATCTACATCTACAGGAGATTATACAACTTTTAAAGGCATTCCCCGTGTTTAGTGTACATGCCGTACAACATGTTTGGAATCGACAGGGGTAAAGGTGGACTTATGAACAAATCGACTTACGAACAGACCTCTGGAACCGAACTCGTTCGTAAGTAGAGGAGTAACTTTACCGTTTTAAGGTCGTTGCCGGTTTAATTGGGTGGGTGGGGGGTGTCAGTATAATTCTGCACCCCGGTTATTGAGCAGCGTCGAAAAAACCGGTCAAACGAAAACGGTGGTGAAATCGCTTCCTGATGCAGAATTACCAAAGCGAGCCTGTAACCAATAATCAATAATTAGGTTATGGCAATTGCTTGGGGCGGGCCTGGCTCTGCTGGTGAGACCGGTCCGGAGTGTTGCTTCTCTTAAATCAATGCTGTTGAAGTTAAGCACTCCCAGAAGGCCGTGCGGTTGATGGGTTGTGTAAGAAATCCATTTATGTTTTTTTGTGGCGAGACGGATATGTGAAGGAGACATTGCGAATGTATTATGTTAGACAGAAATCAATAGTGCCTACCTGTTGGGCAGCAGAGGGCAGTGCAGCAAATGCGATTGCTGTGTCCGTACAGGATTGACGTGCCTTCACTTCTTATGCTCCTATCCCGACCTTGACCAATCCGCACTGACCAGCGTGCTGAAGTGTGGTCACATAACCCCCCTCCCACGCTTCTCATCCAGAAGTGCATCGACAAATAGGCAATACATGCACATATACAGTAAACAATCTTTTCCCTGTTATGTAACGTGTACAAAATGTTCAAACATACTTGTATGGTCGACGGCAGTGCTGTTCACACATTTTCAGCAGGGTGGCCACTTTCGCTTATAAGACATCAGTGTGAGGGCCGCCACAGTTCGATTCCAGGCCACGGCTAACATCAGTTGCGAACAATATTAAAACCAGTCCTGGTCAAACTACCCGCCCCTACGAGCGACAGCGTAGGGAGTCACCTTCCAGCAGTGCATGGACAAAGGGCTGTGAATCATACGCGTTATATAACGTGTCAAGTACGCTGTAACGTATGCAGCCATAACACGTCTCACAGCGACGGGAAAACTCTCGCAACAGCGAGGGAAATCAAAAAGATCACGGGCATTGAGCTGCCACCGCTGAGCACCTGGGTTCGATGCCTGGTCTCACCTACACAAAAACCGCGCTTAAACCGGGGTCTCTAAGAGTGTGGTGCGTTTAGGGTCTCCGCCGGGTAGCCAGTGACCTACACAGAGTCTCATAGACTCACATAAATCGGTTTACACCGATTAGCTTGTGATTAAACCGGATCCTCCAGCGCAGTGAGTTGATGGGTCTCAGGCCGGTCACCAATGACTTGCACAGAGAGCCATAGACTTACATGTATATCATGTTGCGCGATTTACGAATTACTGCACACTTAAAACACAAACAGAAACTTCAGGGTTGCCCTTAATGTGGCTCTAAAAGTCCAACATACGTATAAACATGTGAATTTCAGGTAAATGTGAAACAAAAATCTAATCGATATTTCTAAATGGTGGGTTCACCGTTTCGTGACGCTGAGAGAATACGATGGGAACACATCTTGAGAGCGCATGGAACGCTCTTCCTTCCGATATTCGGAAGCCACTGGTGCAATGCACATTAAAATAATCTCTATATTGACAAACTAATTTATTTAAAAAACTTTTTGTATTTAGTTCCTTGTCCTTCCCCCGCACCTCCAATAAGCATTGCGAAAGTTCAACATAAATACGAGACAATATATAAAAAAAAATGTTCAAGAACTTAAAATATAATTATTGAATCAGCCAGAGTTGTGTAACCGAGGTGACGTCACGCACGGCGCTCCCATTGTTCCGGAGCGGGTCACGTGCGACGGGTCACGTGCGGCGCGCATCGCCCCGCAAGTCCCCGCCCCCCACGTGTTTCGCGTGGACTTTTAGCGCCGGTTTAGTTCGCAGTCACAGCAGTAGCAGAGCAGCCACAGAAGCAGGAGCAGCAGCAGGAGCCACAGAAGCAGCAGCAGCAGCAGAGAGCATGACGGACGTGAATCTTGAAACAGTTGGAGCGAACAAGTTGGTGAACGCGCGCACCGGGGAGGTAGGCTGTGTGTGGTGTGAGTGTGTGTGGTGTGATGTGAGTGTGTGTGGTGAGTGTGGGGTAGTGTGTGTGATGTTGTTTGATGGTAGGTAAGAGTGTGTAGCGTGTGTGGTGTGTATATATGTATGTGATGTTGTTTGATGGTAGGTAGGGGTGTGTGGTGAGTGGTGTGAGTGTGTGTGATGTTGTTTGTTGATGGTAGGTAGGGGTGTGTAGCGTGTGTGGTGTGTATATATGTATGTGATGTTGTTTGATGGTAGGTAGGGGTGTGTGGTGAGTGGTGTGAGTGTGTGTGATGTTGTTTGTTGATGGTAGGTAGGGGTGTGTAGCGTGTGTGGTGTGTGTATATGTATGTGATGTTGTTTGTTGATGGTAGGTAGGAGTGTGTAGGGTGTGTGTGACGATAGGTGTGCGTGTATGTTGCTACACGTGTTTGAGATGGTATGTGTGGCGGCGGTGCGTGTGGTAATACAGGCTAAATATATATAGTACAGTATACGATGTGTACGCGTGTGCAGAGCGGTGGTGCCACGCTGCGCTACGCAGCCGGGTGAGAAACTGCGTCCGCAACCCGTCCCTGGGCCTTCGCTCGGCCGGGCTTCACACTAGATCCACTCGGCCGTAAATGAAGTACTTTGCTGATGTTTACTGGGGCTGGATAACCCCCCCCCCCCCCCCATGTGCCGTGCCGGCCCTAATAGGTGCTCGCTAACAGCCCCTAACAGTCTTGTTAAACTGGGAATATTGTATTATTATTAGTGTTGTGTGCTGTGTGGGGAGCGGTGGTGCAGTGGTTAGCGCGCTGCGCTACGAACCCCTGCGCGACCAGAGTTCGATCCCCGATCGGGGCCACCACCCAGTGGCGACGATTGTCTGAACCGGTTACCTGGGCGCCTCCCCTAGGTAGACTCGGCCTACTAATGAGTACCTGGTACGCTGCGTAAAAACATCGCCACTGGGGGGGTGGGGGGGAGACAAAGACGGACGGGCGTGGTGCTGGCCACCCCCAACCCCCTCGTGTGCCGTGCCGGCCTTCATAGGTGGTCTCCAACACACTTGCCCCAACATTGTGTCGAGGCTATACGGGGGATCTTTGTCTTTGTGCAGCAGCTGGGGCGCGACCAGACAAAGGCTGAGCGGCCCCAAAGAGCCCAAGGGTCGATTCATGACACTACCAATAATTAGTATCGGTTCCAGTTGAAATCCTAATAAACGAGACTATGAACGTTGTGTTTACAAAGCCCATCTCTCTCGCTCTCTGCTCTACATCTTGGCTGTATAACGACGACGTTCTTCGTCCCCATCGCCGCCTCTGCTCTGATCAATTTCTGTTATCCCCACGACGAGCTAATAAGTCAATTGTCCCATGCCGTTAGTTTGTGTAAATATTTATGTTGATAATTGTCGTAATTACGTGGGGTTTTTTTATGGTGTGTGTGTGCTCTCCCTCTGAGAACTACACATGTGAACTGCGTGTCATTGTGAATGCGTGTTCGTACGTTGCTGTGTGGTATAATGCTAGTGCTGGGTTGTGTGTGTTCGTGCGGTGTCGTTGTGTGTCGCGTGTAGATCTGTGCACCGGTGGTGCGTTTGTGTGCGCACAGAGGAAAACGAATATTTACGGAAATGTTTGTTACCCATAACTGGAGTCTTCAACATTTTCAGAGCCATTCATCCCGTACAACCAAACCCACGTGTGTTTTTTATGCACCAGGACCAAATTAGGCCTTATACCCCATCATACTACGGTTCATTCTAGATTTGACGTTTTCGTGACTGCAATAATCCATATTCTTTGTTTTTTTTATTTTTTCACCTACGTGACTTTACCGAAAGAACCAAAGAGTATGCATACTACGGTTGATCATTGATTATTTTCTGGCTTCCAGCATTATCCGGCGTTCCTGGGCCGATTCCGGTGAAACCGGCAAAATCGCTCCAAAGGCTGCAACCAGTCCGTCAATCAGCACCATGTGCGGGACAAATGAAAAGGAGCTATGCACGATTTCAGTGTTAAATATATACAGTACATTATACACTACATACAAATTAAACAATGAAAATCCTGCACTTATACACATCACCCCCATGCATAGTCTTCGAGATTGCAGTGGTAAGTACGGTAATCGGTAAATAAACCTTTTCAAGTAGGATATTTATTTGTCTTGTTATTTACGCCAATTTCAAATAGTAAAATTTAAAACACTAAAAAAAACATACACCTAAAAACAATGTCATACAAGAATGTGCTAAAAAAATTGCTATTTTAAAAATCCAGCGCCCCCTCTGAAGCTGCCGGATAATCAATCTACTGTATCAATAACCACTGCAAGCATCTTAGCTGCACTAATCGGGTATTAGAGGGGACGTTTCCTACCTGCCATCGCTGTGGTCATAATCCTAGAGCTCTCGGGCCTCTGCCACCACAAGGTCCACTTGTTTTTGTTGCCTCTTGTCTTGATCACCGTAAAAACAAATTTGCGCAAATGTGACCAACTGATAGCAGCAGTGGTGTAGAGATATCCACCAAAGGTTCCCCAGAGTGTTTAAACCCAATAATAATTGAGAGCATAGGGAGTAACAGTCATGAGGTTTGCCTTCGTGTAGGTGCTCTGAACTTTTTATCATTTCCCACTAAATGTAGAACATCGGGCCAACGTTGTCATAACAGTTGGCCTGTTTGCTCAACGTTCCATGTTTACCAAGTTGACATCTCACGACGCCGAGATGATGATGATGATGCTGCTGCTGAGCGGTGCGTGACAGCTGGAGCCACACACACACACACGCGCGTTGCTTTGTGCTCTCCCCATGCGCGTTTCCAGGTCGTGTCATTGGCGTCCCTGTGGCAAGGCCCTCAGCCCGTGGTCATCACGTTCCTGCGTCGCTTTGGCTGCGCCGTGTGCCGCTGGTGCGCCCGAGAGCTCTCCACCGGCATGGCGCGTGCCAACCTGCCGGTACGCGCACGACGCCAATGGCGGTGGTTGTGCATTTGGTGATTTTTTTGGGAAGATTTGCTGGTTTATCCAGGATGTTTCTGTTGCGCGTCGTCGCTTTAAGATGTTCTCTGTTCATATTTTGTTTGTTGCGGTGGCACCCGACTCAAGAGCCGCATGGTTCACAGGGCTATACCTAGTAAATGAAATTTGAAAACTTAACTTGAGTGGTTGCGGTGTGGTTGGTTCAGTGTGGTTGTGGTGTTGTTTGCCAGGCCGGAGCGGTACGTTTGGTCGCCGTTGCATCTGAGCGGGTCGGGCTGCAGGAGTTCCTGGATGGAAATTTCTTCAGCGGTGGTGGTAATTGCTTCCAGTTCACTCTACCCCCCCCCCCCCTTCCACAATGCCTCTTCCCCTCATCATATTCCCCTTCCATGTGGGGTTTTTGTCTGTGTGACTGAAAATTTACAAATGTAAGGGGCTTCTTTTGCCGGTGAGACTTCTTACTAATATACAAATATATACAGCAAGGCTTCGGCTCTTGAAAATCTGCGCGAAAATGGAAGTTGTAAAATGTAGACTTTATATGGGAAAACGGGGAGTTAATTTCCCGTGTTTGACTTGATATACGGAAGAAAATTCAAATATTTCGTAACATTAATCCTGTACCGTACACATGTCTATACTTAATTATATTCTACAAGGCACATTAATAAATTGTACTGTAAATTCGCTTTTACCCAAGGTGCTTTGCAAGGGTTTTGAGTGGTACAATTATCTTCCCGGGTTTTCTTTATAAATCCGACTGTTGACTAGTTTACCACGTCATTGTGGCCAACAGTAGACACACGATCACCACGACCAACAACTCCACTTTTTGAGCCAAACTCATCACTTTATTCTGCCTTTTGCTCAACTCACTTGATGTTTAGACCCCATGATCTAAATAAAAACACACCACAAATAAGTCTAAAATAGCAAAAGTTAGCGGCACTTGAAGAATGAGCTTCAGCATGTGGATGGTGGCACGTGGCCACAATCCACGACTGTACAAGTACAGTACCCCTCCCGCGTTAGGGGCCGTCCATAAATGACGTCACGCACCTGGGGGGGGGGTCAGACATGTGTGACGAGGGGGGGGGGTGAGAAATGTGACGTCACATCAAAATGCGCAACTTTAAATAAATATAGACAACACGTTCTACTTAATTAAATATACTTTGTAATAAATGTTTTCTCCTACAACATCAGAGTGCAGCGCCACATTAAATACGCACTACAATGACAATAGTTTAAAGCGATTTTAAGCATGTTTTATTTTCGGGGGGGGGGGGGGCAGAGCTTTGTGACGTCATTTGAGGGGGGGATCTGACTTTTTGTAACTCCGTGTGACGATGGGGGGGGGGGGGTCAAAAATCGTCCAAAATCGCGTGACGTCATTTATGGACGGCCCCTTATACGATGTTGCCAAATCGCCAAGGAAAAAGGCACGAGAGTTAAACTGGTATGCAAGTATACAACTGTGAATAATCGAATTTCGCAAAAGAAAAATACACAAAATGAAGAGGTTTTCCTGTACAAGTGAAGTATGGGAATTGACGGCAGGAACTTCTTGACGGGAACACACTTTTATTAAATCTTTACGTATCAAAATACAACGTGTAGTCTCCTTTCTTCCGACTTCACACTCCACTACTCTCGTGTAAACTCTAGGCCTCTGGCTACACACGATACCCTTCACTCGTGTAGACCCTACGCCTCTGGCTACACAATACACTCGACTCGTGTAGACCCTATGTCCCTGGCTACACAATACACTCGACTCGTGTAGACCCTATGTCCCTGGCTACACAATACACTGCATTCGGCTCGTGTAGACCTTACGCCTATGGCTACACACACTACACTCGCCTCTGGGTTACACAGAGTCCCGGTCCCGTTAGGACAGCGGGACTAGGTACCGCAGGGCCCTAGGTCTTCATCCCCGTCTTCATTCTTCGCTGGTTACACACTGCCCTCACGCCTGTGTGCATCCCCTTTTATAGCCCCTGCTCACGAGAGGCGGAGCTGATGCGTACTTCAACGTGAGCATCGCTCCTTAATGAACCAATCACGACGCACTCTCTCTACGATCCGTTTTCCCCAGCGCGTGTTAACACTCCTCCACCAATCACACCGCGCTGCCACCCGATCACTCCCTCTCAGCACGTCACCCGTCCACAGCCAATCAGTACCCCGTAACCCACGACCCCGCGCTGACCCCTGATCCTCCACCGTCAGCGCACGTCACCACCTACACAGCCAATCATTACGCGCTGGCATACGATCTCTAATCCCAGCGCGTATCACCTCTACATCACCCCCTCCCACATAGCTTGCAGCCGGCCCGGCTGTTAACCAACAACACAACCTAACGTCAATGCAGTAACAAAGAAACTCCACCTCTCAGTGTGCCCCGTAACGCAACAACAACAACACAACACAACACTTAAATATGAAGCAATATACAGCCCGACGAACAACACAATAAAAGCGAACACCGGAAACCGAACGCGCCAAGTGTCTCTGTGACTAAACGCAGTGCCGAGGCGCTCCGGCTGCCTCGACTCCTCACGTGGCAGGTCGCACAAAGTAGCGCGACCTAGCGCGAGTCCGTCTGGCCGGTCCGTCGTATGGGACGGGACGTTGGCGACCGTCCGGTGGCTCCGGCCGCTCAAGATCCGGCCGCCGGTGGTCGGCAGCTGTCAGTTCCGAGACACCTGGGAGCGGATCAGGCGGAGACATGTGAGGAGCAGGCAAAGACAATTCCCCCTCAGAGTCGCTGGTCACATTACATGCTCGGCCCTCATGACACAAGGGGAGGCCATACGGAGGCGAGAACGGTTTCAGTCGGGAGGGGTGGACGTACCAACGGCGTTTTCCCCATTTTATCTGAACGCACTGGGGGCGTGCAACCCGCACGACCTCCACGGGTCCCCGCCACGGCTTCAACAATTTAGGCGACGTAGCCAAAGGTGCCTGCGGGCAATGCAGCCAGGCCCTGTCACCTGGTTCCCAATTGTGCACGGACACCTTCCGTGCCCGCAACCGCTCGTTTGCAATTTGGCGAGCCCGTGAATTAAGCCGTGCGGCCTCCCTTGCCTCTGTCAGCTTATGAATATTAAATTTAATATGCTCTGCCAATTTCGAATTTGCTCGTGGTGCGGACAGACCCAGCTGCGTTTCCATGGGCGGGTCGGCTTCCCGACCGTACATCAGATAAAACGGGGAAAATCCCGTAGCTGCATGGGGGGCCATTCTATACGCGGCGAGGACCCCAGGGACCTGCAGGTCCCAATCAACATGCGCCTCACACACCTGCTGGCACAACATAGAAGTCAATGTCCTGTTAAGCCTCTCCACCATCCCGTCCGTCTGCGGGTGGTACGGGGAGGTACGCACCTTCTTGGTACCCAACAGGTCGCACACCTCTTGCAGTAATTTACTCGAAAAATTCTTCCCTTGGTCAGTCAGCAAGCGTTCGGGAGCCCCCTTGTCCAGGACGTAGCCCTGGACAAAGGCGTCCGTCACAGCCGCCGCCGACTGGTTGGCGAGTGGCCACGCCATAGGCCACCGGGTAAAATATTCGACCCCCACCAACAGGTACTTATTACCCCTAGGCGTGACCGGAAAAGGCCCCAGAATGTCGAGTGCAACGAGCTCGTTAGTGCGCGAGACCTGGATGGATTGCAGCGGTGGATTAGCTGGCACAGGCGGTGGTTTCCGTCTGGCGCACTCAACACAACCCTTCAGAATGTTCACCACGTCACCCCCCCATTCCCGGCCAATAATAGTCACGCTGAAGCAGGGCAAGCGTTTTGTTAACTCCCAAATGCAAGAGGCGTTCGTGTGCGGCCAAGACAACCTTCCCCCTCACAGCAGCAGGCACCACAATCGCATGCCGCCGGGACAAACTGTCCCATCTCATCAATAGGCCTTGCTTAAGCTCGTAGGAGCCAGTTCGGTCGTGGTTACCTTCGGAACCCCCCGTCTTGCGGCGCAATGCCAGCAGGGAGCTGTCCGCCATTTGGAGACGGCCCCACTCAATCAATGACATTGAGAGCAGCGAGTCTTGACCCCCAGGGGTAGCGGGACCATCCCCAATTGGTGTGCTCGCGGCCGCAACCAACGCCTCCCTACCTTCCTTAACCGGCGGTTTACAGCGCGCCGATCCCGATAAGCACGCACATTTGTGACAAGGCAACAACCGCGACAGGGCATCGGCATTTGTGTGTCGCAAGCCTTTACGGTACGTAGTCGTGAACTGATAGTCCTGGAGGACTTCCAACCACCGCGACAATTGGCCCGAGGGCTGGGCGACCCGCAATGAATACTGGAGCGCCGCGTGGTCCGTCCGGACCGTGAAATGACGACCATAGAGATATGGCCTGAATTGTTGTACAAAAAAAACAATGGCAAGCAGTTGGTGACGCAGTAGCGCTGCTCTGCCGGCGACAACACCCTGCTACCATAGGCGACCACTCGTTCGACCCCTCCAACGACTTGGGACAGCACTCCCCCAATGCCCGTGTTGCTAGCGTCCGTGTCTAGCAAGAAGGGACTCGCGAAGTCCGGATAGCGCAAGGGTGGGGCCCTAACCAAGGCGTCCCAGAGGGAGCAGAATGCAGCCTCCTCCTCCGGTCCCCATCGGAACTTCACTCCTTTCGCCGTTAGAGCGTGCAAGGGTTTTGCAATGGTGGCAAAGTGCTCAACGAATCGGCGATAATACGAAGCAAAACCGATGAAACTGCGTACGTCTGACACTGACGTGGGCGTTGGCCACGAACTGACACAGTCCGTCTTCGCAGGATCGGTAGAAATCCCCGAAGAGTCGACAATGTGACCCAAGTACCTCACGGATTTACGAAAAAGGTGGCATTTGGCCGGTTTAAACTTTAATTTAGCCGATCGCATTCGCAAGAACACCCCCCTCAATCGCTGGAGGTGTTCTTCAAACGTTTTACCGAAAACAATGACATCGTCAAGGTAAATGAGGCACGTATCCCACTGCAAGCCCGACAAAACCAATTCCATAAGACGCTGAAACGTCGCCGGAGAGGAGTGAAGTCCCATGGGTAACCGGTTAAACTGAAACAGGCCCCCTGGAGTCCGAAATGCGGTCTTAGGCTTAGACTCTTCGTCGAGTGGCAACTGCCAGAATCCGGATAATAAATCAAGAGTCGAAAAGTATCGCGCACCAGACAATGCGTCGAGAGACTCGTCCATCCTGGGGAGCGGATACGCGTCGGCCACAGAGATCTTATTCAGGCGACGGAAATCGACGCAAAATCGCAGGGACCCGTCCTGCTTTTTAACGAGCACAATAGGCGCTCCCCAAGGACTGGAGGAAGGCGAAATAATGTCGGCTTCTAGCATATCGTTAACTGCCGACTGAACATGTTCCTTCTCAGCAGGACTCAGTCGGAAGGGATTTTGCCTGACCGGTGCCGCATCGCCCGTTTCAATGTGGTGGCGTAGCAGGTCCGTGCACCCAATGTCATACTTATGTTTACTGAAGACATCCGAAAATTCAATGAGCAACCCGCGCAGCGCACCCAACTGTACCGCTGATAAATCGTCAGAGTCCGCGCACAGCGAATCAACCCAATCGAGGTCCTCCTTCAATGTAACGTTTTTCGTGGGACTCGGACCCGCCTGCGCAACCAGCCTCTCCTCCGCAGGGACCCGCGCCGCGTGAGCTAGCACGGTGCCCTGCTGAATGACGGCCGGCCGCGCCCCAGCGTTTAAAACCATCACAAACGGATCCCTGTCAGCCCCCACCAAAGTGTGAGCCACCGACAAATCGAGACCTCCAACAGCCCTATTAGAAGGACCCAAAAGCATGCCCTGTTCCGAGGCCTCCTTCACCCATGGCTTCCGCAACCGGAGGGGAATTAACATTTGTGAACCCGGGGGCACGTGCACGGTCTGTGTCGCTAACGCCTGTATGGTAGCGCACGCCGTCCGAATTTCATTAGGGCTCGTCAAAAATGAAATACGGCGACCCGATGGTAGTTCAATGCAACGCTGATCAATGAGAATTTTGATGGGCATTTTTGCCAAAAAATCAGTGCCCAATAGACAAGGGACCGCCAGGGAGGACGAAACAAAAACGGGTCCCGACAATTTGATATCACCAATGCAAATGGATGCCCTAATCTGACCGATAATGCCCAACGATCCCCCGTTAGCGGCGTAAAATGGCACATCCACCGGAAGAAGCGGACGACATTGTACAGGGAGAATATTATAAATGAGATCCGATATAATAGTCGCCGATGCCCCCGTGTCCACTAACACCCTGACCTCGACCCCATCAATAGATCCGGTAACTACGGATGAACCCGCTGAGGCAGCCACTATTCTGTGCCCCAACTCCGACCATTTAATGTCTCCCCGGTCCCGGCCGAATCGCCCTCTCTGAACCGAATCCCCGAACTCTACTCGGCTCTCCCCCGCCGCAACGCGACGACCCATATGTGCCGAGTATGCGGGCCGAGCATGTGAGGTGCCGCGACTTGCCGGGGTTTGCAGGGACGACTTGGGGCCTTGGTCGTCGTCCAGCCGAGGTCCCATGGCGCGCTGACGTGGGGCGCGGCAACCGGAGGCCACGTGGCCCCGGAGGCCGCAGTTATAGCAGGTGATGACAGTCGTCGGAGATCTCGGTTGCTCCAGCTTGCGGGCCGCTCGCAGAGGCGAACGACCCCCCGATCTCCAGTCCCCCGGTCGTCCCGCGATGAACGCCTCCTCTCGTGGGCTGACGACTTGGGGCACGGTGACAACTGGGCCCGGAGTTGAGGCCACGGCAGCGTTGCAGACGACTCCCTGTTTACGTTGAAGGACCTCGTGCGCTTGTATGCTTGTGGCGACCCGTAAGGCCGTGTTGATGGGGACCCCCAGGTCCTGCGCCAACTTGAGCAGCTGCTCCAAAACCATGGCATCTTGGCCCTCCTCGTCCATACGAGGGAACGCGGCGTCGGCGAGAGCAAGCAAGGCCGTGCGGTAGGCGAGCACGGTCTCCGTGTCCGCTTTCCGTCTTGCATAAAAATGATGGCGGCACGCGGAGGGAGGACCATAGACCTTGGCCATGAGAGCCAGCGCATCTTTGAGCGTGGAGCGGTCCGACCTGCGTGCGGACGTGAAGGCCGCGAGCGCGTTGTCATCCAGCATGGCAGGCAGTGCCCGCAGTGCCGTAGCGTCGGACCAGGCGGACATCTCCTGATGCGCCAAAAATCTGCGCTGAAATTGGCTCCAATCCCCGCCTTCCGCCTTGAAGGCTGACAACGTGGGAAGGCGCTGCTGAAAAATGAAGTCGTCCTTCTCCTCGTGCTTCCTCTCTGCCGCCCCGCCGGTGTGTAAGATGGCGGCCCCATCGGCGGGTGTGTGATGGCGGTCCGCCGCGCGCGTTGGTGACGTCAGCGGGCGCGCATGGAGAACCGCTGCCACGTGGTGATGGCCGTTCCCGCCAAAAGTCGGTGCAGATGAAATGGCGGCTATCGCCAAATCGTTTTGGCGGGAATCTGCAGGGCGACCCTGCAGAACGTCGGCCGCCGTTCCCGCTCCTCCCGACGAGCTGATCTCCGCCAAGATGGACGCGGCGGCGAGCAGCAGCTCCGCCAGACGGGAGTGCGCTTCGCGAAGCACGGCGTCAGTCCCCCGTGGCTCGTCCGGCGCCGTCGGCGGATCCTGCCCCGTGGGCAACTCCTCTTCCTCACCCCCCGATGCCAGTTGACCCGCGTCGTCGAGGTTGTCCCCGTGGTCAATCCCGTGGGTCCGACGGTTCCTCCTTGTATCCATGCTTGGAAGACCGTTTCACTTCTGACGCCAGTTGAAGTATGGGAATTGACGGCAGGAACTTCTTGACGGGAACACACTTTTATTAAATCTTTACGTATCAAAATACAACGTGTAGTCTCCTTTCTTCCGACTTCACACTCCACTACTCTCGTGTAAACTCTAGGCCTCTGGCTACACAATACACTCGACTCGTGTAGACCCTATGTCCCTGGCTACACAATACACTCGACTCGTGTAGACCCTATGTCCCTGGCTACACAATACACTCGACTCGTGTAGACCCTATGTCCCTGGCTACACAATACACTGCATTCGGCTCGTGTAGACCTTACGCCTATGGCTACACACACTACACTCGCCTCTGGGTTACACAGAGTCCCGGTCCCGTTAGGACAGCGGGACTAGGTACCGCAGGGCCCTAGGTCTTCATCCCCGTCTTCATTCTTCGCTGGTTACACACTGCCCTCACGCCTGTGTGCATCCCCTTTTATAGCCCCTGCTCACGAGAGGCGGAGCTGATGCGTACTTCAACGTGAGCATCGCTCCTTAATGAACCAATCACGACGCACTCTCTCTACGATCCGTTTTCCCCAGCGCGTGTTAACACTCCTCCACCAATCACACCGCGCTGCCACCCGATCACTCCCTCTCAGCACGTCACCCGTCCACAGCCAATCAGTACCCCGTAACCCACGACCCCGCGCTGACCCCTGATCCTCCACCATCAGCGCACGTCACCACCTACACAGCCAATCATTACGCGCTGGCATACGATCTCTAATCCCAGCGCGTATCACCTCTACACAAGCAAAGGGGATGAGCCAAATGTTTTGGGCAATGGCCCTAACTTAGGGCAGCCGCTAACCATTGCCTCAAACGAGAGCCTCATAAATGTCCTTTTAAGGCACGTCCTATGAAATAAAAGCCATTGTCTGAAATGTCACCTATTATCTGTTTCCTTTTAAGGCCACAGTGGTATTGATGAATGTGGTGTGTATTGTAATTAGTGGTTGTGTTCCAGTGCCATATCACCAAATAACTTATTTTCTTTTAAGGCAGCGTTCATAACGATGGTGGTGAGGTTTACCAAACAAAGTTGTAATGCGTTAAGAGTAGTTTTAGCGTTCATGAATAAATTGTGTGTGTGTGTGTTTCACAGACTTGTTTATTGATGATAAGAAGCAGTGCTACAATGATCTGGGCTTCAAGAGGTAATGCGCAAAGTTATTCCCGATTGCCCACATGTACGCATTCACATGCCAAAAGCCTTTAACCTGATTTTATAATAATACCAATGTACAGCCCTTGTTACTTCACTAACTGTTGAAGACCTGTTTGTCCTTACCTCGCCACATTGTTTAGTGTGGGTTGTTGAAGGGAGGTGGGGGGGGGGGGAGCTCTGTATTATTAATAAGTCCTCGCTTACTGCGTGTTCACACAATGCGTTTTTCGCTATAACGCAGTTCTGCCATTAGGGAACGCTTTTCGCACAACGCGGCGCGACACGCCTGTTGTAACGTGGTTTCTGAGTGGTCGACGCCGAACAACTTTTTTTTAGCTACACAGCTGAACAGTGTGATGCAGTACACGGAATGGTACAGTAACACAGCGGCATATTCTCCGTTACTTGTCCCGCCTTCTTACTGTGCGAGCGTACACTGTGTCTCGCCAAACTTTATCGTTACATTATTTATGGGCAAAAAAAAAATCACTTGACGCGGCACTTCAGTAATGCATCTACTACCGCGTTGAACGACGACTTGCTGTATGTATGTACGTCTGTGGATACATGTAAGTATTTGGGTGCATGCGCGCTTGTTAGTTTCCACTAGGTTTTGACGTGAGTTTTGTGTAATTACATTTTAGTAGTTAGCATTCGTACGTTGCCACTGCGGTGTCCTGTAACTGCCAACTACTGCCAATGGTGTTGGCTGTGGCCGTCCTTGTAACACGACCACTTGGCTCAATTGGGCCTTACCAGCTGAAAATGTCTGAGTCCATATGTGAATTTGCGAATGTGCATGGTAGCTCACGTCTGCACTTTTTTGTGTGTACATGTGTGCCTGCATGCTAGGTACAATGCACTGTCAATAATTCCGGTGGCTTTGGGTAAGAAAGTCCGGGACATTGTAGCCAAGGTATGTACGTGCGCGCGTGTATGCAAGTCTGTTGCGGCTATACAGGGGATCGTTGTCTTTTGCAAGCGTGTGTGTTTTGTGGGGAGGGGTAGTACAGCGGTTAGCGCACTGAGCTACGTATCCGGCGACCTGCGTTCGATTCCCGTTTGTGGCCAACACCAGTGACGATTATCTGAACTGGTTCTGGGCCTCCCCTAGGCTGACTCGGCCGCAAATAAGTACCTGGTAAGATCATCGCCACTGGGGAGACAGGCGGCTGGGCATGTTGCTGGCCATCCACCGCCTCGTGTGCTGTGGCCGGCCTTCATAGGTGCTCGCCAACAGCACTGCCCCAACAGTCTGTTAAGGTTACATGGGGGATCTTTTTCTGTTTTTTTGTATATGATGCATATTTGAAAAGGTCCTGGGTCCTCCCCTATGACAAACCAGCCTGAAATGAGTACCTGGTGTGGTGTTTAAATGCAGAGGATCTGTCTTTGTTTTGTAGATGACTGGCTCACCGGATATGTTTTGCATTTGGCTGTCTGAATACCAGACATTTTATTACTGACAAATGTTGATCGTATATCAAATGTCAGGAGGGGAGCGGTGGTGCAATGGTTAGCACAGTATCCAGAACCCAGCGATCTGAGCTCTATGCCTAGATGTATAGTTAACACCAGGTGACGAGCAATATTTGAACCGGTTCTGGTGACCCAACCTTGATCAACCAGCACTGGCCAGTGTGGTGAAGTATGGTCAAACATCCCTCATGACCGACACGGCAGGGGAATTTTTTGGATTGAGAAAAAGATCGGATGTGTACATTCATTGTTCTGAATTGGACATGGCAGATCTTTCAAATAATTAAATGGCATTTAATTCAACCACACGGCTTCGCTTGGTGCTCAGTGGTTGAGCGGTGTCATTGTTTCGTCTGTCACCACTTCACTGAGCAGGACCCTGCTTTTCCTTTCTGGAGGGTCCTGCTGTGTTTCGCAGTGGGGGGGGGGGGGGGGGGGGGGGTCAATGTTGCTATGTTTTCTTTCATTGGGAAAGTTTTACCATGATGCCAGCACACATGGCCGACTCTTTTTGAATAACGTCACATGATCTCTTAATATTCCACTGTGAAGCAGACGGCGGGTATGTTTGTAATTAATACACGCGCAGTAATAACCAGGGTGGCCTGCCAGATTCATACCGCGAATCTCTGCAGAAAGTGGCAAACATTCGCTACTGTTTGGCCATGTTTCCACATTCAGAAGGTTGAGAGTTGAAATCTCAATTGGGGTTTAACTCTGCTCCTCATTTCTCCATGGTTGACACCATGAGAATGAACCCACCACTGCATGGGAAATCGGCATTGTTTGTCCTAATAAAGAGATTGGTTCCCACCATCTAAATGTTGAATTTCCATGACCGACTTGGCAATGAGTACACCAATAGTGTTCATTTGAGCATGAATGCTGATATTGCCAAGTCTAAACTCATGCCCGACATGTAATCCATGCTAGGATCTTCTCCAAGTAGAAACATGCGTTTTTAGAGTTTGGCTGCTGTTATAAATTTCCACGTGATAAGCTCATTTTATTGAGCTTTATAGCTCTGTGGGCGTACCTGACGAAATACAAATAGTTAGTTAATTACAGCAGTTATAGCTGGTAAGGATGGTGATGTTGAAGGTCATTGTCACGGCAGTAATGTTTATGGTGATTACTACTAGGCTGTAGAAGATGGGGTGTCTGGAAATCTGTCTGGGGATTTGCTGCAAACTGGAGGCTGCCTCATTGTCAGCGCAGGTACACTTTTACGCACGCATTTATACGTAAACACGCACCTGCACACACACCAGTCCAGTGATATCCGAACCAGATTTGGGTTTGATGTTGCTGAACCAAACTTTAAATGAGTATCTGGTGCTGTGAAAATAGCAGCATTGGGGAGACTAAGGTGACCAGGCGTGGTGCTGACCACCACCACCACCGTGCCGTGATGGCCTTAATAGATTGCTTGCCCCAACATTCTGTTTAAGACCAACCAAGATCTTAATCTTTGTTTGTGTGTCAGGTGGGGAGAAGGTGTTGCTGTGCTTCCGGCAGGACTCGCCGGGTGATTTTGTCCCGGTGGAGACGGTGTTGGAAGTTCTCGGTTTCCAATCGGTGACAAAAGCACAAGAAAATGCGCCACAACCGGAGGTACAACGCACGCACTGCAGGCATCTTTCACTCGACTTGCACTCTTCCAAAAAGTACCCAAACACATTTGAGTTATTGGAAAAAATGATGTCCTGGCTTTATCCCACTCCCTTAACCCTCTGGATACAAACTTTTACACCAAGTTTCAAAAACAAAACTTGACAATTTGTCTCCCCATTTCCAGGGACTTGAATTAGAAACATTTGGATTTCTAATATTTTTACATCTACCTTATTATCCGGAATATAAGATGCTGTGGAAAGTTCTACTAGAGGTGTGGATCTTCTTGGTTCTTTCGGTAAAGTCACGTAGAAGGGAAGTAATAAAATAATAAAAATAAAACATAATAAAACAATTCTCACGACGTTTCGGCCACAACGCAAGCAGCCGTCCTCAGGTGAAAACCAGGTCCGTCGAGGCGACAGAGTCTGAATGAAACAGCACACGAGCTTGGAGCATATATATAAGCTGGGCGCATTGACAAAGGAATTTGCATATCAAAAGGAATTTAGCATATTTATGGGAAATGCAGGAATGTGATTAGTACTGCATATGCATGTGCATTATGCAGGATTGACAGCATCAAAGGGAGCTGCAGTTACTGCTGCTGCTGCAGTTTCTGCTGCTGCTGCAGTTGCTGCTGCTGCTGCAGTTGCTGCTGCTGCTGTTACTGCTGCTGCTGCACTTGCTGCTGCTGCTGCTGCAGTTGCTGCCTTATCCATTTTAATATAACACTATGTATTATTCTACCCACCCTAATGTGTATCACACTGCTATATGTTTACTATACAATTACGACACCATACATTACTCTGCACACTGCACCATGCCAGTGAGTGGAACACGGTCTGAAAGTCACCGTAAACGTGAACACAATCAGTTAAGATCCGAAATGGTTTATTACGCCCTTCCAATGATTGCTAAGCCAGAATCCATCTTCTCGGTTGAAATTGTCTCTGTGTTTGTATATGTGGATCGCCTCATGAACGAATCTCTCATGATAGCCAGATGGCTTGCAGAGAACCTCTGTCTTGGAGAAGTCAATATCATGTGAGCCCACTGAGTTGTAACAGTGATCTGCCACGGCTGAGGTGTTTGTCCTACCGTGTTTCAGGTCTGCCTTATGTTCACGGATGCGGTCCGAGACATGTCGTTTGGTTTCTCCAATGTAACTGCTACCACAGAGGCAACTTAGTTTGTAGACGCCAGGGTACTGTATGTCTGGAACCACATCTTTTACAGACGGGACCAGATCACGGATTTTATGTACTGTGTTGAATCGGACCTGGATCTTGTGTTTAATCAGGATTTTGGAGATCTTTTTTGTGACCCCAGCAATGTAGGGTAAGGTGATGGTCTTGAAAGGCTCCTCAACAGGATCCTTCTTGATGGTTGGAGTGATGGCTTTGCGGATTGTGTAGTCGGAGTAACCATTAGCCTTAAGAGCTTGGCGTACGTGTTTGAGTTCACTGGAAATGTGTTCATGGTCGGAGATGCATTGGGCTCTATGATATAGAGTCTTGATGAGTGAATTATTCTGCAGATGGATGGTGGTGGGAATCCGGTTTTAGATAAGCATCCGTGTGGGTGGCTTTCCTGTAGACAGAGTGGCTCATTGAACCATCAGGTCTCCTTTTGATTAGGACATCCAAAAAGGGTAGCTTGCCATCATTTTCGACTTCCATGGTGAATCTGATGGCTGGGTGTATGGAATTGATGTGGTCGAGAAATTGGTCTAGAGCAGGCCGGCCATCTGGCCACACGGATGCTTATCTAAAACCGGATTCCCACCACCATCCATCCCAGAAGAATTCCCTCATCAAGACTCTATATCGTAGAGCCCAATGCATCTCCGACCATGAACACATTTCCAGTGAACTCAAACACGTACGCCAAGCTCTTAAGGCTAATGGTTACTCCGACTACACAATCCGCAAAGCCATCACTCCAACCATCAAGAAGGATCCTGTTGAGGAGCCTTTCAAGACCATCACCTTACCCTACATTGCTGGGGTCACAAAAAAGATCTCCAAAATCCTGATTAAACACAAGATCCAGGTCCGATTCAACACAGTACATAAAAGCCGTGATCTGGTCCCGTCTGTAAAAGATGTGGTTCCAGACATACAGTACCCTGGCGTCTACAAACTAAGTTGCCTCTGTGGTAGCAGTTACATTGGAGAAACCAAACGACATGTCTCGGACCGCATCCGTGAACATAAGGCAGACCTGAAACACGGTAGGACAAACACCTCAGCCGTGGCAGATCACTGTTACAACTCAGTTGGCTCACATGATATTGACTTCTCCAAGACAGAGGTTCTCTGCAAGCCATCTGGCTATCATGAGAGATTCGTTCATGAGGCGATCCACATATACAAACACAGAGACAATTTCAACCGAGAAGATGGATTCTGGCTTAGCAATCATTGGAAGGACGTAATAAACCATTTCGGATCTTAACTGATTGTGTTCACGTTTACGGTGACTTTCAGACCGCGTTCCACTCACTGGCATGGTGCAGTGTGCAGAGTAATGTATGGTGTCGTAATTGTATAGTAAACATATAGCAGTGTGATACACATTAGGGTGGGTAGAATAATACATAGTGTTATATTAAAATGGATAAGGCAGCAACTGCAGCAGCAGCAGCAGTAACAGCAGCAGCAGCAACTGCAGCAGCAGCAGCAACTGCAGCAGCAGCAGAAACTGCAGCAGCAGCAACTGCAGCAGCAGCAGTAACTGCAGCTCCCTTTGATGCTGTTAATCCTGCATAATGCACATGCATATGCAGTACTAATCACATTCCTGCATTTCCCATAAATATGCTAAATTCCTTTTGATATGCAAATTCCTTTGTCAATGCGCCCAGCTTATATATATGCTCCAAGCTCGTGTGCTGTTTCATTCAGACTCTGTCGCCTCGACGGACCTGGTTTTCACCTGAGGACGGCTGCTTGCGTTGTGGCCGAAACGTCGTGAGAATTGTTTTATTATGTTTTATTTTTATTATTTTATTACTTCCCTTCTACGTGACTTTACCGAAAGAACCAAGAAGATGAATCCCTGCAGTCACGAAAGCTTTAAATCGAAATTTAGAGGTGTGGACTCGAGTCATGTGACTTGGACTCGAGTCAGACTCGAGTCATGAATTTGATGACTTCAGACTCGACTTGGACTTGCATAACAATGACTTTGTCCCAACTCTGAGGTGTGGACTCGAGTCATGTGACTTGGACTCGAGTCAGACTCGAGTCATGAATTTGATGACTTCAGACTCGACTTGGACTTGCATAACAATGACTTTGTCCCACCTCTGAGTTCTACGCACCCAAAACGTATTCCCAATATCAATAAATTTTTCCTTTCTGGTCACACATGCACAGCTCCTGAATTATAAGCCGCGACCCCAATATTTGCTTAAAAAAGTTAAATTAAGAATATGAAAATCGAACTCTATATTTGTTCCAAATTCCAGCTTTCTAAATAATATTTTGTCATACGTTTTTGGGATCTGTGATGTTTGGTTAAAGTCAAAAATTTTTTTATTCTGCATCCTTAAAAACCTCCAGGAGCAAACATTCATAGGCCAAGGTTAAAAACTGGAGTTTACATTTTTGCCCATTCTAATTCTAAGCAGACTTCACCTATATCCTTTCTCGAACATGATTCGAATTCACATTAATTGGTCATGAAAGCGCACGTGAAGAATTTGACTACCCGATTTGATGTATGCCTCGCCTTCTCTGCCAACAGTGCAGGGACGTCTGCTCCAGTTAAATGCCGTGACATCGTCCTGCGTCTCGCATTGCCTTTACATTTCCCACGTGCTCGCACAAATGTGACTCCTGCCGGACCGAAGAAAAGTATCGCTGCTGTGACACTCTAGCAAACACCAACACTTCAACGGTGGCTAATTGCCATGAGTCGTGCATGTAGGGACGTTAACAATAGCAGTAATACTTAACAGCCAATTGTCTATGCACCGCGAGGTGCAAAACTTCCCCGCGCTATATCCATTCAGTGGTTGTTGACCACTTCACCTCGCTGGTTGGGGGAGGGGGGGGGGGCCCAGGGTGGAATCGGCTGTCACCTCTTCCATCGCTCCATCCACGTTGCGATATTGGAGATTAGAAAACAAGAGAGACTCTTTGCGTGCACTTTTCTGCGCTTAGCAGGTCAAGGTGCAAACGTATACGTTTACAGGAACAATTCAGCGAGCATTTGTGAAGTCGAACACGTGCAGGCGCGCAAACCTACTCGACTGAAGGCCTTGGTTTCTCCCCTCAGTCATGATGGGATCGAGCTTTGTAAATGGCAGTTACTGTTAAATTAATCGAATAAAGCAATGATTTTGAAAGGCACATTTGTAGTTCTTGTGTTTTGTACTCGTCGGTATTTAATTCCCAGTTGTGGCTGTCATAATTGCAATTGTGCCGTTGGCGTTTGAATGCTTGGATTTGTTTGAAATCGCTGGAAGCAGGGCTGTCAAACTTAATCGGTAAGCAGGCCGGGTTGGATTCAATGGTGCACTTCAGTTTAAGTTCAGTTGAAGTGCACTACGACACTCAAAGGAATGGCGTTGTCTCCATGGTTGCCCCCCCCATCCTCCTGTAATCTGTGGATCAAACCTCACTCGACACCGGTGTATGGCAGCAAGATTAGTTTATGCGAATGCTGTCGCAAGGTGACACGTTTGGTACAACGATCCTCTGCTATGACTAAATGACCTAAAGTATTGTATTTTTATGCCTGTGAAAATTTAAATTTCTTTGCCATGTCACTATTACAGTATTAACAGTATAAATACAACAATCAGATGTCGAAATTGTGTTTAAAAATGTAGATTGGTATCTGAAGATTATTCATGAGATTGGCGTAGGCTCTTTTCACCTTCCACAGACTGCCATCTGAGCTCCGGTGTTAACTCCATAGGGGGCTGAGGGCAGGTGAGGGTAAGTCACCCTCTTGAGGCCCACACCACAGGACAATTCCGACTTCTGCTTTGTAGTTGGGCACGGGCGTTTGGAGAGGGCAGCACTTGTGTGTGCCAGTGGCATCTTGGTCCGTTTCAACGTCGTGGAAGGTTGGCCGGTAGGGGCCGAGCCCGAGCACCAGAAGTTGTGGCTGTGCACCGGCGTGGCTTTTCCTGCCATGCGGTGCCAACTTAAGGCCCTGCTGACGACAGTGCGAGTGCACCACGCCATCCGCTGACTTCACGGCCGCGCTGGCCCAGTCGTGGGGACGGTGGAGCTGAGCGGACTCAACTTGGATGGAGCCATGACGTTGCATCTCCATCGCAGCCTCATTCATGTGTTCCTCTCTGTATATAACCCTTATGGCGGTTCCCCGGGGGGTACCATAGTACTCTGGCTCTCGCATAATGTCCGTGATGCAGTAATTTTGAGTCTGTTGGTCAGCGATGCGGCAATCGACTCATCTCAACGAGCTCTACACGATGCACCACTAACGGTGCGTACCGCGAGCATTCAGGGTTTTGGCGCAACCGTCCTTGCTGCGTTTCGACATCGCGAAGTAGCACTGATTTCAGATTGATTGGAGTTAAGTACAACCCTGGAAAAAAAAACTGCCTCTGAATAAGATATTTAATTGCCTCGGCCATTTTGTATTATTTGGTCCCCCGGGGTACTGCCATAAGGATCCTATATGAAACACAAAAATGCTTCTCTCCTTGCTTCTTTGTGCACTTCTTAGCGTCTCAATTGTCAACTCTAACATCACTTCCCACTAATGTGGAAGTGATCTGATGCCACACGGTTAGGTAGTTCTTTTCCTCAATTGGGTGTATTCAATTCACACGCTTTACTCTGCTACAAAAGGTGACACTTTTATTATGGGTTTAAATCACAGCACAAAGCATTGCATAAAAAAGCTATTTGTGAAATACGTTGTAACGAGACTGCATTACTAAGTGTTAACGTGCAGTAAAATTGGTCTATTTGGTTCTTAATCTGGGACCGCAAATTGGCCCACACTTGCTCTTTCGTCTCTCGTAAGACACCAGCCATGTCAATAAAAGTAATTCATTCTTATAGGGCTTAATAAAATTCCATGTTAAAATGTTGACTATTGGTCAATTCAATGCAGGTTTAGGTCCTCTGCATATGACAGCATCTGAGTCTCCTGTGAATGCAAGTGTTATTCTGTCTGCTGCAGCGTCTCCTGCTGCTGCTCTTCCAGCTGTAGTTCCAGCTGCAGTTCCATCTCCTCTGTCTCCTGCTCCTGCTGCTGCTGTTCCAGTTCCAGCTGCTGCATGTGCTGCTGGTGCTGCTCTTCTTCGCAGTCCTTGATGAGCTGCTCCGCAAGCTCCACGGTCTCGTAGCGCACAAGCTGCACGCGCCGGTACCCGTCCTCGTGCTCCTGGTACCTGCACACCGTCGTCGTCGTCATCAGCCACGGTCAATCCACTGCTGGATGAAGGCTTCCACACCCGCTACCACCACCTACTGTACAACATCATCATACACAGAAGACTTCTTGCACGAGTCAAAATGTATCTTTACTTAAAAAGATTTGTTCCTCTGTTTTGGCTCTGCCTTAAAAGAGATACCTGGCACAATGTGTAAACATCACTGCTGGGGAGACCAAAGGCACCGGGTGTAGTGCTGGCCGCCCACACCCTCGTGTGCCAGCCTCCATAGGTGCTATCTAAAGGCACTTGCCCCAACAGTCTATTGAGGCTAGATTTGAAGCTTTTGTGACTGCAAGGATTCATATTCTTAGGTTTTTCGGCAAAGTCACGTAGGTAAAACTAATAAAAGTAAAATATTAAGACATGTACATCGGGCCCTCAGGATGAACGGATACTCTGACCGCACTATCTGCCAAGCTGTCTCTCCCACCACACAGAAACAGCCACATGAAACTCCGACCAAAACTATCACGTTACCATACATAGCAGGCGTGACCAAAAAGATCTCCAAAATTCTAAACAAACATAAGATCCAAGTCCGATTCAGTACAGTGCATAAAATCCGTGATTTGATTCCATCTGTGAAGGATGTCGTTCCTGACTTACAGTATCCTGGAGTCTATAAATTGAGTTGCATTTGTGGTGATTGCTACATTGGAGAAACGAAACGTCATGTTTCTGATCGTGTCCGCGAGCACAAGTCAGATCTGAAACACGGCAGAACTGATTCTTTGGCCGTTGTCGATCATTGCTACAACTCGGTGGGCTCTCATGAAATTGTCTTTTCCGAGACCAAGGTTCTCTGCAAACCTCCTGGCTACCATCAAAGGTTTGTACACGAAGCCATACAAATATACAAACACAGACATAATATCAACCGTGATGATGGTTACAAACTGAGTAATCATTGGAAAGATGTGATTAACCATGCAAAAAAGATTTAACTACACTTATTTGCCAATCTTATTTGACAGACAACTATTACAGGTTTACCATGTTTAGTGGTTGTCTCCTTGTCACAGTTTGAGTCACAAACCGTACCTCTCCATAACAAAGGCTCACCCTCTTAAGCCTCACCTTACCATATTAATAAAAAGTGTGCTGCACTTGGCCCTTACCCCCCCCCCCTTCTCCAACCATTATATAAACGGAGTGGTAGCTCCTGCAATCTCTCATTTACTTGATACAGCTATCGTGCTGTGACGGTTCCACCCGAAGATGGAAGCTTGTGTTGCCTCCGAAACGTTGTGATTTTTATTTTATTTTTATTTCACTTTTATTAATTTAAATTTAAAATTTTTACCTACATGACTTTACCGAAAAAACCTAAGAATATGAATCCTTGCAGTCACGAAAGCTTCAAATCTAGAACTTCTGGAGAGAATTCGTGAAGCATTGCTATTCCTCCTCCGTTGAAGGAGCGCAGAACTACAGTGGTTTACTACGTGGTCCATAGTTTGAGTTGCACGGCCACAATCGCATGACTGTGGCTCATCTTTAAAAGAAGACGATGCAGCTCGAGTACCGGAAGCGTGGGTATCCCGGCGGCCAGCGGAAGCGGTGAGCCACGCGCAGGTGCCTGGTGAGGGTGCTGCCACGCGAGAAGGCCTTCTCGCAGCAGTGGCATTTGTAGCACGCGGCCGCGGCGCCCTGCACACCGGAGCACACGCGTCATGTTGGATCACACGCGTCATGTCGGAGCACACACGGCACGTTGGAGCACACATGGCACGTTGGATCACACGCGGTACACGTTGGAGCACACGCATCATGTTGGATCACACGCATCATGTTGGATCACACGCGGTACACGTTGGAGCACACGCATCATGTTGGATCACACGCGGCATGTTGGATCACACGCGGTACACGTTGGAGCACACGCATCATGTTGGATCACACGCGGCATGTTGGATCACACGCGGTACACGTTGGAGCACACACATCATGTTGGAGCACACGCGGTACACGTTGGAGCACACACATCATGTTGGAGCACACCCAGTACCCTGTAGCACACGCATCATGTTGGATCACACACGGCACGTTGGAGCACACGCATCATGTTGGAGCACACGCGGTACACGTTGGAGCACACACATCATGTTGGAGCACACCCAGTACCCTGTAGCACACGCATCATGTTGGATCACACGTGGCATGTTGGAGCACACGCGGTACACGTTGGAGCACACACATCATGTTGGAGCACACGCGGTACACGTTGGAGCACACACATCATGTTGGAGCACACGCGGTACACGTTGGAGCACACGCATCATGTTGGAGCACACGCGGTACACGTTGGAGCACACACATCATGTTGGAGCACACCCAGTACCCTGTAGCACACGCATCATGTTGGATCACACGTGGCATGTTGGAGCACACCCGGTACCCTGTAGCACACGCATCACGCCGAGGCACAAGCGGGACCCTGGAGCACACGCGGCACATCGGAGCACAAGCGGCACGCCGAGGCACAAGCGGCACGCCGGAGCACAGTGGGGACACAGCAACGAGGGACAGCGTGATGACAAACATGGCGTGTCCCCCGGGATCTGACGCTCCTCGCCTTCACCAACCTGCACCGGGCAGCGTGGTGAAGTATGGTCAAATAACCCCCCCCGATGACCCGCATGGCATAGGGAGGCCTGGTCTGGCAGTGGATTGACAAAATGGCTGTGTATATACGTACCAACTCGCATTCTTTGTTGTTTGTGTTGTGTTTAGTGGTTGCTGCCTGCTGTGGATGCTATTAGCGCTGTATGACACGGTTGAGGATGATATTCATGCTGGTGGTTGTTTGTGGTTGTTGGCATTGTTATTCGCAGTGGTGGCGCTGGTTGTGGTTATTTGTAGCGGTTGTTATTCATAGTGGTGGTTACAGTTGTTGTGGAAGTTGTGGCTATTGTTGTGATTATTCTTGCGGTTGTTGCTCACAATGGTGGTTGCGATTGTTGTGGTTATTGTTGCAGTTGCTATTCACTGCGGTGGTTGCAGTTGTTGTGGAAGTTTCGCTTGTTATTGACAGTTGCGGTTGTTGTAGCAGTTGTGGTTGTTGTAGCAGTTGATGTTGTTGTTATTCGCAGTTGATGTTGTTGTTATTCACAGTGGTGGTTGCGGTCGTTGTGGCAGTTTCGCTTGTTATTGACAGTTGTGGTTGTGGTTGTTGTAGCAGTTGTGGTTGTTGTTAACAGTGGTGGTTGCGGTTGTTGTGGCGGTTGTGGCGGTTATTTTTCACAGAGCTGGTGGTTGTTGCTCACCTGATGCACGCGCCGGTAGTGCTGCCGCACGGTGTTGACCGTGCGCGCGGTGAAGTCGCACCCCGGCGCATCGCAGCCGTGGGGCTTCCCAGTGGAGTGCGTCTCCATGTGGCGACGCAGGTCCGCCTGGTTCTTACATCTACGCCCACGCACAGCGGAGCCCGGCACAGCGTCCACATCAGCCCGCAGAACACCACAAATACAAAGATACCCCATATAGCCTTAACAGACTGTTGGGGCAAGTGCAATTAATGAGCAACTATAAAAGCTGGCACGGCACAAGAGGGAGTGGGTGGCGATAACCAGGCCCAGCTGGCTTTGTCTCCCGAAGTGGCGATGTTTACACACCGTACGAGCTAACCATTCTATGCTGAGTGGACCTAGGGGAGGCCCAGGACCAGTGAGGTACTGGTCAATGGTATTAGCTGTGGGCGATTTGAACTCGGGCCGCCAGGTTTGTAGAACAGTTTTTTACGTGTTAACCCATGGATTTTCTCCAGGTACTCTGTTTATATCATCATATAGTGGCAGCTGCCACATGCTCGTTTTGACCAAAGCCAGCGAAAGCCACAAATTCCATCTGCGATGGCATGACAGATATTGTCAGATAATACTGTGCAGTGCGCAATACAATGCGTGTATTGTGAGTGTTGTAGATGTAAAGCGACCAAACATTCTGCTTTGGGCGGGGCAGTTCTGGTGTTCTAAAGCATTTGTAAGAATCTGGATTTTGTCCCAGTTAAACGTTTTCTAGTCTCATGCTCAACATCGGGGTTGTGGGTAGGGTTGGCAGATATGTGGGAGGGCCTATGAGCAGTCGGCTGGGCCAACGTTATGAAAAGGTGCGTAGAGGTCATTACTCTCTGGATGGGGCGAGTGGTTGAGTGGATGTAGCCATATTCAAGTGGGGCCAACTCACCATGTGCCCTGGTTGAGCCTCCCAGATACTTATCAGCTTAATGCATGTGTGTATATTTTTCATCGTAGGATTTGAACTATAATGCTTAACATGGCTGGTTATGTGCCATGTGAAATGTGTTTGTGCGTGTAGTGAACTATGCGATAGTGCGTGCAGGCACCGTACCCATGCTGGCACAGCGAGCAGGGGAAGGGTTTCTCCAGCTCATGCCGGTACCGGATGTGATGGCGCAGCGAAGATGGGGCCGGGCATGTCATGTCGCAGAAAGGACACTTGTAGTGGTTGACTGCATTCAATACCAGACAGCACGGATATGAAATATCACGTTAGGCATGAAACGATCCACTGACTCAGCAGTTCATTACCGTGCTACAAAGAAGGGCCATTGCCCTAGACGTCACCAATTTTATATCTTTTCTTTCAAGGCAGTATTTTATTTATGAACACATCAACATTGAGTCATTGATGATCGATTATTGACATCAGTTAAGGTATATTTCAACACCCTGGATAACAATTGCAGAACTGTGTAAATTAATAATGTTCTTCAAGGCGTGGACATTTTATCCACATTTCCCATTAGAATAACGATCGGAATTAATAGGAGAGAAAAAACTAGAAGTACAATCACGATAGACGGTACAAACAAGACAGTGGAAACAAGACAGTACATACGAAGTTAAACAACGAAGCCAGTGCAAAGACAGCACGAGTGATATGGTAAAAACAAGAGGGTATCGATGAGAAAATAAATTAATTCTAGATTTGAAGCTTTCCTGGCTGCAAGGATTCATACTCTTAGGTTTTTTCGGTAAAGTCACGTAGGTAAAAAATAATAAAATTAATTAAAATTAATAAAAGTTTAATGAAAATCACGACGTTTCGGAGGCAACACAAGCTTCCGTCTTCAGGTGGAACCGTCACAGCACGATTGCTGTATCAAGTAAAGTGTTGCCTCCGAAACGTCGTGATTTTTTTTTTACTTTTATTATTATTATTTTTACCTACGTGACTTTACCGAAAAAACCTAAGAGTAGAAAATAAATTAGACTAAGAATATATGAAATGGTATGAGATAGTACAGACAATACGAGACAGCACAAATTAGAAAAAGTATGTAGAGGCAGATCTTGCATAGCGCGACCCCGTCGAACATTGAATCGTGATGTTGCTTTTTGTCCTGGATAATTTTTTGTTTGACAGAAAAATTTAAATCCAAACTCGCTTTTGAGTGAGAACACGCAGCTCCAGCCAGGCCGATGAAATGCACCCACCACCAACTTTGTTTACATTCGCTCAGCCAATGAGAGGAAGACGCACACTCTAAGCCAATCAGCACTCCACCACGCGCAATTCGATTATTACAATTCGTGGCCATGGTTACATAAAAATATCGATTTTTTTTCCCTCTCCAGTTTTATTACAGTACGTTTATCCAGGTGAGAACTCACGACACCAATATGGAGTCTCAGAGGCTCCACCTAAAAGAAACCTCACCACAGAAGTGTCGACCGAGGGCATCACTAATAGAACTCAGATGGGGAGAGCACCAGCTCCCCCAACCTCGTCTCCCACCGCTGCCTTTTAGGAGTACAGTAGAATGCACTTGAGTAGAGTACATAATATTTACTGACGTGAAAATAAATTAGTTTTTAAAAATATATATAACATGTTTTCTACCTGGATTATTATTTGTGCTCTTACGGATACTGAAACGAAGCCCTCATAAATTGCTCATGCATAAGAAATAATGCTGTCGGACCCCTTTTAGTGCCGATTCTATTTGCGCTCACTTCTCCAGGAACGCATCTTGAGCAATAAGCGAGGTCTGTCTGTAATTCTTTTAAACAAATTGTGATCCTGAATGCGAATAAAATCCTGGATGGGGTGAAGAAACACATGCCTATCGCATTCCATGCAATGAATTCTACCACATATTGCACACAACAGCAAAGAACAGACGCTGAGGGTTGCACTTAATCTATCCGGTCTGTAAAGCAGACCCCTTTATAGAGGATTCAAACAAGAAGGGGGTGAAGCCTGGAGAACTGAGGTGGGGGCAGGGGTTAGGCACAGGGAGAAGAGGGCAGCAAAGTGCGCATGGGAGCGAAATGGAACTCAACAAGGCGGAAAGCAAAAACCCGGACATGCGGCTCAGGCTGTTCGCAAGGTAGGTTTGGAGGCACAGAAGCAAACGTGAGACAATCTAAGACTTGGTGGTTGGGAAATTAGGTGTGGGCACAAAAGTGGCTCTCTTCTGCCAAAGTAAAATACAAAGTCAATATTTCCTAGATGGTAAAATATGTATTTAAATACTTCTGTAAGGAGTTTAAAAAATGAACTTCAAAATACTCCCACGGATACCGACTTGGGTTGAGTGACATTGTGAGAGGTGGAGTTCATGCATCTTGCATTCACTGTACGACCTTCGATCAATGACGAAGCCATAATTGGTGCTTCAAAGTGGAGTGGTGTGTGTGGTAACGACTCTGTATAGTGGTTATACATGGTGGTGATTGTGGTGGTATATTTTGAGTTGATGTGCCTAGTTTTCATTGGCTCTCGAAGATGTGACGGTGTACGTGATGTGTGCGGTGCAGCATTTTAAAGAGAACCATGCTGCGTTGGTGGTGGCGATTGTGCAAAACTCACTGTGGTGTCGCATGTGGTCTCTCAAGATCCGTTCACTCGTGAAGTTCTTGGAGCAGTGGGAACACTGAAATACTGCCACTGCAAGCATGCACCACGTACACATTAGGATTGCATTACCTTGTCAATGACATTGCATCGTGAACACACAACAACTTACTATTGCACGCGTGCCACCCACTACAAACACCCCATACACTCCGCACAACAACAAGCAGTGCATGCACTATACTAGTACCACTTTAAGAAGGGCAACAGTGGTTATCATCTAGGTAGGCTGGTCCTCATCATATGAATGTGGAATTTCCACGACTGGCTGAGGACCTCGAACATCACACGACACGCATACCACTCACCATCACACAACACATCACGCTTACACCTCACCATCACACAACACGCATACGACTCATCATCACACAACATAACACACATACCACTCACCGACATACACAATTCACCAACACAACACACCACGGCACACATACCACTTGCAAATACACCAGAGCAAAGTACAATGTGCAAATAAAACACCACAAATACCACTCAACCCTTACTCTACTTGTTGCACTTGGATGATACGTCTACTCTGGCATCAATAAACGTGACGACAGCACCTCTGGGTCAGATGGTATTCAAATAACCGGCTCAACGAGCTCGGGAGCCCCAAAGCCGAAGGACTCAAGGAAGTTACCACTGCTGCTTCTCTGTAGTCTTTGCACTCGACAGAATCGCATCACCATGCTTGTAGTGCCACGATTTCCATTGCCCTTCAGGTTTTGCAGATCAATTCCCCCGTGAATGGGGGTCGGTAACGGGCGGCTCTTTAAGGGATGCTGCGTGATGTTACTTACTAAGGACCACCGTCTCGCAATCACATGCCTTGGCGGCTCTTGAAATATTGAGTTTTTACCGATTTCTAAAAAAATGACTCTTCTTGTAATTTAGGCTTCCGATCCCTGCCCATGACTAAAAAGAGCTCATTATACTCACTCTACTTTGACGTTAGACTGGTACCATTCGCCTATTCATGCATTTACACCGACACGGGTTGACTCGGCAGCCTTGAACACCCTCCTGCCGCCGTGGCACGAGAGCATCAGCACTGGCAATCACAGCAGGGACACTAAGATATTCAGGATCGGTGCCCGACTACCCTCAACTGACTTGGGCGCCGTGCTGACCTTAATAGCCACTTGCTAACAACACTGGCGGCAGCAGTATTACAGGGCTACGTGGTAGACTGTTGCGTTCGTTACCCTGGTCGGTCTGGTGTCGTGTGACGTGGTCGATGAGCTTGGTGTTGTTGGAGAACATGCCTCCGCAGGTGGGACATGCAACCACCCTCTCCTGCGTATGCGAGCGCAAGTGCTCGCACAGGCGGAAGCGCATGCGGCACGTGGCCTCGCATTCTGAGAGAGCAAAGGGGGAACCCAACAACAACGATGACGACAACGATGCATCTGCACAAACGGATACTGTCATTGATCGTGGGCAGGAATCAAACTCGGGTCACCGGGTTCTTAGCGCAGTGCACGAACCACTGCACCACCGCTCCCAACACACAAAGATCTCCCGTATAGCCTGAACGGACTGTTTGGGCAAGTGCTGTTAGTGAGCACCTATGAAGGCCGGCATGGCACACGAGGGGGTGGGAGGGTGGCCAGCACCACGTCCGACACACTGAACACACACATGCGAGCAGACACACACAGGTCATGGGCAAAGAGCAAATGGAACACAGGGTCACACGCGTGAGCAGCGAACCTTTCCAAAGGCAGGTGATGGAACCTCCGTCAGTGTTGACCGCGCCGGGCTGCTTGAACTTCTCCGTGTGGGAATCCACGTGCCGGTAAAACCACTCGGGGTGAGAGAATTTACTCTGCAATACACACCAGGCAGAGGCAGGGGACGCATGCCACACGTACACCGCATATCGCACGCAATGTACACACAGCAAAGGCAATGTAACTGGGCATCGGCTCATCAAATAATAGATTAATAGGATCACGCACGTAGCAATTGGTTAACCGCATATGATATGCGATGCGATTGTAAGTGTACAGCATATGTGTGTATATATAGTACAGTATATATAAGTAGTGGGGAGCGGAAGTACAACGGTGAGTGTGCTGCGTTACGAACCCGGTCACCTGGGTTCGATTCCCACTTAAGGCCAACACAAGTGACAATTATCTGAATTGTGGGCCTCCCCTACGACGACTCAGCCTTACATTAGTATCTGGTGTAATGTGTAAACATCGGGACTGGGGAGCCAAAGGCATGGTGCTGGCCACCCACCCCCTCGTGTACCTTGCCGGTCCCAAAAGTCTGTTAAGATTACACAGAGCATCTTCGTGGTGGGTGTGTGTGTGTGTGCTCACTTCGCAGCCATCCCACTGGCACTTGAAGCTGTCGGGCAGCTCGGGCACGAGGTTGCGCGTGTGGCTGTCGAGGCCGCAACTCGGCACGCTCCGCATCACCGCGCCCTGGTCGCACGCGCCGCCAGGCAGCGGCGCTGCCTCCGCCTGCAGTTGCGGCAACGAAGCGTCAGCAGCAGGGTCTGGCGTGGGGATGGCTGCCTTGCACGAATCGAGGACGAACAGGCCCAGCTGCTTGAGTTTGGTGTGGAAGGCGTGGAAGTAGATGTGACGTTCTAACTCGGGCGGACCCTCGTATGCTGTGAAGCCGCATTCCCTCCACAGGCAGGTCACCTCGCCTAGGCACACAAAGACAAGTTCCCCCCCGTATAGCCTTACTAGACTGTTGGGGCAAGTACTGAAAGTGAACCCCCTGAGGGGCTGGCACGGCACAAGAAGGGGTGGGCGGGCAGCACCATGTCCGACCGCCTTTGTCTCCCCAGTGGCAATGTTTACCACACCGAGTACTCATTTGAGGTCTAGGTGAGACCAAGGACTGGTTCAGATTACCGTCACTGGTGTATGCATGGCTGTGCACATAAATAACATACACAACACACGTGTGCACTTTGCTAACTGCAGTCGGGTTCGCAACTGACATAACTGTACTGTTTGCGATGACAATACATCGTGTTAATTTGCCATCAAGAAACAACCACATGGTAACATGAATGACTGAACAAGGTCACCTGTCTATCAAATGAAAACATAATATATCGTCCCCACACCTGTGGAAATCTGGGATAGGTGGGCACGCAGGTGGGAGCCCACATGGCTGCTGAACACCTCAATGCTGGAGGAGACAAATGCACAGGTGCCCCACTCGCACTGGAGAATCGGCACCATCTTCTTGGCACACCTCCGTGGCGACATCTGCTCACACGCACAGCACACACAGCGTGGCACATCACATACACTACACTCGCTCTATTCGTCACTCAGTGGCGGTGTCGTCACCACGACGCCTGTGCCAGGCCAGGTGCACTCTGAGGCCACGTGGAGTGTCGAAGGCTCGCTGACTGGAGGTCACGGGACAGATCCAACATGTGCCATGGGTTGACAGACCGAGATGATGCCCCATCTGTGGCCCCTACACTCTTATATGAGATCTTCACTCAAAACTGCTCTACAGGAGTTGTAACACCCCTAGCTGCCACTGCTATTCAGTGGCCTAAAATCAAATGTTTTCGTTCCGGATGACCGCTGCAACTTATGATCTTGTGTTTTGATTTAGTGTGCTGATCTTTAAAGATGCATTTTTAAAAATTTGATACTCCGACTGATGCTCCTGCTGTTGTGGAGTGACTCATGCAGCCAGCTATGGCTACAGGGTTTGGTGGTACATGTTGTTTATGTCGTTAATTGTGAAATTTCGGTCACAGTTCCTATGATCACTGTTACATTGCTTTTATGGCTTTATTTTGGTGATTTCGAAAAGTTTTTTGGTTTGGCCATGTTTGTATGTTGTAGTACAAAGCTAGAATGATGGCTTTAATCTAAGTTGTCTTGTGGTTGTTGTTGTTTGACTTGCATCCCACTGGGATTTTTGCACAGCGTTGGTGTACAATGCTTTTTTTCTGGAAGACTTTGCAGTTTTTTCCTGGATTTTTCTGTTTGCGCATAGTCACTTTAAGATGGTTTTGTCTTGTTCATGTTTAATTTTTGTTTGTTGCGGTTGCACCCGATTCAAGAGCCGAATGGCTCACCAGGGCTATACCTAATAAATGAAACTGAAAACCACATGGCACATATACACACACCATGGCACATCACACACACACAACATCAAACGGTACACACACACACACCATGTCACATCACACACCTAATGGCACTCACACAACATGGCACAACACTCACACACAACATCAAACGGCACACACACACACCATGTCACATCACACACACAAACAACATCAAACAGCACACACACACACCATGTCACATCACACACCCAATGGCACACACACAACATGGCACAACACTCACACAACATCAAACGGCACACACACACCATGTCACATCACACACACACAACATCAAACGGCACACACACCATGTCACATCACACACAAAAAACATCAAACAGCACACACACACACTATGTCACATCACACACCCAATGGCACTCTCACCACATGGCACATCACACACACACAACATCAAACAGTACACACACACACCATGTCACATCACACACACACAACATCAAACAGCACACACACACACCATGTCACATCACACACCCAATGGCACTCTCACCACATGGCACAACACTCACACACAACATCAAACAGCACACACACACACCATGGCACATCACACACACACAACATCAAACGGTACACACACACACACCATGTCACATCACACACCCAATGGCACTCTCACCACATGGCACAACACACACACACAACATCAAACAGTACACACACACACCATGTCACATCACACACACACAACATCAAACAGCACACACACACACCATGTCACATCACACACACACAACATCAAATAGCACACACACCATGTCACATCACACACCCAATGGCACTCTCACCACATGGCACAACGCTCACACACAACATCAAACAGCACACACACACACCATGTCACATCACACACCCAATGGCACTCACACCACATGGCACAACACTCACACAAGATCAAACGGCACACACACATACCATGTCACATCACACACCCAATGGCACTCACACCACATGGCACAACACACACACACAACATCAAACAGCACACACACACACACCATGTCACATCACACACACACAACATCAAACAGCACACACACACCATGCCACACATACACCCAATGGCACTCACACATCAAACAGCACACACACCATGTCACATCACACACCCAATGGCATTCACACCACATGGCACAACACTCACACACAACATCAAACAGCACACACACACACCATGTCACATCACACACAGACACATCAAACAGCACACACACCATGTCACATCACACACCCAATGGCACTCTCACCACATGGCACAACACTCACACAACATCAAACGGCACACACACATACCATGTCACATCACACACCCAATGGCATTCACACCACATGGCACAACACACACACACAACATCAAACAGCACAAACACCATGTCACATCACACACACAACATCAAACAGCACACACACACCATGCCACACATACACCCAATGGCACTCACACACCCAATGGCACTCACACCACATGTCACAACACACACACACATCAAACGGCACACACACACACCATGTCACATCACACACACAATGGCACTCACACCACATGGCACAACACTCACACACAACGTTAAACCGCTCAGCAACCGCCATTCGCCACTAAGTGGCGTTGTCGTCACCAAGGCGCCTGTGCCAGGCCATGTGCACGTTAAGGCACCTTTAAGGCCACGTTAAGTGTCGAAACAGAAGGCACACACACACCACATGGCACTCAACCCCCATGTCACATCAAACACACACACCATGGCACTCGCACAACACGAACCAGCACACGCTAACCATGGGCACATCATATACTCCAAAGGCACTCAAGGGATGAATCTTTGTCCCTATCCCCCTGTGTCTCCCACGTCTGTGCCTCCGTGTCCCTCCCTGTCCCGTGTGTCCGTCGCTCTTGCCCTTTGTCCCTCTCGCAATCTCCCACCACCACCACCATCATCACCCCCTCGTCTCCGACTCCCAGTCTCTGTCTCCGGGTCGCAACGGCGTCTCTCCCCCCCCCACCTCGTCTCTCCCCCCCCCCCACCTCGTCTCCGTCCCCCCCCCCGTGTCTCTCCCCCTCCGTGTCTCCGTCTCCCCCCCCCCACCTCGTCTCCCCCCCCCCCCACCTCGTCTCACTCCCCCCGTGTCTCACCATCTCTCCCCCCACCTCGTCTCTCCCCCCACCTCGTCTCTCTCCCCCCCCCGTGTCTCATCCCCCCCCCCACCGTGTCTCACTCCCCCCGTGTCTCACCGTCTCTCTCCCCCCACCTCGTCTCTCAGCGTCTCTCTCCTCGTCGTCCCTCGCGGCCTCCGCGTCGCTCGCCGCCGCCTCCTCCTCCGCCTCTTCCTCTTCCGCCGCTGCCGCTGCGAGCCGGTCACGTGGGAGCGCGCGAGTCGGTCACGTGGGAGCGCACGGAGCCGGTCACGTGGGAGCGCGCGAGCCGGTCACGTGGGAGCGCGCGAGCCGGTCACGTGGGAGCGCGCGAGTCGGTCACGTGGGAGCGCACGGAGCCGGTCACGTGGGAGCGCGCGAGCCGGTCACGTGGGAGCGCGCGAGTCGGTCACGTGGGAGCGCACGGAGCCGGTCACGTGGGAGCGCGCGAGCCGGTCACGTGGGAGCGCGCGGAGCCGGTCACGTGGGAGCGCGCGAGCCGGTCACGTGGGAGACGGAGCAACGGGAAATAATCAATCATTGTCGTGCATCATTCCGCGTGCGGGAGGAACTGTGTGGACGCCGTCGGATCGATAACATCGCGGGATCGCGACGGGTTCCGGGTCGCGGGGAAGAGGAGATCTGTCCAGCAAATGGATCGATCGTGGCCAATGAAGATTGGGGCAGGATGCTGTTGGATGGTTGCCCGGTCCCACGCAATCCGCCTCCTGTCCCCCTTCCACGCGACTAAGAGTTAGTTTACTCATCCCTTCGAGATTTGAAGCTTTCGTGACTGCAAGGATTCATATTCTTAGGTTTTTTTTTCAGTAAAGTCACGTAGGTAAAAAATTTGTAATACAAATTTATAGAAATAATGATAGAAATAAAATAATAAATCACGACGTTTCGGAGGCAACACAAGTCTCCGTCATCAGGTAGTAGCTGTGACGGTCCCACCTGATGACGGAGACTTGTGTTGCCTCCGAAACGTCGTGATTTATTATTTTATTCCTTTGATTTTTTCTTTTATTTTTTACCTACGTGACTTTACCGAAAAACCTAAGAGTATATTTACTCATCCCGTCAGCCGCACAGCTCTTGGCACGAACGAACTACGTCGCAGGGGTCAATGCAAGTGAACTCTGGCCCGGTTTGAATGTTTAGTGTCTCGTCGGCAGGGGATGGAAGACCCATTTATTTATCTTAAAAAAATTTCAAGTAAACGCCAAAAATCTCACCAAACTCAATGCGCAAATCTATGGCGGCTAGAACAGCAGTTTTGGGTATGGGCATTCTGACAATATGAATTTTCTTGTCAAAGTAAGATAGAAAGCCATGACTGGGTTTCCACTGTATTGGGAAGAGCATGTTTGGTGGATTGAAGGATGGCCAGCTCACTGATAATTTTGAATAAATACCGAGGTCAATTCTTTACCAGTTTCAATCATTCTAGATTTGAAGTTTTCGTGACTGCAAGGATCCATATTCTTTGGTTCCTTTCTATTTTATTTTTTCACCTACGTGACTTTACCGAAAGAGCCAAAGAATATAGTTTCAATCATGTTTGCAAAATACCTATTTTTGGCATCAAATATTTCTTTGTGATATTGTTTCCTCCGCAGTTTGAGTGAAATGTTGTCATTCAGCAGGACGAGTTTTCACCAATGGCATTCAGCTGTGGATACTTGCCTTCTGAGAACAACGTTTTGTGCGAAACAGACTTTAGGGGGTAAACGCTTCGAGCAAATCGATTTTTATTTACACGCTTTTATTTAACTCACTTTTTCTGTCGTATCCTCAAAAAATAAATATTGTAACTCAATTTTTACACACTTCCCAATGTGCTATCGACTGCAAACTTGGTATAGCTATGTCATACTGCTGACAACACGATATTCTATCATAAAAAATCCAAAACATATTTTTAAACATTTTACACGCATTTATTTAACTTACTGTGTGTGTGTTGTATCCAAAAATCTTGTAACTCAATTTCTACCGTATTCCCAATGTCGTATCGACTGCAAACTTCGTATAGCTATGTCATACTGATGACAATATTATATATCTATCATAAAACATTTTTTTATCTATTTTTAAACGATATTTTTAACGGCTCTAATTGTCCACGGTCAACTGACGTTACCTGTAAATCACCACGTGGTCCCTGACGTCACGGCAAGCCTCGGGGAGCCAAGCCCAGGGGCGGGGGGTGTGGAAGGAGGGGAGGGGCGATGGGGGAAGGGGGCAGGGGGAGGGGCAGCTCGGACAGTACATTTCATTAAAGCGTGTTTTTAAAAATATATTTTTAGATATTTTTTATTTAGAAGCCACTGAGTCAAGAGCGTTGGTAAGTGAAACGGTACGCATGTCTCCAAACTCGGCAAGCTGAACTGTGGAGTCAACAGTCCGCAGTTCCTCCTGCAGAAATGTTGACAGGTTATCGGATATTAACTATTTGTTTGCTCTAATTAGAATACTTTATTTTTTAACATGATGAGGATCAGTGGCGGCTCCTGCAAAATCTCTCAGGGGGGGGCAAATGTCTGGATGATTGATAAGGATAAGGTCCACCCATGCAATGGATAAATTAACAGCTTAAGCATGTAAAGGCAACTTCACTACTTTAATATTAATGAAAAATAAAGTGACTCTTACAATACATCTCCTTGTTTGTTTCTATACTCACTATTATTACAATCCACTCAGTTTCTTTTATTAAAGATTCCACTAGGTGGCGCCAAGTAATATTGTTGACTGAAACGTGCTTACGTATGATGACATAAGCACGTTCGTGCGAGCCCTCCCGGAAGCCATAGAGAATGCATTGCAGCGCCCGCCGTTCGAAAAAAAACATCTTTGAATGTAAGTCTATGGGAACACTCTGGGCGATTCTCAGCCAGAGTGAAATCGCCCAAAAAGAGGCGGTACTCCACAGAACGTGACATGACGCTGATTGGACTATATCCAGAGGCACAGTAACGGCTAGCGTAACTCTGGTTGAATGAGATTTTGAATGTGATTGAAAAAGTCCCTTTCACACTTTGGTGGTGCGTCGCCCAATCGCCCTAATGAAGAAACCGCCCCTGATGAGGATATAAGCAAGCTTTGATATCAAGTTTAAATATAATCAGATAATTATCTGACCGGTCGACCTGAATGATGTCCAAAATAGAAATTGGGATGTGCTAAAAAAAATGTCAGGTGTATGTCTAACTCGATGAGTTGGGCCATTGAGATCTCGAATAGTCTAGGATAAGCATATTGTCTATGAACTGGCAGGCTAACTTGTCATGAGAGTCGGCCCAGACATTGAAATCCCTCCATATCAGGGAGAAAGGGGACTCTGATGACCGGGTTGCACTCAGGTCAAACATTTCATCCAACCAATCAAAATCTCAATCAGCGGAACAATAAACAGATTAAAGGAGTAATTGTTCTCAAAATATCAGTGAATATATAGATATTCTAAGGATTTAAAATAAATAGAAGCCCTACGGGTGCAGTGTAAATGATCCTAAAAGATGAGATTCGATTCACACGGTGCTATTTTATAACCAGGGAGAAGGAGATTTCCTAGAATTGACTGAGAGTCATTGCTGATAGGAGTATGTTGTAAGGGAAGTGATGAAATGTTCTGGGTGGGATTTCTTCTGGTGAGTGAGGTTAATTGGTTGAATGTGATTGACGATGGTATCGTGAATGATAGATGGTATGAGAGTGATAGCGTGTTAGGTAAATCAATATCGACCCGTGATGCATGTATGGCGTCCGACGTAGCATGCTCACCCAGGTCTTACACGTCAACGATAGGTCGGCGTTTCTTGAGCAAGAAATGGATCGCAACCCTAATACACGAGAATAGTTGACCATGGTTAGGTATGCAGAGAGCACCATACAGGTGTAGTTGTGATGTTTGCACAGAGCCTTGGTGGATTTTCAGTTTGCACATAGTCACATAGTCACTTTAAGATGCTTTCTTGTTCATGTTTTTGTTTTTTTTCTTTGTTGCGGTTGCACCCGATTCAAGAGCCGAATGGCTCACAGGGCTATACCTAATAAATGAAATGAACTTGGTGGCGTGACGAAAGTAATGGAGCTGCCTAACGATGGAACAAAATAAGTAGAGCGTGGGAGGTCGCTCCTTTTCCTCTGCTGCCCTTGATCTGTAGCCATCTGCACTGCTGACTCCTTGTAGCTCGCTCGTCAAGTCCATGCGAAAGTATTTTCTCCCTACACCTATGACCGTCTTTGTCTCCGCATCCTGTTATCAATATAATCCATCGTGTATCCTGTACTGTAAAATTATTCTCCCTCTGCCACGTCGTGCCCTCTTCCCCATTCCGCAGGTGCCCTCTATGTATGGGATCTTGAATTGCAGTTTGATTTTAATTATTTATGAATCCAAATGACAGGACTGAACATATATTGCAACGAGTGCTGCCATCTACACGTATGCCACCAGGGAGCAGTGCAGGAACGCCTTCCGGCCACTTGGTTGGGCATTGTGACATGGCCCCCAACCCACTGAGCTAGGATGTTTGTTTACCTTTTGGTGGATTTTTCTTAGTTTATGCTCCATCGTTAGTTTATGCCTATCGTGCTATCGGCATCATGTCACGAGATGCAGCCAAAATTACGCAGAAAATGCCAGCGAAAGACATTGTTCACAGGACTACACCCCAAAAATCCTTCACGTTAATTTGTGACCCTTTCCAGAGATGGTGGGGACCATTCCCGACACACTCTGCTATGAGATTGTCGCATGACAAACTGAAAAATCCCAGACCTGGAACTTTCTAATTTCTGTGTATACACTATTTTAATATAACCCTTTTCGTAGTGTGCAGTCACTTGTGATTTTAATAAGACAATCATCTACAATTGAGAACCTAGTTTTAATTTCAGGTGGCTGCCCATATTCGAACATAGGCTCTTTCAGCGGTGGTAGCTCAGCGTTCTAATTCCTTAGCCACAAGATATCACCCGGGTCTTATGTTTAAGGCTCGTAATGTAATGCAATATTTGTTGGATGGAAACACGGCCTAAGTCTCAGCACAGTGGCTCACAATGATTCCTGTTGCCCGCTTAGATAGAACTTCGTTCTGTTTTATGTTCTCTTTCTTGTTGTCGGGAATTTTCCAGTTTGCTTAGCAATTAAAGGAATGTGCAATACAGTTTTAACAAAATGAACATCGATGCCGAGATTTAAAAAAATATCTAAATCGTTGCTTATTGTGAATTACATGTGCAGATATGAAACCATCAACTCCCAGATATTGCAAATTGATTGAAATATCTTGATGGCCATGTTCCTGTACAATGTTTTCGTTCCTCGCACAAGGTTTTGAATTGTATTCGTGAATTGCTTTGGAGAGGAGAAATGGTGTTTTCATGAAGAATGAGAAGCAGATCACGTGAATTACAATTTCTATGCAGATCCCAATAATGATCCATAAAATATACCAGTCCTCAATTTGAGAATAGTAAAAAAAAAATCTAAGATACTTTGGTTTTGCATTGCGCTGATTCCAATCAGTGGACAGTAATTTTAATTTTAAAAACCTACAGCTCTCCGTTACCTCATTAATCTTACAAGATTGTATCCACTTATTGTTAATCAAATGACCTGGCCACGTGATTAAATAAATCTGAGTAAAACAGCGGTACCATAATGACGGATAGAGCGAAGGTGCATTGGACCGTGCTATTTTATGAACCCATCCACCCGAGTTCAATTCCCGGTGACAAAGAACATCAGTGGCGAGTGAAATTTGGCTGCTCCAGTACCCTCCCCGCCCTTTAACATTCCGCATTGGCCAGTGCGGTGAAGTATGGTCAAACAACCACTATGACTGACGCGGTATGGGGAAGCCTTCATCCAGCTATGGATTTACAAAGGACTGTGAATTTATAACTTTATTATTATGATTACATCACTACCACGTGTTCCACTGTCTGTAGATGCCGGCAGACCATATGATTAAATCGTGGTGAATAATTTAAATCGATCTTGCGGGAACTTAAAACAGCCAGTTACCAGAGCCCTTTGTGATCCAGAGTGTTCCCTTGCATTTACTCCTTTGTAATGCACAACCCGACTGTACGCTCTCTACAAATTAATAAATAAATAATCACAACTCCATTCTGCATATCCACGTAAAAATAACCAAATGTGTGGTACGTCAGCTTAGTGGTTTTTACAGATCAATATCATCAAGCAGAATTCATTTAAGCAGCCAAACTCTGGACGAGTTTTGACCTGGGTCTCATCAGTAGAGTCAGGTTTGTTAAACAAACACTGCTGCACTTACCATATGTTATTGGCAAGCAAAATCCATATAAAATACGATTATTATTCTTTGGGTCTTTCGGTAAAGTCACGTAGATAGATTTAAACAATATAACAAAAACTACGACGTTTCAATAGAAACGTCGTAGTTTTTTGTTATCTACTTGACTCTACGTGACTTTACCGAAAGACCCAAAGAATGTTAATTCCTGCAGTCACGAAAGCTTTAAGTCAAGAAAATACGATTACATTAGCAATTCATCCAGATGTACCTGATCTCCTCAGACTTCAGAAGCCAAGCAGGCATGAGTTTGGATAGTGCTTGATATATTTGCGTAAAAAATGCGATAAAATAAAATGCAAAGCACTTTTGTTGAAGTATTGAAAATAATCATAGGTTTTAGCCTTCATAGCATTGCAACAGATGTGAAGATGTTCAAACACCAAATAGATATATTTTACAAGGAATCAAGAAGAAAGCTGTCTGGTGTAGGTCAATCAGTTAAAAAAGAATGCATATATTATCAGAACATGTTTGTTTGCATGTTCACCACAAGTATATGTGGTTAATGTAGACTTGATTCATTGCCCAAGGTATAGATTTGGTGTTGGAAAATCTTGGCACCTGTTGTATTGCCAGAAAGTGTAAAACCTATTCTTATTTTTTATCCTTTGATATTGGCAAAGATGTCCCACTTTTCTTGAATCTGAAAGTTGGATGGAAACAGTTACAGGAATATCTCCAAATGTGACAGAAATAGACTCTGAAAGCTACAATAATAATAATAGAACGTGTCATGCCTGTTACCCATGGGGAACATAGAATAAACGTCGCCAAGCTTCACACAAGCAGCTATATGTGCATGACGGTAACATGGAAAGAATGTTGAATTGGCAACCAGATATACTAAATACTCTTCTGCGTGAACAGCTGGTGATCCATTTTCTACCAACGTTAACTTACAGTGCATTGACCAACTGCACCACCACAGGTCGTTTCCTGGCCATAGCTAACATCAGTGGTGACGTCTAAACGAAACATTGAGCCTTCTTGGTTCTTTCGGTAAAGTCACGTAGAAGAGAAATAATAAAATAATACAAATAAAATATAATAAAATACAATTCTCACGACGTTTCGGCCACAATGCAAGCAGCCGTCCTCAGGTGAAGAACAGGTCTGTCGGAAAGACAGCGTCTGTATGAGCACCACCAAGCTTGGCAGCGTATATTTAAGCTGGGTTAGAGGGGGAAGGGCGCCTTGACAAAGGAATTTGCATATCAAGACAAAGTTTGCATATTTATGGGAAATGCAGATATGGGATTAGTCACTACTTGTGAAATGCGTAGGAGGTGGGGGGGGGGGTCTCAAAGTCATATTATGCCCGTGCATTATGTAGGATTAGCAGCATCAAAGGGAGGGAGTAGGGTTAGCAGTAATAAAGGGAAGGAATTTTAATAGTAAGTAGCTGCAGCAGCTAAACCACCACGTAAAAACCTTGAGCCTTCCCATTTTCACCAATTGTCACTGAAGAACGCAGTGAAGAATGTTCTAACAACAACCCCATATCCATGACCGACATGGCAGGAGGAGGGCTTCACCCAGAAGTGGGTTGGCACAAGGATTATAATAAAAAGACACAATATTCCATAAATATTCGTTGCAGTGTTGAGGCAAAGAGAAAGGTGGAATGGTCACATCCGTGCTCGCTGGTAAAGGTTCAGCGGTTTCCTTCCGTGCCTTGTGGTTTCAATGATGGCAGTTGGAGCCGAAAAACATTTCTGCTGACTCCCTTGCAGTAAACATACCAGGAGTTTGCCGTCATGAAAGTTAACCTTAAAACAAATTGTCAGTGTTCAGATCTAGCGGCGGTGACACAATGTTGCCAAACTCTCTTCCCGTGGTCGTCAATGAGCCATGACCCTGGCTTTTCAGGTAGCAGCGTACCAGTAGACTGCAGACTCACGTCATCTGTCCCTTCTGTATGGGATAGTGTTGCACTCCCCCCCCCCCCCCTTCTGGCACGCGTGGGGTTTCCCCCCACGTGTATAAGCACTCAAATAATCGGCTGAAAACATATACTGTAAATATATATGGGCCCCCATGTGTTGCTGATAGTGCAGTGCTACGAGATGCAGTGTTCATGATTGACGCTATATGATAACGCTCGTTTTTATTCCGATTATCATCATTCATCTTGCAGTGCAACAGTGAAGTGCCATTTTCACTCGTCCGGAGAACTCGTTTTTGCCGGGGGTAAGAGGAGAGGTGTAACAGCGACAGAATGGGACATCGCGGTCACTGTGTGCCGTGGGACATAAAGGTGTCACCCAAACACGCAGCCTTGCTACGACTGCCTGCTCCTGGGGCCTCCCTCCCCTAGTGGGGGTCGTGAGTTTCGAAAGCGGATTCCAACCAAGACCGCGAACATCAGAGATTACGCGCGTACGAAAAGTGCTGTATATGTACAATCCAAGAAGGTCGCACTCATTACACACAAAGTGCTTGCCACAAATGAGCCACCACTGCATTTGGTGATCTCGTCAAGCAGCATAAACCATCATCACGCGACCCCTGGTCATCATGGCAGCGGTGTTTGGCTGGCCATCGAACAAAGACGGCCACTGCATCGCGCGCTTTCAGATGCGCTTCTCTGGCCGTCTGGAACGTTCTTCCGATATTAGGAAGCCACTGGAGCTATGCACTTTCAAATGATCTCCATTGAAAACTCATTTCTTGAGAACTACTTTTTGCGTTTAGTTTATTGTCCTTCCTCCGCATCTCCGATTAGCACGGTTGGTTACGTACAGTGCGAAATAATGTCAACATATCTACAATTGGCAAGTATTGTGTGGTGGGGGGGGGGGGTAAACTCTTCCAAGATGCCTGCCCCAGCGTGTCTAAGACAATTGCAGGGCTTGCAACGTGTACCTCTGATCTCCGTTTGCCAGGCCACACAATGACCGGTCACGCATGACATTGCACAACAACACTTCCCCGTGTGAAAATATGTGCTGCTGCTGCTGCTATTGCAGCGAGCAGGGTTTTGTATCTGCGTGGTCTATTGCGCAGTTGGTTCACAGTGGCAGGGCGCAGAGGGCCCTTTAGCCAGGGTGGGTGGGTGGGGTGGAGTGGGGGTCTCACGAGAGGGGGGGGGGCTCTCTGTGCTGACGTCAAGGCCGGGCGGGGGGAGGACCCCCTTGGGGCGCGTTGCGATGCCAGCGCTCTGAGTGAACACACCAAGTTTAGCTACCTGGCCACTCCTGCTTAGGAACAGGTGTAAGTAGCGCAGAGGCAAGGCGACTGTGGATATACATTCATATTCGGTGTACACGGCGGTGCGAATATGTCGTTGATGTTTCACTCGACCGCGCACACAATTCTTGACCGACATTGAATCACTCGTGCAGATAGACCTCGTCTTTTTACGCATCGTCTACTAAATTTACAAACGTGACTGTAATGAACACCTGTTGTAACTCTACAGTAAATTATTCCATAAATTGCAAACTGTGAAGATGCGAAGTGTACGTTAGCTCTAACCTCCACTAACCAGCTCCTGCTATTGGCCAGTCCAGCACCCGGCAAAGGTCCTGACGTTTTTCGGACTTCTCCGACTCACCGCCTCACCTCTGCTGCTGTCACTGCTGAACGCGAACGTCTCCTACACTCGTCACTGCCATCTCCTGCCCCAGAGCATTTGTCAGGTATGTGCTGCATCAGCTCAACTCGCTCACCGCCGGGTCTCGCTCACCCTCTGCCTCGTTTTAAGAGGGGGCATCTTACTGCTATTCGCAAAAGGTTCCCCCATCGTGTCAAAAGCTGGGCTTTGCATGTACCATCATTTTACAAACATCAAATGATGGTCATAGCTTTTTGAAAATGAGACACTGAAAAGATGCGCATTTATTTACGCATTACTTAACTATTTAAAATGTGACACTTTTCAATTAACTAATTTGCAGGTTATTTGAACTTTCAGCATTAGTGTAAAACTTTTTTTTATCACTGTGTGTATGTATTCGTCAAGTCACAAAGTTGATTAGGTTCGAGTTTCAAATCTGGTAGGCCTTTCCGGTTCTAACTGGATGGTGTATTAATCTAAAAAAAACCACATCTGCTTCATGGTGAATGTTAAAGATCCTCTGCCGTCATTCTAAATGGATAACCCATTATATGCCGTCATCACGGTCCGAATTCGAAAATTACTAATTTAATAAGTTGTTGAGCCAGCTGGCCAGGTTTTGGGCAAAACCTGGCTCACTTTTCGCAAATGAATCCTTTTGGATTAAACATAGCAATCATCGCCCCCTACTGGCAGACTTATACCAACCTATACTCATAGGGTTTTCCCCCTTTTTTCTGGCCACACAACTGATACCTTTTGCAAGGAATCATGTTTACATTAACCACAATACTTGCAGTCAAATGCAAACAAAAAACAATACTCTGGTAATTTATGCATTGTCTTTGAAACTGATTGGTCCACACCAGAGACAGCTTTCTTTGGAGCCTCGTCTCATATGGTGTTCGACCAGATGACGCCAAAAGGCGCCTTTCTCTGATGTGGACCAATCAGTTTCAAAGACAATGCATAAATTACCAGAGTATTGTTTTTGTTTGCATTTGACTGCAAGTATTGTGGTTACTGTAAACATGATTCCTTGCAAAAGGTATTAGTTTTGTTGCCGGAAAAAAGGGGAAAAATCCTATTAGTATATTTTGGTACTGGCAAAAGATGTCCCATGATTATGCCAACCTTTCAGGCATAAGTTACAGTGTGCCACGCACCCCAAATACTTGGGAGTACACTTTCAAATGTAGTTAGATGTGTGATGCGCTCTGGGACGCAACATTATAGAACAAAAACATCCTCAAAACAGTATTGGGCATGTCTCAACGATGCCTGTGTCCCTGATGAAACAGCAGAAATTCTACATTCTTACGGTGGTATCCACTATTTTTTTTAAACAAAAGTATATTTTGCATAGGATGGTGGAGATGTAGCCAAGCGCCAACAACAAGAACGTGAAATAAAACTTCTGTCTGCATTAAAGTGTTCCAAGGCCCACACACATAATACAACATCCTGGGGTTGTCTTTATACTTACTAAAAATATCGACTACAGGGGGAGTTCTCATTATTATTTTCTGAGAAACATTGTTGGTGCCATGATGGCTTACTCCGCCCAGTTCTTTTCATCTGCAGAAAATGTAGACCTTTCCATCACCGCAAGAATTGTTTACTACTGTACACGTTGCCAACATCTGCACACATACAAAGGGGTTTTAAATGTGCAACGGCGCTGACATAAAGGCTGTCGACCCTGTTTTTTGTTAGCTCAAGGCTTATGACAATAAGGTTACTTTGGCCTGGTTGTACCGACTTCCTATTTCCTCTTTTAGACATCTTTTTCAGGTCAACGTGACCAAAGTCTGTATAAAAGTTTAATCGGATTCCTTCAACGAAAAACGACCGCGCTGTAAAATTCTCCACGTGCTGGGCTGCGACGTGGCCAAGGATTGGCAATTCAGAGAATCGGTTCTTGGGACACGTGTGCGTATTTGAGAGATGTCAGCAGCTTCATACACGTGGGGTTTTCTCCCAGAAATATTTTTCCCTTATGGAGGACACCCTAACAAAAGATATATAATACTCTGTAGCTTTCCTATATGTATTTAACAACAACAAAACCTGTCAATGGGTTTTCTCATTATTTAAAAATGAGTATTCCAACATACAGCTGTTATTCATAAAAAAATGTTTTTTTTTGTTAGAACGCGTTATTTATAAATGTGTCGCAACCCTCCACTACCCGACACGGCCAATCAGTAAAAAATGTGTCACGTTGACAAAAGACAAATAGTTCACTACTTTAGCCCACCGGTGTGTTGAAGAGTGAATCCACAACATTTACATTTTGAGTACGACGTTTCGCTGGTAATTACATCCAGCATCATCGGGCGATTTGCCAGAATAGTGAAGCCCTCCACCTGCTCCCGGTCTTCAATAGTGCAGCAGGGTGACGTCACCATTTAAATGTTGTGGATTCACTCAACACACCGATGGGCTAAAGTAGTGAACTATTTGTCTTTTATCAACGTGACACATTTTATACTGATTGGCCGTGTCGGGTGGTGGAGGGTTGCCACATATTTATATATAACGCGATCTAACCCAAAAACCATTATTATATTGGTCGCGAAAGCCTACATGTTAAACATACAGTAGTTAATTAATCTAAAGCGTATGCTCTCACCCATTGTTGACGCTTTTACGAATTGTAATTTTCCATGTTACGTCCCCTGGTGATTGAGCAAAATTATCCGTGGTTGGTGGCACTGCCTCTTGACACTGGCCCACCGGAATAATTTGTAGCTGCAAATACACCAGGTGTTTAATGATCAAAAATTAAAGTGATTTTCTGCTCATATGAGCATTGAGGCAGTGCTAACCTCCTCCTTATAGAACTGATCCAAATTCCACATTGCTTGGTTGGAGGCGAGTCTGCTCATCGGACAACTAATGTTGAATTCCTCACAGTGGTATTCAAAGATCAGCAGCTGAAGGTCAACTAAGGTGAAAGGATCAGCTAGACGCGTGACATATATATACCGCCATCCCCACAAAAGCAACTTGTACAATGTTGGACATTACCACAGGACATAACACACGTAACTTCCTGTGGCTTTCTGGAATGATGGCCAAGCAACGTCATGTCACATCACGTTCAGCACATAACACTCGAGAGCAAGGGGTATAGCTATCGTCTGTGGGATGAATCGGGAAGATGATTCTGGAGTGATGCTGCCACACTCTGGGAGAGATACTTGGTCGATGCATACAGGTTTTAATTCTGCCACGTTTTGCAATTGTACAATCGAAACACAGTCTTAACGGTCGCCCCTTTCAGTATCTCAACAACTGGATATAGGTTTACTACTTGGTCACCGATGCCTGGGTGTTTACTTCAAGGCGTCTGGTTATCCTGCCCTCCTACGAGGGCCATATAGACGGGGTTGGAGGTGGGCCAGGTGCGAGTTTTACCCAGGCTGCAGATTTCAAGGGGGCCTCAGAACAGCTCGATGGCACATTAGAGGGAGCCTCATGTGCCATTTTATCCCAGTCCTCCAAGAACGTCTCAATGGTCCTATTCTACACACTTGCCTCACCTAATGCAACTGTGTCTTCCCGCTTGTGATCACAACACTTTGCTGCTACATGTGATGTTGTCGTAAACTTCAAGGTACACTCCACATACACCTGTAAAGGCTAAAGGCTTTGTTTCTTGCTGCTTTATTACACCTGACTCATAACATCTTTACATTCTTACCCATATTTTAAGCTAAGGATAACCATGAACTTTATCTACAGTAGCCCATATAGAATATCTATAGAAAGCTTTGTGATCTCATCACAACCATATCCCTATATAATGACTAAATACAGGTGACAAAGTCTACTGCCTCCACATTCCTATTGTGGTTAGGAAAGGAGTTAGGACCCGTATGGTAGTGGTTAGAAGGATCCAAATTCCATCAATTTAATCTAGATTTGAAGTTTTCATGACTGCAGGGATCCATACTCTTTGGTTCTTTCGGTAAAGTCACGTAGGTATAAAATAAAAGTCATTCCTGACATGCAAACCCCTGGAGTCTACAAACTAAGTTGCACCTGTGGTGGGTGTTACATTGGGGAAAAGAAACGACATATCTCGGGACCGTGTTCGCGAGCACAAGTCAGATCTGAAACACGGCAGAACCAATCCTCCGCCGTGGCTGACCATTGCTATAACGCTGTGGGCTCTCATGATATTGTTTTTTCCGAGACAAAGGTACTCTGCAAACCTTCGGGCTACTATTAAAGGTTTGTCCATGAAGCCATCCAGATATAGACATAACTTCAACCGAGAAGATGGATACAAATTGAGCAATCATTGGAAGGATGTTATTAACCAGGTAAAACCTTAACTGCTTCATGGTGTTGCCTTCATATCCGTATCTCGTTTTTTCAGCCTCCTACTCCCAGCCCCGCTCACTTTTGCCTTGCTCGTTTCCTAATCCCTCTATCAGCGATCCACTCCTCCCACCCCACACACCCTCTCTCTCTCCCTTTTTCCTGGCTCCTCCCCCCTCTCTTACCTATATAGCCTCTTGTCACAGCAGCCCTTTTGCCCACTTCAGCAATTGTTTCTTGCTGTGGTTGTCCCACCTTATGACGGACACTTGTGTTGTGCCCAAAACGTCGTAATTTAATTTATACCTACGTGACTTTACCGAAAGAACCAAAGAGTATCCATAAATTAACTTTTTAGAAAATAAATCACCATAAGGCAATTTAAAGGGTTGAATGGAACTATAATTTTTAGCAAAAAAAAATTTGAATCACAGCTCCTAGTGATTGATATGTAGCAACCCTAGAAGCACTGTAAATCAAAAACAATAGCAAGGCACGTTCACCATGTTTACTGTATTGGAATAACAGGTGTATTACTTGTAACACATTCTCCAGATCATAAACCAGAATACACTTTCCCTCCCTGTAATTTAAAGCAATAAGTATCTTATAATCTGATAGGTGTGATCAGAATTTTACTGTATAATTTTGTAATAAAGGACTCTTAGGCGATTTTGGTCTCCGTCTGTCCTTTATTGGGTTCTTGTCTCGCACCCCGCGATGTCCCCGATCGGACCCGCACCTCTTCCG